AAGAATTGGCTAATTGACCTATAATTTATTTCCAAAATGTTTAATTAAAGAGATGCATTTGAACTGCTGACCTCTTCCTATAAGATGGGCACAAAATGCTAAGCCGTGTTGTAGCGCATTCATGGATATTAATGTCAAGGATAAGTACACGTTAGGTAAGTATAAATCATCTTGTAAAACAGTAGGTCTGTTTATGAAATGGGTTATCCCCAACACATGGTAGTTAGCATTTATTAGGTATTAGCATTTACAAAGCACTATAGCATTGGGGCTTTTATGGTATCTTGAAACACTTTGGATAAGAGTTTATATTCATTTTACAGAGTAGAAACCTTGACTTACGTACTCAGATATTGTCTGGTTTTCCCACTCCCAGAAGGGGCAAACCTTGGGATGTGAGCTCTGCTTTTCTGCTAAGGCCCAAACCTTCCGTACTCCACCACAGCTGTCTCCATCTATGAACATGGTTGTTCACTTATGTTTATGATGTCTTTATGCAAAGTACATTAGTATCTATTTTACTTTTATTTCATCCAAAAGATGGAAGTGACTGAGTCTTAGCAGTAGAACTGTGAGATTACCAGTGTATGATTTAGAATGAAAGAATCATTGTTTAAGGTCATATACAGAGATTATGCCATTTTATACATCTTTTATCCCTTCATTGGGCAAACAGCATTTTTATTCCGTTTAGGAATGGTGAGCCCTAAGCTTATACTATTTACAGGCTCTTGAAACAGTTCATTTTAAAACTGCAATCCAATAAGATCATGAAGTTAAAGGTGATCATTTTTTCTTTAAAATATTACCTTTTAATAATATTCCTATTACTTGAGGGATTTAGTCTATGAAAAAAAGGTAACAGTTTTTTAAATGGATCAATTACATTAATATCTACTGATATGAATTTGATATCCACTCATAAAAAAATCAAAACAATATATTGTAAAGTAAGCCACCTTTTTATAAGTTAACATTGGCATATGTATGTATATATATAAAAATATATATGTATTTCTTCAAATGTATTTTCTAGGCATGCACCAAATTTTCAGCAGTGACTATCTCTCTGTTACGGAATTGGAAGGGGGGCTCTCCAGTCAGTTATGAAATGCCATGGAAAGGAACCTAGTTCTTCTGGCAGAATTCTGCAAACATAGGACATTTACATAAATAATTTTCTTTCCTGAATACATCTATCAAAATAATTTCACATATTACATTTTTTAATGCATTTGAATCTTTATTCTACAACACAAGCAACATAAATACAGTCTCTTTTAAAATATTTTCTCTTTAGAATTTTCATTTTTACCTCAGATAAAATGTACACAAAATACACTTGCAAGCTTGCTTACAGGGACCTGTTAAACAAATGGACAGATCATATCAAATCAAACAGTTATACCAACATATAAAGGAGGGTGTTTTTCGGTTTTCTTTTGTTTTTTAAATAAACATGGCCAAACTAAGAAGGCAAAATAAAAATTGTACTTCCTTGACAAGTCCTTTGGAGTGAAAGAAATGCTTCAAGGCTCCTGGTGAATGGGGTTGCAAGGATGAATTTTGCATCTTATAGATAAAATGGTATACTGACTCAAATTATATGGCTACACAAAGCTTCATTTATTTATAATTTTCAATGTAAATAAATAGATTCTTTGGCATAACACGCAAAAAGATAAAAGGACCCTTACCACCCACTGGCTTTATGTAGACTGGGAGATGGTATTAGGTGAACTGTTTGCCCTGCTGTTAATTTAAATTTATTCCTCTTAGAAAAGCAGGAAAATAATCTTAAATAATAGTCTCCTGGCATGGTTAGGGCAATAAACTTCTTATTCTTAGCTCCATACCCCCACCTCTTCTACAGAAAACCAACTGAGAAACAAAAACAACCCATGTCAGCCTTTCTCCCTAGGCACCTCCTCCTGCCCCTCTCATGCCGTACCCGGATATTCTACTAATGGTTTCAGTGAGAGTGAAGCCCAAAATATCAAAAGCATTCATCTTTATCCAGTTTTGCCTATTTAGTGGGAAACCAGTTTTTTCTAGAGAAAACTACTTCCAACAAAAATTAGATGAGAGAACAGCAGAGGGAGGAACACAAAGCAGCAGGCCCAGAATTGTGAGGTAGCCACGAATGACCACCGGTGGCTGGTAGTGCCTGGGGCAAAGTTCATAGTGGTTCAAAAGATTGGCTTTTAGATTCCGTCCTCTCTCCCTTTTTTGGCACCAGTTGGTGAAATAGATCAAACATAAATTATTCCTAGAGGTTAATTTTTTTAATTTACACTTAAATCAATTATGATTAAAAGAACTAAATGCATGCATAATTTCCAAAAGAGCTTATGAAAAACAAAAGTGAAACAAGAAATATCTCTCTCTCTACAGAGGCAAGGACTTGAGTCCTTAATACCATTGATAGGTTTTCTGATCTTAGTAATTCTAGTTAAGTATAGTCATTACTTTCTATTCATACAACAATCTAAAGTAATTTAAATGATGTCAGGGTATTTAAGTATACATCTTTATAGAGAAACACGAAATCAATAAGAATATGTGTAATTAATATAGTTAATAAATAGATGATGATTTTTAAGGTACTTAATTTTTTTCTCTTGAATTATTCCATGATCCTTATTTTTTAATGTTAAAAAGAATTTCCAAAGCTAAAACTGAATAGAGTTAAGAAATAAAATAAGGCCCCACCTGTATTTGAGTTAACATGATTTCACTGTATTCCCAAAGCATATTGACACACTTTGACATTTCTCCCATCATTGGGAAGATGAGATAATGGATATGGTCTCATCGTGCAAATGAACTCAAAGACAACATATTTACTGAAAAGTCCTTTTTAAAACAGGCATATGTATGCTTAAAAGGGAGTTGTTTCAGTTTGCAAATTTCCATGAAGCCATTTGGCAGACTCTTTACAGCTAATATAGGAAATTAAAACATTAATTTATACCAGACAGTTAAGTGAAAGATGAAGGTATATCAAATAATGTATATCATCTTGAAGTGCTGATATTTTGGTGACTAATGAGAGATATAAAACTACTGGCAAGCTAGCAACTACTCAAAAATCTCTGGAAGCCAGGAGCCAAGGTTGAGATGGAGTCACCATGGAAACATCTCATTAAAACTATATGGACAGAAGAGACTCAAACACTACATACTTAAATTTAAAATCACCTCAGTACAAGTCAAAGGGTCAACATGATACAAATCATCCATAGACTCAATAATCCTGAATACAAAGAGGAGCTCACACTGATTTCACTGTTCCATAGAAATTATACATTCATTGTCTTCTAGCTTGTGAAAAACCAATTGTTGGTATAATAGACCTGGAAACTGGGAAGATTGAGCAGGAATGCTTAGACAACACAATCCCGAGCTGTCTGCCCAAGGTTTAGTTCAGTTTTTCTCTAGAGCTTGATAAGTCAGGCTGATCTCAAAGGTGGTAGTTGGGAATTTTTCAAGGCAGTGGTTCTCAAAGTGTGGAACCCAAACCCACTGCATTGCTTTTTGGAGGAACTTGTTAGAAATGTAAATTTCCAAACCTATTGAATCAGAAACTCTGGGTGGGACCCAGCACTCTGGGTGTTAACAAGCCCTCAGGTGATTCTGATGTGTGCTAAAGTGTGAGAACCACTATTCTAAAGTTAAAAGATAGTGGATAACCGCTACTTAAACCTTCAGGATAGGAACTAACAGTACAAGCAATTCTTGGTGGTTGAAAAGGCTGGAAGGACCATGGCTGAATGAGATCCATCAGCAGTTGACTGCAGTTCTGTCAAGATGGTCAGCAGTCTCTCCTCCCCGCAGCCCCACGCATTATCACTTAGAAAGAGGGGGACAGGTTTTGTAGGGCGCTAGTGGTGTGGGACTTGGGTTTAGTAAGTGTGGTTAGTAAGTAGTGCTACTGTTTATGAGGAACTAGAACACTGTTCTCAATTGAGTTTCTCTTCAACTATCTTAGGGAATGATCTTTTTCTTTTTTCTGATCTGTCTTCCCTGAAGAAATTTTTGTGTTTTAGAAACCTAAATGGTGTTCGAGTCCAAAATTTTAATTCCTAGCTATTTTCACATAAAATACAAACATTACAACACAAGCAGAGGAAGAGGATCTCACAAGAGAGATAGACAAAGTTTTCTAGATTGTTCCACTAGTGAATGAGAATATACTTTTTTTTTTGTTTTTGATGAGGCACAATTATGAGTTCTTTTCCAATTTCATAAATCTTGCTGAGTAACAAGCTCATATTTCCAGTAAAAATGCTTAAAAGCAGTCCTTTGCTTTTGTAAGGCCACACTAAATCTCACTAGGATAACCTAACTGGTACCCAAGCATAGGTAGGTTCTGTCATCTGCTTGATAGAAAATACAGGATTTTCCTCCTGCCTTTTTCCTTGTCCTCAAAGTAAGTAGAAATATTTAGGTGTTTTAGCACATAGTTACTATGTATATTGACCTGATGCCTTCAGTACCTGAATTTTTAAACAGTCTTGTCTAACCAGTCACTTCATCCTCAAAGCATGTGCATTTGAAAAATCATTATCACTTATTTTGCCTATTTCCAAACTTTGAGGATGCCCTACCAATTAAGTACTGTATACTTCCGAGGCAAGCAGGTAGAGAGAGACACTGTTAGCTCCAGGGCACTTTACTCGGAGTGATTAAATGGTAATTGAAAAAGGTTTACAAATCGTGCAAGTCATTCCAGACAGAGTGTTGTGTTTTTCTGCATAACAGCTGGCCATGAACATTACTATTCCATCATTTCCAACTAAATTGGCAAGTTCTCTAAATTACCAATGAGGGTCTGCTTTAAGATTAATGTTTAGATTTTGTTTCCTTTATTTTCAAATACCCAAAATATTATAAATTATCTTTATATGTATAAGCACTCTCTCTTTTTAAATTCTATTTGAAAAGTCCCCATAACTTAACAGATCTGGGACATCAATCAAATATTCTCCAGTCTTTTTAACTGTTTAATTTCTTGAAACACTAAAGGGTTTACTCTATGCACTGAGAGCATGGTGCTGGGGAGCATGGCCTCTGAATTCAGGACTACCTCTTTTACAACCAACTTTGCCATTTACTGGTTATCTTGGGTAAATTTCTTCTCTGGGTCTGTGTCTATATCCTCAGGTGAAAAAAATGAGGAAAACAATACCTGTTTCACCAGGTTATGTTGAGAACTATGGTAACATAGATAAAGGTCTACATTCACAGTAACACTCAACAAATGTCACCTCCTCCTTGCTGTTTGTAACTTCTTGCTATTGTTATCAGCTCCAAACAAAGGTCTTCATTCTGCTTAATTTGATGGGATTGATGAATGGATTTTCCTTTCTGAGAAAGAAAACCTTCCTATATAAGCAGTTGTGTGACATATTGGGGGAAGTCAAGGATACCTATTATATAATTGCATTATCTTGATACAGTTAAGGCTATTTGACTCTCTCAGCTGACTCTCTATAAGCCTTCTTAAAACAACAAGAACAAAAAGCCTAGTGATATTGTAGCAAGAAGTTTCCATTTACAGTTACTTTCAAATTGTTAATATTTCATCATTTTGATTGAAAGTATTTTAACCTGAGTGGTTATGTAGGTTAGCATCTGCCTCAGTCAGTAATTAAACAGCCTAAAAGTGGTAAAAGGTGCCCTAGTTTTGTGCTGATGGAGAAAGCTAGAAAATAATAATAATGGGAGAAAAAAACAAGATGGTGTAACCAGGTAGCTTAAGCATTCCAAAGTATAGAATACAGCTCATTACTATCCCAATGATTCACGGTTACGGTCAAACACTTGATCTGTCTTCAACCTTGACTTATTGTCTAAGGCTGATTGGGAGATGCTAGAGCTAGGAGAGAGCCTATGTACAACCTGTGCACCCTCCATCAAGCCTACAGCCTCATGGCACAGAGGAATCTGGAGAAGAGTGTGTTATACTTGGCAGAGCCTTTCAGTCAGGAATTCCTATGCACTTTGAGTTGTCCAGGTGCTTTTATGATACACACTTTATCAAAATCATAGAAAAAGACTAAATCTTAATCTCAGGGTAACAATTTTGGCAGCATATATGGGCATCTAAAAGCAATGTGCAAAATCTTACTCTGTTTAGGTTTGTGAATATAAAGTAATAATTTTAACTACAAAGGCTGCCTTGACTGTGGTCTTCGAGAGACCTTCGGAGGAAGTGAAGGAAGAGATGGGGAAAGGCAGAAACCAAGACACCAGGAAGAGTGTGAGGAACTCACTGGGGCAGTCTGGGAAAGGACCACTAATCTACCAAGGGTTCCTAAGTATCTCCCTTTCTTCTCCATCCTGGAAAAATGCAGCTGATTTCACTGTGACCGGAAGTTCTATTTATTAGAGATTATCTGCATCAAGCAATGTTCTTTTTGACAACTGTAAACACTTCTGGAAAGGACTTCTATGACTTAGATAATTTTCCGGTTGAAATCTGACTTGGATGTGGCACAGGGCACACTGGGACTGGCAGTGGGCTGTAAAAAAGATGGTGGAAGGGGCCAAATACCCTCTTGTAAAATTGTAGGTTCAGAGCTATGTACATTCCCTCCTCTTTTTATTCCTGGGACCCATAACTGGGTTAGTAGTGGAGTTAGTTTGCACACAGTATGGGGTAAATTTATTTTCATAAACTAGCCTTGGATCCCATAATATAGACTCTGTGGGAGAATGAATTCTGAGTTCTAAACAATTAACACACTCTGGGACATGACATCCATAAATGGAGACTGGCTTTCTTTGAAATTTTTTTACTTTGTATAACTTGCTACATGTAAACATTTTGTAATTATTCTTATTTAAAGTCTGCTTTACTGAAGCATCTTCCCCCCTGTAATTCTGTAGTACTCACACTCACGAAAGAGAACCAAACTTCAGATGACCTACCAAAAAAACCCAGAAAACCCAAACCAGAATAAGGGTATACTGCTTTTCTTAAAAAGGAATAAAAGTATCTACCCAACTTACAGTTCTACTTACAAAATATAAAAATTCCAAAGTATAGAATACAGCTCATTACTATCCCAATGATTCACGGTTACGGTCAAACACTTGATCTGTCTTCAACGTTGACTTACTGTCTAATGAGTCAAAGCTGAAGGCAAAGAGTGTTTTGTGGAATTGGAAAAATGTCATCTGGATTCCGTGGTGATCTCTATATGGTGCACTGAATGCGAAGGTTCTTTCTTTTAGGTGAATAAATCCAGGGACCCTGTCTTCCTCTTCACTTTGTAGTTACATATTCCTCAAAGAAGACAAAGTTTACAAATACCAGCGCTGTGAGTTTTAAATCCTTACTTCAATACTGAAGTTTTTTTTTTCAGTTATGTTTTTCAATTATGAATACATTTTTTGGAGTTGGGAAAATTATAATGTACGTCTTAGCAACTAACTACTTTCTAGAGTATATTTGCATGGGCTTGACTGAGGAATTTCCTTATAATTTAAGAGGTATCAAATATATTATAAATAAGGTAAAGGTTCAAATTAATTTTCTAGTAATATTTAATGAGAAATATTTACTAGTAATATTTAGTGAGAAATAATAAATAATATTTAATGAGTAATATTTAATGAGAAATATTCACAATATTGGTTTGAATGAAAGGACCTCAGACATATGGCAAATTTACTTACCAGAGAGGAGATATATTTTAAATTGAAAAAATTTTCTAAATCTCATTCTGTATTCTCTTCTCTTTTAGTTTCTTCTGACTCTAATGCTTGTATAAATAACACCATGATTTCATATGATTGTTAAAATTTAAAGTGATTTCATCCTGATCTCCTTTCCTTCCCCTTCTAGCTATCTTCCTACCCCACGTCCTGCCCTTTCCCTGAGAAATCTGCTCAATGGATGGAGAACTCTGAGTTCCTTTTCTCTTAAGGGTGATGATATAAAATGAGTAGCACTTTAATGCTTTGCTTTTTTAAAAAACCAAATGTTACACCTTATATTCATGTGGAGCATAGAAATGTCTGTGCAACAAGAGACTAAGGCACCATTTTTTTCTTTCCCTTTCCTTTTTTTGCCTTGAGAGCAAAAGCAGAGACTAATGAGGTGGCTGGTCAGTCATGTCTTGTGGCAATATCTGTTTATCAGCCATCTGGGCACTGTATGTTAGAGGCTGCCATGACACAGACTTAAAACTCAGCCAGGAAAGAATTTTCTTCCTTTAGAAATAGGGAAATAAAGGCACAACAGTACCTTAAGAAAAAAGCTGGTGAATACCAGCTGGAAAATCTTGACAAGTTAGGGCAATTTTGAAATGTTCTGGAATGTTTTACAGAGGAAGTCATCCCTTTCTTGATTATGATACCCAAGAATATATTTTTCCACCTGTTTTCTTTCCTGCCAAACCCATAATCATAATATAAATCTTCCTCCAATGGATAATGTCTAGTACTAGATGTCTGAGTGCTTATACATCAGCCTGACTTACCAGCAAATATTTCCTTAGCAATTGCATTAAAAAAAAATCAAAAGGATCGATGTAGTGTTTTCAAAGGAGTGGCCCTTGCAAGTGGCCCATTTGGGAGTAACACTGCAGGCAAAAAGCACTGGGAAATAAACTTGAAGATTTAGAAATGTATCAAGGAATGGAGACTCTTCTGAGATAATGTACAAAATTGGAGTTATCATTTGTATTATCTAGATTCAAACAGTATCCAGAATGGCCCCAGTGCTGATGAGCCGGGGAGCAGCTGATTGTTCTCTGAGACGCTAGTTTCAGTGGGCTGGTGGTGGGGAAAATACTCTCAATTCGCCTGGCAGGCATATTCTCCTGTCACTACTGAATTCCATCAACATGAGTCTTCTACACAATGATGTCATAGACACGGCCAACTCTGCCAAGCCATTCTCTCACTGCCTGGCGAACTCTGATGTCGGTCACATGACAGGTCAGCTGGCTGATGCACGGGAACACTGCTGGCTGCAGGGCTGTGAAGGTCGGGTCTGGAAGGATCTGAATCTGATTGACAACTGTTAGCACCATGTTGGTCCATGCCTACGAAAAAGGATTTAGGAGAATTGGCAGCTTTTTCCTAGAGTTTTATTTGGACTTTCACGTATGGCTAAGACCTGCCAATTTACAAATGTTCTTTTTCAGACTTTCAGCTACAAAAAATTAGTCTTTACTCATTTAATGTGCCTGTAATAGTCATTTTAAGTTCATATATACTAGGAATATCTTATTCTCAGCTTTCACAAATTATGCAAATCTTATTTTTCAGATTCTAAGAAATTCTTTCGAGCCTTTTCATGAGATTTCCATAAGCCATACAACACTTTTAATCAGTAGTCTCTCTAAATGCTTAGAAAACTTGGAATAGGTCTGTCTTACTTTAGGATAAACAAATCTCCAAGACATAAAACAGCACTTAAGATCCATCGTCAAGGTTGTCTGTGAGAATGAATGACTAGACATCTCAGTTTGACTGGACTTTCTTTTGCAGATTTAGTCTAAGATGATTTTTTGTGGACTCTGAATTATTCTGTGTTCATTCTGAGAACATATTTCTGGTCATAGACTCTGAGGTTCCAAGCTTTTCTAATTTGCTATGCCTGTGACAGGAGTCCACAATAAAACATAAACATCCAGATTATGTTTCCAGGGTTTTTTATGACATTTCTCTTATCTCGTCTATTCTTAAACTGAACAAAATAATACCAACACTCTTTTCCTCCCAAGCTCATTGATGTGCCAGGGAATTAAAATATTAAATATATGAAGGAACACAAACACTCAAAGCCCTCTGAAGAATGAGAATTTCTATGTGCTCAGGATGGGTTAAAAAAACCTGAGATGAACACAGTTATTCACTTTGCCTGTCTCCTTACCTCATTCTTCATAATTAGCATTTAAAGATGCACAGAAGACATTCTGTAAACTCAGGATTCAATGCCACTTTATCAGCCTTTGCTTCATTTTACTTATACAGGTGGGTGCCTAATTTTCAGGAACAATTTGTTATAACGCATACAGATGATTCCTGAATAGGAGGAATTCTCAGAACGATTTGTCAGTTTCATGCTGACACACTCTTAGGCAACCCGTTGACATGGGAGGGAAACTGCATCAGGTCTCCCACTGGCAGCTAGCAAATCTCAGAATGTGCAGCAGTGCTCTGTGCGGGGCACGCGCCTGCCACCGGGAACCTGGCCTGCCCCCTGCTCTCCGGCGGCCCGAACCCACCTGGATCTGTGCTTCGGCGTCTCTCACGGACACGCTCAGGGAGCTCCCGGCCGAGCCCGAGCGGGGCCTCCTGTCCTGGCGCAGCAGCTCGGGGCCTGCGCTGACCGAGTGCCGCATCTGCCCCTGGTCCACCAGGTGCTGCGGGCGCTGAGGCAGCGGCGAGTCCTGGCCCCTGGCGCCCAGCGCTTCTCCCTTCCTCTCCACTTTGGCTTCTTTGGGGAATGTGGGCAGGTTATGAGGCTGTTTCCTCTTTTTGTACTCGGTCATCAACTTCGAAATGGTCTTGTCCGCCGCCATGGTGTAGATTTTGTTGCCTGCGTTCTCCCACCATTCCTTCTTGCGGCTGGGGTCCTTCCTCTCCACCTTGGGGCTGGGGGTCAGAGGCAGCATTTCCCCGCCGCCCGCCCTCAGGCCCAGAGCCTCGGCCGCGTGCTCCCGCGCCTGGCCCCGGTCATCCTCCGAAGGCGTGTCTCTGCCTGAGAACCCCCCGGTGGACGGGGTGGACGACTCCGACTGGAAGGAGGGAAGGATGAAGAACGGGTCGCTCTTGAAGACGGGCGCTTCCTCCAGGCTGTTTTCCAGGTCCAGGTGCATCTGGATGTAGTTATTGCACAGTTCCATGCACAGCTTGTGAAGCCGCTTGACCAGCCACACCCAGTCCGCGTTGCTGATGGGCTGGACGCTCAGAGAGGGCATCCGGGCCCTCCACTGCCTCTTCTCCTTGCCTCTCGGGGGGCTCACCTGGGCAGTCTCCTCAAAAATGTCTTCATCTTCTGATGAGCACTGCTGGGACGAGTCTGTGCTTCTCTCATCGTCCTCAAAAAGGACTTTCTTCACTTGCTCAGCAGTGATGGTTTCTTGATTAGTGAGAACAGCGCAGAGCAGCGAGTGGAAGTAAATGTTAAAACTCATTGCGGACTGGCGGTAGAGGTTGGCAGCACCCCCAATGCCAGACACTTTCTTCAGCAGGCACTTCAACCCGGGGCTGGTGTCAAACTCTCTGGCTGTCCTGTATGAGTCCAGCAGCAGATCAAAAATGACTGCCAGGTTCTGCATGGAGATGTATCTGAGGAAGCCGGCCAGCTTGGCTTCTGGCACCTGGAGCGTCTTCTCCTCTCCAGGTGAGGGGCCTTTGACAAACTCTTCTAACAAGATATCATATAAGTTCTGGAGTAACACCTGATGAGACAGTAAGCTCACTACAATTTCCCTGAAAGAAACACTTCAAATGAAAAGAAAGGGCTTGATTAGTAGCCTTCTGCCTTATTTTTTTAAAGCAATTCAGATATTACACATTTCAGAATATATGTAAAATTACAAACTAAACTACTTGTATTTTAATGCTTCCCTTAAAAAAGGGCAAACTTCTTGGGGAGATACTAATTGATTTAAAAAGTGTCAAGAACTCCTTAATCATGATTGAACTCCGACTGGAAGTGGGGACGGATAAAGATTTCCAGGAATTATAGAATTAACAACTGTCAACAGCCTTAGGACGCACATAGGAAGAGCTCTTCCTAATCAGGGCACATTCGGGATAAGCAGTACTAGCAGCAATGCCACTTGGTGATTTGGCCTCTTTTGTCTGGAGTCTTGTACTAAGAAAACAATTTTAATTCTAGGTACTACATTTACCAAATATCTTAATTTACCAGTATGGTTTGGGGTTTATGGTTTCATGTTCTTTTTATTGCTCTTAGAACTCCATGAAAATAGCTTATGCCATCCTGTTGCAAACTCATTCCCATAACTGGAGAATTATAAAATTATGACAACTCTTATTAATAATATGGATTTCAGTCATGATGTTAATACTTGTTTTTGTTTTATGATCTTGAATTTAAAAATCACTTTTCTAAAGCAAGAAAAGTACAAAAATCCTTCCATATATTTAAAGGCTGACTCGCCCTTTGTGTGGTGGTACACTGAGGGAACACCATACACTTGGCAAAGGTGGAGTGAACGAGGAGCAGAGGATTGTCATTCATAGTGACTGTTTCTAACAAATCACTTAGTAACTTTGTTATGTATAGGATACGTTCCCATGAGAAGAAGTTACTTATTTTAACCATTTTTAAAAGTACAAGTCAGTGGCATTAAGTATATGCACAATGTTGTATAACTGTTGCCACTCCCTATTTCTAGAACTTTTCCATTTTCCCAAACAGAAACTCTATACCCATTAAACAATAACTCCCTATTCCCCCTCCCCTCAGCCTCTACTTAAGGAACTTTTGATAAGTTAAGGTATTAGGAACCCTGAATACACATTCTTCTGATGAAGAGAGCTCCCAAGCCAACAACTTGGTCTCGTGCTTCAAGTCCTCTACTCTAGGACACTAACAAAAAGGGACATCCCATCGCTGGTCACTTAAATCTGCTCCCTTGGCTGTCTTCCCTACTACACTGTAAGGTCCTCAAGGGCTAGGGCAGTATCTTATTCAGCTTCTTGTCCCCAGGGCCTGGGAAAATGTCTGGTGAGGGTACGACGCAGTAAGTCTCCAAAACAAATCGAGTAACAGAAACAGATTGGTTGGGAGTAGAGACACCCACCCAGATCACAGCCTGGAGGAATGCTCTCCTTGACCAATGGCCCTGACACCTGCCTCCCCTGGCAGCCTGGACTCCTGAAGAAGGAAGCACAACCAGCATGGAGAGTTTGATCAGCCTTCTGGAGGTATAAATGACATAGCCCACAGCATATTTTCTGTTACTATCCCTGATAAATGGAAAGCCCTTTGCCAGCACACATTTAAAGAGAAGGTTGAGGCAAGTCTGTGTTTGAATTATGGAGCATCTTTATCAACCAAGGTACTCTGTTTGGATATATGACACATTAGAGGATATAAAATGCTGACTATGCATGGGAAAAGGACAGAAAATCCACTTTATGTTAGGCTCAAGCTAAATGATGCAGCAATAAGAAAACAGGGAAAGAAGCAGCAATACTGAAGAGATCAAAATTTCAGAAAGATTCTGAAATGAAATAACTGTGGATGTGCAACTCTTAACCATTGGTGCTGATGGAAGACAAGAAAGATCTGGAGCAAACAAATCAACAGAGAACTTGCAATTTGTGGTACCTAAGGGTTTCAACCGTTTTCTCAGCACACCCTTTAAGAAGGGGACTGGGAAGTGGTGAACCTTATTCTCCCTTCCTGCTTCTGACGTAAAATGCAAAGGAAAGCAAGCCTCTGGATTAGATAATTGAGAGTTAACTGCATAACAACAACTGCTTGAGTTAAAACATGCTGAACTTGGTATCAGAGATAAAGGGATTCGTAGTTTAAAGTACATTTTAAAGCTCTAATTAAGATTACGTGGATTTTCACAATACTGAAGCTATCAATGTCCAAGCAATTTAAAAACAACACCCGGGTTTCTCTTTATTTAAATATTATAATCTGGTTTTAATTTAGGTGTTTTTATCCATGGGTGATTTCAGCGTGGACCATTGAGGATGCACCTGACCAGCATACAAACTTTTCTTAAGAATTGCCCCTGCTAATAAGAGTCAAATACAAGAATGCATAAGAGATAGTTTGGTTGAGAGCTCTTAAGTATGTTAAGGAATGTTATAGGCACAATGGCTTCTACTGAAGAATTTAATGTGTTTTTCTGTTATACTTACTTGAGGGGATAATTGTCTATTGAAAGTACTAAGGAAACTGATGAATCATGCTGACCTTATAAAAACTTTTAAAGCAGTAACAGGAATATTAGGCTATTCTATTTTCCCTATATTTTACTTATAAAGTGAATTCAGATGATTTCTCTTTTTTTCCCTTTCTGTACTTCAAAAACTTCAGAAATATTTCATCAAGAGTAATTGTCTGGAAGGGAACCAGACATACAAAAAAAGGAAGACTGATAGGAAAAGAACTGAAATTATGAAACAGATCAATACATAAAGATGTAAAAAGGAGTACACTTTGTTGGGTACATAAAGCAGATAAAAATGAGTGAATGGCAGCAGAGGGAAGCAGGACATAGAAATTTACCAATACCCCATGTATTCCTCCCCAGTTCTGTTTCTGAGATTGGATGGCAGGTTCATAGTTATTTTATTGTTTTTTGTTTGTACCATATACTTGACCAAAAAAATTAGTATCTGGAAATTTCACACAGATTTATTAGTCAAGCTGCTGTACTAACTAGCTTTTTGGAAAAATCATACTCTCCCTAAAGTGGAAACGATTTTGATTTTGGCCCCACCATGTCACAGTTGGGTATCCCTATAGAAGTGGCCCACCTTCTCGGAATATTTCTGCATAGATTACTGAGGATAGATATGTTTAGCCCCTAGAGTTTACATACAGTTCTCAAGTACTTATCATTACTACTATTAGTGTGTTGAAAGTTTAAAACTCCTAAATCTTGTAAAAATTATCAGATTATTGAATTCAGTCATTGTCTACATCTTCAACTCTGGAAACAATAGTTTTTAGGCAGGTATTTAAAATGGGTAAGTTTCCTGTGGTGGGTTCAGACCTTTTTGTTTCCTGACAGCTGTATTACTTGTGAGAAGTTGATATATTTCTTACTGAAACAAAAGGAATCACACTTCAAATTATAATTTAAAAAAAAGATTATAATGTATATAATGTTATAGATGCATTGAGTTGCGTCCTCCCCAAATTCCTATGTTGAATTCCTAACCCACGGTACTTCAGACTGTAACTGTATTTAGAGAAAGGTCTTCAGGGTGGCCCCTAATCCAGTGACTGGTGTTCCTGTGAGATGAAGAGGCAGGACACAGACGGGTCAGAGGAAAGACCGTGTGAAGATAACAGGGAGAGGACATCCATCCAGAAGCCAAGGAAAGAGGCCTCAGAAGAAACCATGCTAACACCTTGATCTTGGACTTCTAGCTTCTAGAACTATGAGGATAAATTTTTATAGTTTAAACTTCCCGGTCTGTGGTACTTTGTTCTGGCAATCCTAACAAACTAATACATGTGAAATGTGGGAAATCTGATTAAAAGACTAACAATTTCTATGAAAGCCTTTTAAAAATGATTCTACAAATGTCTTCAGTATTCTTAGCTAAAGCTTGGACTACAATAAGGAAGAACTGACAATAAATGAACCTTCCCATTATAAAGGCCCTGTAGAGTTTAAGCTTAGCTGCTTACCTTTTCTTGGTGTGTCCGTTTGGCTTTTCATCAGGAGGCAGCTCAATAATGAGCTGACAGGACTGAGCATGATCGAAGTTGTTGGGAGTCTTTGGTGAGCACTGGGTATCCAGCATGAACACCTGCACAGGTACACGGCACAGGTCAGAGCCCCACCACCCTCAATCCGACACTACCAGGGACTCGCTGGGCAAGCTGCTTATTCTTCCTACTCATTTTCTCATTTATAAAGTGATGGTTTCCTACATGGTATGAATAAACCTTCACTTATTCATGAAAGAATTAACGTGTATATTACATATGCAGAGCATTAGAACAGAAGAGTAAACATTCTATAAATGTTAGCTGCTGACACTAATGGCACCACGTGACAATTCATTACATTCCAGATAGTAAGTACTGACATCTAATATTAATCAAGAGTAAATAAAGAGGGGCTATGTTTGTAAAAGAGCTTCTCTGATTTTGGCATCATCTTCTATTCAAGGCAAGAATAAAACTCAACTAGGACCTCTCCTGCCAGAACTACTGATGGGGCCTTGCTATTCTACTAGAGAGAGGGAGATGCGACTAAGAAAATACTAACCATTTCCAGGCCTGTACAGATGATTTTATTTTACCTACCTCCACTACTTCCCTTTGGAAATATGAGCATTTTCTTTCTAAATCTTTGTTATTTTTTAATATGTTAATTATCAGATTATTGAATCCTGGGTTATCTGAAGGATGAATAGAAGAGGATGATTTGGGGCTGAGGAATAAAGAAACACTGAAACGTAAAAAATTCACTAAATGGTCTGTGCTCTTCTCCAGTAGCGACCTAGCTCAGAAGAGGATTTCACTGACATTTTCATGTTCTTGCTGGGTGGTGGCATGTGGTTGAAGAGATTGCTGTGTGCACAGGGGAAAATTTTTTAGCCCTTGTTAGAGCTTCCTATTTAGAGGCTGTTTGAGGACCACCCTCTTGGCCTCTCTGTTACAGTTCCTAGCCAGGCTTACTGCTCCTGCAGCTGTCCACAATGGCTGTGCTGTTGGAAGTGGTATTCATTGCAGCCTTATGACATTTCTTCTGTTCTGACCTCTGTAGGCTGGCCAGGGACACTTGAGTGGGATCAGCTCTCTTCCTTCAGAACAGCAGAGTTATCAAGCCCTGGGATGTTATGAATGTTGTCAGTGATGATGTGAGAAGCTGAAGGTGGGAGGTTCCTGTCCCACTGTCTGAAGAGCTCTGGGGAAAGCCCTTTGGATGCCAGACCTGGCCAGGAAACTTCTCAACTGACAGTGTGAAAGAGACTGAGTTCTTGACCTAGATAAACAGATCTTGTAGAGAAGGGGAGCCTTTGGATAATGTCCACCTCACTTTTATTTTCCTAAATGTAATTCAGTCTAACAGTACATATATATTTATAAAAACTGCTTGATATTTTAAATACATACCACACATATACATATATGCAAATTATCTTCTGCATATGAACACAATTCAAATAAGTCTGTTGCTATTATAGGACAGAGTGTTCAGCCATTCAATGGCTGTTGGGAACTAAGTCAATTTTTTTCTATTTTAAATTGCATTGTTATGAATATATGTGTACTTAAGGACAGTGCTTAACTATACTGTTGATGAGAGCCCCATGCAGGTTTCTTAGAGGCTGACTGACACATCACTTAAGTGTTTGGAGCCGTATCTGAAGCTTGTGCTGATGCTGTAAGGCCTTCTGTGATTCAGTAATTCACTGGCTCAAAAGACATTCACAAGGCACCTTCTATAAGCCTTGCCCTAGGAATACCAAGGCACATATACACAATACATTCTCTGCTCAGAAGCTTATAGCCAACTTTTGTGACTTCTGACATATATCAGAAGAAAAGTCATTGGTGATTCCTGTATAGGTCAGTACATTTCGGTTTTACTGCTCAGTTACATTCAGTTCAAATTTATTAAGCAACTTGTGCATGTTAAGCTTGGTGCTCTGTATGGGAGACAGAAGAAGAAAAATCAAGTTTGCCATTCGGCATTCATAGTCTGGCAGTAACAATAAAATTTAAGTAAATACTTGTAAGCAGTCCAAGTAAGTCAAGTTATGTATGAGGTGCACTGGCCAGGTAGGAAAAGGATACTATTTGACCTGGGTCCTGGATGATGCAATGAGCAAGAGATAGTGGTGAGGATCCTAACCCTGTTGCGTGGGTAAACGTCATTCCTGGTACAGAATAGTACTGGCAAGAGGTCAGTGTCCTAAAGAGCATGAAACACAGCTTGTAATGCAAGACCTTCCAGAAGCCCTAATCCTTACCTGCTGGGCCATGGCTCGGATGCGCCAGTACTCCGCCTCGGCACTGGGGGAGGAGGAGGGGGCCGCCACCCTCACCTGGCAGCCTCCCCCGCTGAAGCTCTCCGTGCCGCTGTGGAAGCAGCCCAGCAGATCCTAGGGAAACACAGCAGACGTTCTCTGGTGCGCCCTGCTTCATGGTTCCAGGCCCTGCCTCGGATCTGACACTGTCACTGTGTCTGGGACAAAAGTACTGATCAGCAATGTCTTTCTCACCCTGTGTTAAGACTCCCAAGGGAGACTGCTGCTATGGGGGTGGAAGGCCAAATCCAGGTGCCCCTTACGAGCCACTGGACACCAAGGAATGGTGGAGCCTGCGCTGATTCCTGTCTGGGATTTACCTTCACTGGCTTGAGTGTGGCAGAGAACGCGTCCTGCAGTGCACAGCAGGCCAGCCTCCACATCTCCTCGGTGAACACAGGGCCTGCTGTCACGAGGACGTACCTGCCAAAAGCAGCAAGGAAACAAACCTTGAATCTATGCACATTATTGTCACGAAATTTAGGCCCTTACAGATGCATATGTAGATTTATTCTAGTTTCCTTACAAGTCTTGCTGTCACTTACTTAGATTACAATGGTTTAAGAAATAGGATTGGTATCAATGGGTCCCCATTACAAAGTAGCCAATGTTTCAACGTAGGCTTGCATGCAAAAACATATTGATTCTGTACTCATTTATCATTCTAGCCCCAGGTTACTATTCCTCTACAAATAACAGACAAAAAATTTTTAAAAAACCCAACCCTTTTGTCCGTTACAATTCTTATTATGTTCATGCTGCCTGCTTGCTCACGCAGTCACCACCTATCAGAATCTCACCCTCCATGGGGGATCTGACCAAGTGTCATTAATACAAAAAGCCCTTGCTGACCACCCTACTGCCCAGCCCTCTTGCCCCTCCTTGGCAGTTATACCCCCTAATATTATAATTTTTCATGTGCTTCCTCTGTTGTATCCTTTAGAATAGGCTCTAAGCTCCTTGACGGTAGGGACCTTGGCATACATTGCTTCCTATGAAAGAGTCCCTTGTATAACATGTTACATAGTAAATATTTGATGGTTGAACACTGCAATGAATTATGAGCATAAAGGCATTTTTATTTGAAAAAAAAAAACAATCCAACAAGGGGATTGCTACCACAAGAGAATTTAATTCCCTTGGATTTCATAGTAAAAACTCTCATGTTCTGGAGAGCCACGGAACCCTCTTCTCACCTAATACAGGAGCATCCCACTCTAGAGATGGTTTCTGTGGGTTTGGCCACACAGGCCACCAGTAACTCGAAGAGGTCCTTCAGCATGGTGTTGATCATGCTCTCGTACCTGATGTCTACAGGAAAAATTAAAATCAGATTTCACTCAACTCTTGTAAAGGAATGGGTTGAAATGGCACCTGTAGCAAAAGAGGCAAGTCTGAGTGATAAAAGATATGTAAATATCTGGGAAAAAAAAGTAGAACAATGGGAAAAATGGTCATACCAACCCACCCCCCCAAAACAACTGCAACAATTTTCTTGGATTTTTTTACCCAATTTTAGCTTGTCTCACCCAATTTCTAGATATATCAAGATGAAATAAATGTTTTACTTTTATGGGTTGATGTACATTTTCAAAGTTAAGTATATAATTTACCTATCTAAACAGAAGAGAACAATTATATAACCTAAACAGTAGCTCATAAAAATGTAAGTTCTTTTAAAAAAATGGAAAAACAAAACACATTCTTTCCTTGCTACTGAGAGTCAAATTAAATTGAGCTACATGCTCTTGGAAAATAGAATGTGTTAGTAAGGATGTGGAGTAAAGGGAACCCTCCTACACTGTTGGTGGGTATGTAAATTAGTGCAGCCGCTGTGGAATGCAGTATGGAGGTTCCTCAAGAAAACTAAAGATAGAAATACCATATGACCCAGTAATCACACTTCTCGGTATATACCTAAAGAAAACAAAATCACTAATTCAAAAAGACACGTGCAACCCTGTTTACTGCCATATTATTTATAATAGCCAAGATAGGGAAGCAACCAAAGTCCCCATCAATAGATGAATGGATAAAGAAGAGGTGGTACATATACACAATGGAATATTGTTCAGCCATAAAAAAGGAAGAAATCCTGCCATTTGAACAACATACATGGGTTATAATACCCTAGAGGGTATTGTGCCACGTGAAATAAGCCAGGTAGACAGAGACAAAAAATACCATATGATTTCACTTATATATGGAATTAAAAAACAAAACACATGAACAAAACAGAAACAGACTCACAGGCACTGAGAAGCGACTGGTGGTTACCATGGGGGAAAGGTGGCTGAAATAGGTGAAGGGGATAAAGAGGCACAAAAATCTCAATCATAGTATAAATTAGTCATGGGGATGAAAGTACAGCACAGAGAATATAATCAATAACTAACATCTTTTTATGTTGACAGATAGTGATTACACTAACTTGGGTGAGCATTTAACAATGTAGTTAACTGTCTACTCACTATGCTGTATATTTGAAACCCACATAATATTGTATATCAACTATACTTCAATAAAACATAATAGTAATAAAAATAATAAATGCTCTTAGAAAACAAATATTCTTGTCCTATTTCTTAAACCTTTCATTCTGCACATTATCCCCAGTATGCAGGAGAAAATAAGACTTCCAAAATTAAAAATTAAAAAAATAAGACTTCCAAAAATCACATTTTATTTGCCCAATCTTAGGAATATGGCTGTATTATTTTCTGTTAAGTCCTTGTGACACCACAAAACCAACTTTCAATAGAATCCTTAAAGGTCCTGTGCTGCGCAAAGCAATGGCCTGGCCAAGAGCACCTACAGGGGTAGGGATACAGTTACTGCAACGTGTGGAAACACCCACTTTTTTTCTTTCTTAGTTTTTGTTTTTGCAGGGAAACTATCCTTCCTTAGTGGAGATGCCTGTTTCCTATCTTTGCTTTTTGACCCTCCCATGGGGTCCACATCTCCCATGAGTTTCTCTAACCTCTCCAACAAGGGAGGCTCTGACCTCACCTCTTCCTTTATCCTTCTGTATGCCTTTCCCTTGTCTTTATAACCTTGAGTGCTAGCAGTGATTTTTCTTCTGCTCTCAAACCTCTAGATCTTCCCAAAGCCAGAATCATGAGCAAGAATCTGAATTTCACAAATGTTATCCCACTGGTACCACAACTGACATATTTCCCTGACTCTAGTTCCGTCTCCATCTGCTGACGTCAGCATACTACCACCCCACATTTTCAACCCTCTTTCACAGTGCCGCAGACACTAAGACACTTCTCTTTACCCCTAACCTGTTAAGCAACTTGCCTTTAATGGAAGCCTTTTCTAAAACCCTGCCCTCCTCCATTTAGCTTCCCCAGGTGGAGGACAACAGGATACATCCGCTCTCACCCCCAGGCTACAGGGGTAGTTCTTTTTCTTTTTTTAATACATGTTTGAACTTGCCTCTTCTCTCACAATGGTCCAATATCCTTAATGGTATTTTATTTTTACTCACACATGTGTTTTAAGTATACTGTTTGATAATTTTGTAGAGGACACATAGGTATCAATTTTCTTTCTGATAATCTATTAGAAGGCTGGCACTGACCATGTACTTGTATGTTAATAATTCCCAGGACAAAAATCATACACTGGTATTTGCATTAGGTATTTATAAGCATTTTAAGGCAGTGAACTTCCCCACTAAAGAAATACTCGGCATGAAATGCTCTGGTACCACAGATACCTGAGTGAATAAAGCTTTGAATGTGCTCCACCACCAGCTCACAGGATAGACCGATGGCATGCTTGAAATTAGCGGAGGCTACATCCCAGTATGAATGGTCTTTATGGCTACGACGGAGCCAAAGAGACATCACAGGAAGGAGAAGGTGAACGACGGCATAGATACCAAACCCTGGTCCTAAAAAAGAGAATTAGCATCAGAACTGTGACCACAGCATCTCTTTTGTAATAAAAGGGACGCTCCAGCCATCCTGTGAAACTGCCGATCTCTTTCAAAGGAGCTCCTTGTTCTCCGGGAGGTGCAGGGAAAACGAATTTACCACTGATTTGGAGAATGACTATATGGTCGTCAGTGGCATTTTTTTTTTCTGTTTCTGCATGATTTTAGGTATGCAAGTAACACATGTATATATTGATAAAAAATTCAAATAATACCCATTAAGCTAAAATATCAATTGAGCAACATCTTAGTCCCCAGATATAAACATGCAGATACATATATGCATATAAGAACACTCTTTAAAATGTAAGTACATATATTTACATGAAACATGGAGAAAAGTAGTGCTTTGTTTTTATTACTTTTATATAAATGGGATAACATAACCCTCGTCTGCAAAATGATTTTTTGCATTTAATATATGTTGGAGATCATTCTGTCCGTGAATTTAGATATTCCTCATTTTTATCGCCATTCCATTGTATGTATATTTAACAGTTTTACTTATCCATGGACATTTAAGGTGTTTCAAATTTTTTGCTTTATAGACAATGCTATAAAGAAAATCTCCATGGAAATGTTGATGGATTTTTAAATTTCTGATTCAAAAGCAAGGCATAGTTTTGGTAGTAAATACAGAAAACATAAGAATACAAAGAAGGAAAAAACTCACCCATAGAGATAATCACATTTTGATATATTTATTTCTAGTACTTTTAAAATGTACATGTTTATTTGTAAATGCATAAAATTTCATGAATTTGAGAATGTACTCCATAGTATATATACTTTAACATAATGCCTTGTAAACAATTATTCATGTCATTAAATATTATTCATAAATACTAATTTTAATGTCTGTAGAATATTTACTGCTTTTATCATAATTTACTTCATTTAGGGTGTTCATCATTTTTTGTATTCAAGATGTTCTGGAAAACATCATTATATGTACATTTTGTCTTCACTGTTATTAATTTCCTTTGGTGACAGATTGCTAGGAGTAGAATTATTGGGTTAAATGCTCTTATGCACATTTAGAAGCAATCAATGTGAAACAGAAAATGGTACTTGCACAATAAAAAAGTGACATACAATTAATTCTATAAAATACCTGCTTATTCTTGGATGAAGTCTTTTAACATATGGGAGCAGCTATGCTGGCTTTTCTGAAAAAATTCTGGTATAAACTTTGCAGTGAATCTTAAAGCAGTATCAGCTGTGAAGATTTCATCAGTTTATGCTGAATATAAACCTCCTCATCTTGTGGTTTCATTTGTGGTTCTGATTCTATTAGTGAAAAGTACAATTTCTACAAAGTTTCTATGATCTTGGGAACAGTTGCATGTGTAAATGTGCATGCTAAATTGATTAATTCTTTCTGAACAAGAAATAAATTCTTAAGGGCCATTCTTTTCTTGTACTGTCAGGATACTAAGTGGTCACCTAATGTTTTTTTCCAAATCCAATCATCTATGACCTTTATTTAACCAAGATGTTTTGCTGTCTTGACAGTGCATTATTACTACCAAGACTATGTGTCATTGAGCTAAAGTGGAAGGCTATAATCACGAATGAGCAAAGGCAGCTGGCTCATGGAGACACTGATACCCCAGCCTTGGCCTAATTATCACAGGGATCCATGGCTACCACATGATTTGTAAATGGACTGGGCGAAAGACATGTAAACAGGATGTATTTTAAACATCACTATGTCAAACCCTTCAACAAATATTAAGTATCTAGTATGAGTGAAGCTCTGTGCTAGTGAAACAGGTAAGACACTCACAGAAATAACTTCCTGAACAAAGTTCTGTGTGTAACAACTCCCCAAAAAGACAGACATAGAAATATTTACCAGGTGTTTTGGTAACATCTCTCAACAGCTCGAACAGCAAATCCAAGGTTGGTGGTTGGTGCTGACGTGGACAGTTGGATACAGCCGCTGTTAGCTGCTCCAGCAGGATGATCCAGACTTCTATCAGACCTAGAAGACAAAAGGCAGATCTCTTTGAAATTCAGTTAAGCATAATACAGAATCATCATAGGACCAAACTAAACATTGCAGCTTACCAATGTGCTGCTGGGTGTGAGGCTTTACCCTGTAAGGGAGCCCTGCATGCTCTAAGCATGGACAGACTATGATTTACATGATCTGAAAAATTCAAAGGAAAAAACCTTCAGTATGAAGGTGATACGGTATGTAAATTCTATTCTATTGAAATGAGTGTCAGATGTCTTGGGAGCTGATAAAAGCAAAATAATAAAATATCCTTTTAGTTTCATCATTTCAGTCTTTTGAAAAAATTATTTTATTGTAAATACACACCAAAGATTTGACATTTTCACCATATTTATGTGTACAATCAGTGGTATTAATTACACGCACAATGTCATGCAACCATCACCACTATCTATGTCCAAAACTTTTCTATCACCTCAAACAGAAACTCTCTAACCATTAAGCAGTAACTATTCTACCCCTCACTTCAGCCCCTGGTAACCTCTAATCTACTTTTGGTCTCTGAATTTGCCTATTCTAGATATTTTATGTAAGTGGAATCATACAATATTTGTCTTTTTGTGTCTGGCTTATTTCACTTAGCATATTTTCAAGGTACATCCATGGTTTGGCATGTACCAGAACTTCATTCCTTCTAATGGATCAATAATACTCCATCATATGCATGTACTACATTTTGTTTGTCTGCTCATCTGTGGATAGACACCTGTGTTGTTTCCACCTTTTGCCTATTGCTAATAAGGCTGCAGTGAATGCCGGAGGAGAAGGGTCTGTGCAGTCCTGTATGCTTAGGAGGGGAGCTTCTAGTCATAAGGCCATTCTGTTTAGCTTTTTGCAGAAGCACATAACTATTTTCCATAAAGGCTATATAATTTTGCATTCCTATGAGGGTTCCAATTTCTCCACATCCTTGTCAACACTTGTTATTTTCTCTTATTTATTTATTTTTAACTATAGCCATCTTAGTAGATGTGAACTGGTGTTTCACTGTGGTTTTAATTTCCCTAATAACTAATGATGTTGAGCATCTTTTCATGTGCTTATTGGCCACTGCTGTATCTTTTGAGAAGTATCTGCTCATGTCCCTTGCCCATTTTTAAACTGGGTTGTCTTTGTGTTGTTGAATTTTAGGAATTCCTTATATATTCTAGATATGAAAACCTTATCAGATATATAATTTACAAATATGTCCTCCCATTCTTCATTGTCTTTTCAATTTCTTGATAATATCCTTTGATGTACAAAAGTGTTTAATTCTGATAAAGTCCAAGTTACCTGTTTTGTCATTTGTTGCTTGTGCTAGTCTATTTTCTTTGCTCTTGTTAGTGCCAAGGGTCTACCATTCATCTCTAGTTTCTTTGTTGTAATCTATAAATTATTTTTAATTCACCTGTCCATACTGCAGTTTGCAATTCTGGCACTCTGTCAATCCTGTGTGCACACACAGCACTGTAAATACTGCTCACAGATGGGGAAATGATGCTTACAGAATCAACAGATTCATCTGCCCTAAGCAGTACACCTCTCAGTCCAAACCCCTCTCCTTCTCCTCCTCTGAGTTTCATCTTTAAAATAAGAAACTAACTTTTAGTGCTGTTCATTACTGAGGGAAAAAGCATGAGATTCATTTTACTAGATTCAAACAGTTTAGTTTTGCCATTTACACAAGCACTTACACAAGTATTTACACACAAGAATGCCAACATTCTTGCTCATCACTGATGTTAAAAATATGTGAACCTACAGCTCAGATAACAGAGGCAAAGAAAGGACTCAATTTCTCTAGCTTCATACAGAAAGACCAAGAGTGAAGTAAAAAAAATAGCCAACCCTACATTTTAATGTTAATCGTTCTAATTTTCCTGCAAAAGATAGTGGTATCAAAAGATGGCAGTTTTAAAAATATTTCCATTAAAAAAAAACTACTTCCACAGTTTTGAACATCCCCATTAATAGGAGGCAAAACTAAATCTATGGACAGTAAATAAAAAAACTAGGTGACAAGAAATTCTTTTGAACCTCAACATATAAACAGGTGTGAACAAGCAAATTTACAGGAAATGCAGAAGAGAGAAAAACTAGTTACACGCCACTGTAGGGTGTGCAAACAATAAAATCCAAATGGAAAACTCCATGTTACAAAGGATCTCACTTCTTCCACAAATAAATTACAAAGGGATAAAAAAGAGTTGGAGAGGAATATCTATAGATTGAAGGACACTTAACAGACATATCAGCCAAGCATATAGTGTGAAATCTTATGTGAATCCTGTATTCACAAATCTTATCTTGAATCACAATTCAAGAAAATTGGAAATGTTAACACTGAAATGATATTTGATGTTATTAAAGAAAGACTGTTAACTTTTAGGTGTAAAAATGGCATTATGGTTATGTCTTTGTCTTTAAAGAACACATACTGAAACATTTACAGTAGAAATGCCTTAATGTGTGGGACTTGGTTTAAAATAATTTGGAAAGGAAAAGTGGGTGGGGGAGAGGGAGACAGGAAGTGTGAGAGTGTGTGTGTATGTGTGCGTGTGTAAATATACTTAATAAGAGATAGGCCACAAGTTAATAATAGTGGAAGCTAAGTGATGAGTACTTGAAGGTTTATTATACCATTGTTTGTAGTTTTTTATATGTTTGAAATTTCCATTAGGGGAAAAAAAGTCTTTGGAAACCATAGTAATAACATCAATGGTGAGAATTAATTTTTAATACTAACCTAAAGCCTTCACTTTTATTCTTTTCTCACCTAGGTATGTTACATATATAATCACAATTTTAAAGCCCTCAATGAATTTATAATGTGGGAAACTTTAGACAGGTGCTTAGCTGAACATTATCCATAAGAAAGTAGGCTGTCTGGAAAAACAATGGATTAATGACTTGCACAAATGGGAAGAGGATTGCTTGCTGTTAAAATACAAACCATTTGAAAACCAAATTACAGATAAACAACATTAGCTTCTCCATACAACTGTCTGGATTGGAGGTTTAAGATAACTAAAAATTATCCAATAATTAAAATCATAAAATGAAACTGTTAGGCAACACCCAGTTTCCAATATCTTAATTGTTCTCTACATTAGATTGTTATTCTTTCCTACAGCTTTTCATTAAAACTAGTCTGAATTAGTGAGGTTTTACTGTTTATAGTCCCTATGGAAAACTGTAAATCATCTAGCCACCCCTATAAATGAATTTATAACAGAAAAGAAAGACAGAAACAACAATTAAAAACAAAATAGTGAATGAAAACACCTCCCTGAAGAAGTACTTTTGCAAGGGTTTAAAATAACCTATGTCCGGATATTAGACCTCTTTAAAGAAGTTGTTTCATTTCTAGCTCTAGAAACAGAACAGGGTCTGCGGAATCAGAAGGCCACAAGCATGAGTTAACCAATCTGAAAATTATCCAAAATTCTAGACTGAACTCCAATTCACAGGAAATTACATACAAACTAATTTGAAATACATTCCTTAAAATTATTCTTTTAATGAGCCTTCAGTTTCACCAGTCCCAAACAGATTCTCTGTTCAGTCACGGCTTCATTTCCCCAGTCTCTAATCAAATAGTCTTGCAGGAAGTAATTACATAATGGTTGCTTCCTTAGAAGAAGGTATTAAAGACAATTACCAGCATTTAAGTACCAATGCACAAAGCAACTACAGTCCAATTTGCTAAATTCAGGAGAACTCAGAGTTAGAAACTATATACTCAGTAGAATCTACAAATCTGCAGTGATTTTAGATGGAGGTACCATCTGAATTTGACATGATATATTTGGAGAGTCCATGAAAACTTTAGGTAGACTTATTTTGTTAGAATTAGAAATAACAACATAAATGGATGCTCACCCTTGTCATCTACAAACTACTTAAGGTTTAAGCTTCTGGGCGTATGAACATAGTAAATAGTAAATAACCTGGTTTAGTCCAATCAATGAGCTTACCAGTGTCATCATCAAAATCAGACAGGACTGACTCAATTCCATCCTCACTGCTGGCTGACTGCTCCTGAAGTCTTCGAGGCAAGCTAGCAAGTCGTCCACTAAGGAATATTGGCTTCAAGGGCATTTTGTAGATTTTGGCCAATAACTGAATAAAAAAATGCCAAATTGCAATTACATATTAGAAAAAGCTGCACATGGACTATTAAAGAATGAAATTATATGCCAGAAATAGAAGGGTGAGAGAAAACCAGAAAAGCTCCTGATGTATGAAAGGTTCAAAGTTGGCTTGTTTGTGATTTGGATTCACAGGTTGCCCACAAGAGCGAGCCATCCTATGAAGCAGGAGAAATAGCATCCAAGAGAAACAAGAAGGTAGAGGAAAAAGCCTACAGATAATTTTTTTTCAGAATCTCAATTCCTTACAAATTTCACAGACTTTTGTAAACCTACCAAGGGAAACGTAAAACATGTCAAGAATTTTTGCCTACGGGAGGTGTTCTGCGGGGACTTCTAAGAAGGTCCGTAGGTAAATGGGATACCAGACTCTGATTTCCCCTTCCCTTGAGTCAACATCTGGGAAACAGGGCCAAGAGCAAGTGGGGGAATGGAGGAATCTGTGGGCAAGGTGGAAGAGATGACGGTCTCAGGAGCAGAGCTCCCAGACCGCCCTGCATTCTTGATTTTCCTCTCACTGCTAGACCCATCCCCCAGAGATTCTGTTACTGGCATAAACCCCCAAGGCTCTTCATGATTTAGAATTGTACCTGCTCTGCCTGTACTGTTCTAGAAACCAGGGAAACAGCTGTGAGTGAGACTTAGAATTATCTTCTCACAAATAATAAATAAAATTTGACATAAATGCTGCAGGAAAAAATTAGACAGCAGATATTAGAAGGAGTGACTAGGGAGTGTGGGATATGTTGACATGGACCTGGCGGACACCCAAACCCTGGTCTCCCTGGGAAGCTGAGGTTTCAGATGAGATCTGGAAGACAAGGAATATCAGAGAGAGATTATGGAGAGAGATTTCCAGGCAGAGGGAACAGCAATGGGCCTGAGCATTAATGAGAGGGATGTCCTTGAAGAGAGCACATTTGTGTGCTTAGGGTATAGTGAATGGGGGGGGGAAGGATCTCAGGGTGAAAAGATAGCTGGGGTCATGGCACTTGGGGCCTTGTGGAGGTAGCTGGAGGAAGCAGCCAGGGCTGGCATCTTTTCTAAAAACAAGAAGCTTAACATTACCACCAAGGGAGAGGTGAAAGATAGAGACAAAAAGAGGCCTGGGGCCCCAACCCGAGAAGTTGTCACTGAGGCCAGAAGGGAAAGGGCTTCATGGAGGGAGTATTGTTTTTATTCCACCAGAATTTGACATAAGGACAGGTAATTATTGGACTTAGCACGACAAAGGTCACTATCACTTTGATAAGCACTGTTTTATAGGATTTCAGTACTAGATCTCAATTGAATATGTCCCTCTTACTTTTTTTATGTCTCTCTTCACTATTTGTGCCCCCATCCCCCTATCAGGAAGATGTCCCATGACCTCATGACCCCTTCCCCTAAAGACTGACACAAATACAGAGATTATGGCAGTTCATGTGTTCGAGTACAAAAGAGAAATTTCAGAGATTGCAGGTGTAGTTGAGTGGTTTACTATATTATTATTTATTTCTTTCACGGAGTGGGGACGAAATGTCATACTCCAAATCTAAGCCTTATCTGCTCAGAGGCAGCAGAAAGTACCTCTCGTGGGCTTCAGCAAGAGTCCATGCGTGTTTTGGCAAGTATCTTTTGAGGCAGGTCTCAGGGCCCGGACTCAGCATGAGCATTCCCGTACCTGAGAACAGCGCCTAAGGTAATCCAGGGCAGGGAGGCACAGGTCTGGGGACGTGGCTCCTGGTCCTGGGACACAGTCTCCAATCTCTTTACAGTCTACCTCCCCTGGGGGCAGCAAAGGGAGACAGAAACAAACAAAATTACCCTTGTTTTCACCTTACAACAGAAGACCTATTCATTCAAACAGCATCAGTTCACCAAATGTCTACTAAAATAGAAGAAGGAAAAATTACCTTCCACTGTACAACCTGGAGACAAATCCTTTCAGTCATTTTTTTTTCCCTGCATGTGTACAGGTTACATATAGGCGGGACCACACTGTACGTCCTATTTGCTTATCCTGTTTTGTCTTAACTCCCTTTTCCAATAAATTACCAACTCCTTTTCTGTATTCTCCACGGGGCTTCCAGTGGCTAGATGGTGCTCTCTTGTACCCGGGCACTATCACTCACCTCACTGGGTCCCTGCTGTTGATGGTGTGACTTCTAAAGCTTTGATGACAGAGGATGATCCCAGAGACAAGCCATGTGCTTGGCTGGAATGAAGCAGGAGGTCTCTGTTTGAAAAGGTACCTCATTTGCTGCTAGTGCTCAGTACTAAACAGTGACGATAAAGATTCTGGGAAGATTCTAAACATCTGGAGCTTGGGGATGGAGGCTATATAAGTTAAATGACTTTTATTTTTTGTACACACCTAGAGATTTCACAGATCTATAGAGGGTATCTAGATTTTTCCATAGGTAAAGAGTAGTTGAGTATTATTCTTTTTCACATGCAATGAATCTATTTCACTACTTTTAATAAAATCATTCCACAGCACTGTAATTGTTTCTAAATGTCTATAATCACAGCAACTAGCACTCTCTCCTCTGGGTAAACAGACATAATTACTAGACATTAGTTAAAATTCAGACAAAGAGGCATGTTTCTCCTTAAAAATGAGAAGAAAAGATAAACATTTCTTATGTCTCAGATCAGAGACTGGCAAATTTTTTTGTACAGGTCCAGGTAGTAAATATTTTAGGCTTTCCCCAACTCTGCTATTGCAGCATGAAAACAGCCATAGACAAATGGTCATGGTGGTGTTCCAAAGAACTTACTTATAAAAGCTAACAGTGGGTTGGGCTAGGCTTTTGGGTAATAGTTTACCAACCTGTGGTTTAGATTAACTCACTTTGTGATATAAAAACACAGACAAAATTCACGTTGGAGTAACTAAGTGGGAATTTAAAAAAATTTCATTTCCTAGCCTGTTGATCACAGTGAGTGTTGCAAAGGTTTTATTTATTTATTTTTTACCTACACTGCTTTTTCACATCAAAGTCCAAGCACAGGGCAGCCCCTGGACCAGGAGTGGTATGCAGTACAAGTAACTCCACCTTCTAATTCACAGAAAAAAATAGAACCTGTCTCTTTTAAATATTCTCCACGACACACTGATAATTCTGCAGCTCTATGTTCAGGCCCCAACTCCCTACCTAAGACAAAATTGCAGACTTCTAACATGCTACTATGCATCTCTGCTTGAATATTTTAAAAAACTGAATGTGTCCAAATGTCCAAGGATATAATTCATTACTTTTTCCTCTCCTCCACATCTAGCCTGCTATCTGTTTATATATCTCAATTCTGGGTAATACAAGTCCTTGTAAGAAACTTGGGGAACAGGAATCATCCCCAGCACCTCCTCTCAGGCCCCACATCCGAGCAGGCCCAACCCCTGTAGATCCCACCTCTACAATAGGCTAGAGCCAATTCCTTCCTGTCTACTTTCTTCCAAGCTACCGCAGCACTGGTGTCTGTCTGCAGCCCCTTGTCCCTGCCTACAGGGACATGTGAACTGCCAGAGTCTAGCTTCTAATGTTACACGTGGTCACCTCACTTCACACCGTGGTCCCTTCCTCTCTTTCCAGTTCATCTCCACCACCCCTTCTGTGTGGGTGCCTCCAACGTACCCTATTTTTAGAAAAGTAAACCTAAGGCTCACTTGTCAGAGTTCAAATGTCACTTCCTCTTTGAAGCTGGCGTGGGCCTCCACTAACCAGACATCTGTTCACTGCTTGTTCACTTGGCTTAAATGGCTTTTTTTTTTTTTTTAAACTAGCCTCTCTTAAAGTATTCATCTTACTGAGCTGTATTATTGATTACATGTCTGTTTCCCAGAAGAGGCTGTGAGGGTCTCACAGATGGGAAGCATGTTTTATTCATCTTTATGTCCCCTTAGAATGTCCAGCTGTTGTGTCCACAGAGCTGGCAGCCCCTCAGCTTCTCAGTGAACAATAGGTTACCAGTAATAATGGTCCTTAAATGAAATAGAGGCCTGTAACATAATAGAAAATACACATATTGATCTCTGCCCTGGTACCTGGCACAGAGCTCCTAAAACCCTTGCCATTTGCTAAGTGGGAAGATGCTAAAGAGCACCAGGAACATCATTTGTCCTAATTTTTGGACTTTGACTTCAATTCCTGAGGCAGAGCTCTTAAATCCCTTGAATTTCTTGGGTGATAGGAGTGTCTTCTCTTTTAAGGAGGCAGCTCTTGGTGGGCTCCTGGATGGGGGCTGGTCACCAGAAAGACCAGACGGTGATTAGAAGCTCGGCATTGTCAGCCCCATCCTCACTTTCCAGAGACAGACAAGGAGTTAATGATCCATCATAGCTTATGTGTGGAAGTGTCTATGGAAATCCCCAAAGTATGAGGTTCGGGCTGGTACTTGGTACTTTGGGTTCGGGTTGAGAGCTTCTGGGCTGGTGAACACATCTACGTGCCAGGAGGGTGGCACGCCCTAACTCTGAGGGGACAGGAGCTCCAGTGCTCGGGACCCTTTCAGATCTTGAGTTACATATCCCTTCATCTAGCTGTTCATCTTTATCCTTTATCATATTCTTTATTGTATAATAAACTGGTCAATGTGTTTCCCTGAGTTCTGTGAGCTGTTCTAACAAATAAACGAATCCAAGGGGCAGAAGTCCTGGGAGCCTCTGACATGTAGCCGAGGTGGACAGAAGCGGTAGGTAACCTGGGGACCTGCTACTTACGATTGGTACCTGAAGTGGGGCAAGGGCAGCCTCGTGGGCCTGAGCCCTTAGCCTGCAGTTTCTGAGCTAAGTTGGGTAGCGTCAGAACGGAACTGAATTGTAGGACACCCAGCTGGTGTTGCACAGAATTGCTTAGTGTGAAAAAAACTCCATACATCTAGTGTCAGAAGTGGTGTGAGTGTGATAGTAATATGGGGGCAAAGGGGACACACACAGCAGGAGTGAGTTTTTCCTAAACAAGAACTGGATTTTCTACTATTTAATGCAAGCATTCATGTGTTAGGTCTTTGTTTAAGATAATAAATTATTTGGCTTCTATTTAACATAAAGCAGAGTTCAAAAAAAACTATTCTGTTGCTCAAAAGAAATCTTCCTCTGAAGCTCAGTATATAAAATCAGTAAGTCAGTGGCTGCCCTGGGTGTTCCTCAGCCCAGTCCTCTACTTGGCAGGGTATATGTAATGATACCGTGAGGATATATGACAATGGGAGGTAACAAGGATGGGCTACAGATTAGACATGTGGCCTCCAGCCTCCATCCTGAAACTTCCTTTTGTTCCTGTTAGAAAAGACGGGGAAAATGAGTGAAGTCACCTAGTTTCTTTGTGTCCAGTTTTCTTTTGCAAAGGAATGGCTGCTTATTTAGCAAGAATATAAAAAGAATATTATGAACCTTATCTTTTCCTTGTTTAAACTCAGGCTCCAGGTCTAAGAGCACTCCATGGTGAAATTCTCAAAACTTTTAAGACTTAAGTTCCTTCTAAATTTTTGGGTTAACTAACTGCCCCACCCTTTATTTCACCCCAGATAAACTCATGCTCTATAACAAACTGCGGTAGCAGGTCATGCAATACAGCAAGACTCTACATTTTTAAAGTATTCCTAAATTAAGCATAAAATCTACTGGGTAGTTCCTGAAATACATGAGGCCTCAAAGGAGGGGGACTTTTACATAAAATATGTTTATGATTGATAAGGCCCAGGGCAGGGAGTTGGAAGAGGTCTTGATTTTGGCCTAGAAGGAGGTGGGAACTCAAATTCAGGCTGCTAATTATGTGACACCAAGGAGGATAGTTTCTTGTATAGGGCAATTATTGAATATTTTAAGACTCAGACAGAAGTTGGAGTAAAATAACATATAGAATGAAAACATGCTGCATTACGAGATTAGTCCATGAACACAGTGAAAAATACCAATCCTGGAAAAAATCCAAACAGCTTTTACAGTAAGTTTTCTGCTTCTGAGTACACAACCATCTGCTTATATTCCAGGATGCTTGCTGGCTCCAGGCAATCCGGGGGCCTGTCTCCAGGGATCTCTATACAAAAACATCTAGGAAATAGTCCCCAGCTGTCATGAGGCATGAAAGGAGGACTTCACTTACCCAGTCCTTTGACAAACTTCATAAGGCACATGATGTAACTAGTGGCTGCATTAGCAAAGACCTGGATGTTGTCAGTATTGAGAAAAGCTTCAAATACATCAAACACTGGAGCTTGGCCTTTTCCTGCGGGAGGAAGATTGCAGAATTTTAAGAAAGCTAACGCTCTTCTTCAGGTTGCCTATACTCCCAGAATCTTCCATGGAGTCTTGGAAAAGATCTATTGGAGAAAAGCCCAGGCCTTGGCTGGACCACTGGCTTGGCTCCAATGTTGTCTTTCTCACCTTTGCCTGCAGGGGGAGCTGCAGGAAGGCTACAAAAAGCTCAGTAAAGAGATGAGGTCCAAGCCAAGGGCTGCAAGCACGTGGAGGCAATGTGCAGATCTGTAGGGCAATGACACATGTGTGCCTCTGGGATTCTCCTGCACACAGAATTACAGGGAAGGGAAGGTTTGGCTAAACCCCTAATGGCATACACTAATTTATTCATACCTGTGTGGGAAAGAGTTAACACAGAAGGTCTGAGACTGCTATCCTTAAAAAGGCTGGAATGCCAGGCTAGCCATTGTCTGGGAACTTGGTTCTCAGAATATTTCTAGGCAAGTTAACTGATGAGGGTCTTCCGCTGTGCCTACACAGTTTGTGCAAACAACATGGTGTATTCAGAACACCTGTTTTCCTTTGGGGAGTCTAGAATTTTTTGTCCGTGGAGGCCATGGGTGTCTATGTGACCAGCCCTCAGCTGGGTTTCTTCTGGGCTTCACTGAACACAAACATTACACTCATGCTGCTGCATTTTCACTACTGGGGGAAGAGTCAGCTCCATAGAACCCCCTTCAGGGTGGGTGAGAGCACCAAGAAGCCTGTACAGGAATTTCCCCCAGACTCTGTGTCCTTTTCCCTTATAATTTGGCTTGCCCTTGTTATATTGACATAATAAGTCTTAGTTGTAAGCCAGGTCATCAATCTGAGCCACGTAACAAATCTTAGCACAACTGTAGTTGGCTCCTTGAGCCCTTCTGGTAGGTCTCTGAATGTGGGGTCCTGGGGACTGCTGACACAACACCCTTGGTCACTGGGTGTGCTTTACAGGTGCCCATCCATCTCTAGCCATACTCCATCTCCCTAATTTGGATTCTCCTGTGTTATGATACTTATGCCCTTATTAGCAAGCAGATATCATTTTCTTCTTGGTTTTAGGAATAAATGCAACACAGTTATGTATAAGTGAAACAACAGAAGCCCCTTAGTCTTTTGTTTGATCTGTCAGTAAGAGCAGGGCCTGATAATGCTCAGGACTCTTGATCTCCTGGTAAAACTCAGAATTTGTGTCCCTGCTATTCCAGATTATTTCCTGCTGAGAAAACATGAATGTCAGTCTTCCCTATTGCTCAATTTCTTTTGATAGCATGAAACTTGGCATAAAGAACGCATGCTCTGTAACAGAATCATCCATACATTCTTCCCACTTTCGCCATTCCTATGTAACAGTTTTGGAAATTCTAGCCAGAGCAATTAGGCAGGAAAAAATAAAATGTATTGAAACTAGAAAGGAAGAAGTAAAATTTTCTCTTTATAGATGATATGATCTTACTTTTGGAAAATCCTTAAGATTCCACCAAAAACTACTGGATTAATAAATGAATTCATTTAAGTTCCAGGATATAAAATCAACAGACATTCTTACCCATGGAATAATCACCAACCAGATACTCCTTCACCTCGGACTTGTTCCCACTGTGCACTGTTTCCAGGGCACTGAACAAGGGCCTCCATCCCGACTGGATTTGGGTGGAACACACTTCAACCAGCTCTCCAATGGATGTGACCACCTGGCAGAGGCAAAGGAAGTGGCACTTAAAACCCTGGCCTTAAAAGAAGCAGGAGGATTTCTGCAAAGTGTGATTACTCTATACTTCCTATTTCTGGGTTAATTTTAGTGAAAGAGAAAAATCAGAACCCAGACAAACTCACTTGAAAATCTTCCAAATTTTGGAACATGGTTAGTCGTAGCATTTTGCTAACAACCAATGTTGCTGAGTAACTTTTCATATGTTTATTAACCACTTGTAAATATTTTGCTGTTTTTTTAAACTGGGGTTTTGTCCTTTCAGCATTGTCAATTTATTATTGAGTTGTTGTTCTTTATGTACTCTAGATTCAAATCCTTCCTGAGATATATGATTTGAAAATATTTTTTTCAGTGTTGGCCCTGTCTTTTTGTTTTTCTTTTTAATAAAGTTTTTTGAAAGAGCAAAAGTTTTCAATTTTGATAAGGCCTAATTCATCAATTTTTCTTTTTATGGATCATGTTGGTGTCATTTCTAAAAAATTGTTGCCTAACCCAAGGTTTTAAAGTTTGTTTCAGTAATATTTATCATACTAATGTCCATTTTGCCTGACATTAAGACAGTCACCCCAACTCCTTCATGGTTACTGTTCGCATGTCATATCATTTTCAGTCTTTTTACTTTCAATCTATTTGTGCCTCTGAATCTAAAATCTGTCTCTTACAGACTGTACGTTGTAATATCTTATTGTCTTATATAGCCTTACAATCTCCACCTTGATTGCTGAGTCAATTCATGTTTTTTAATAATACCTTTGAGATATAAACATAATAAAATTTACCCATTTATAGTGTTCAATGTTTTCTTAGCATATTCAGGGCATTGAACAACCATCACCACAATCTAATTTTAGAACATTTTCATTACCTCCCCGCCAACCCAGTACCTGTTAGCAGTCATTCCCACTCCATGACCCTACCCTTTGCCTTAAGCAATCACGAATCTACTTTTTGTCTCTATAGATTAATTTTATGGACATTTCATGTAAGTGCAATCATATAAAATGTGGTATTTTGTGACTGGCTTTTTTCATTTAATGTAATGTTTCCAAGGTCCATCCATGTTGTAGCACAATGTAGTATTTAAGTTTTTTATTGCAGAATATTTCATTGGTGGATATGTATTTTATCAATTTATCAGCTGATGCAATTTAGGTTGTTTCTAATTTTCTGACTATTATGAAAAATGGTGCTACAAACATTTGTGTCCAAGACTTATATGGGTAAATGTTTTCACTTTTCTTGGGTGAATACCTTTTGAGGACTGTTTTCCATGGAGGAAACACATTTAGCCTTCTCACTAGTAGCATATGAGGGCTCCAACTTCTCCACATCATCACCAAAACTTGTTATTATCTTTTTTACCAAAGTCATCCTAATGGGTTTGAAGTGCTATCTCATTTGGGTTTTGATTATTTCCATAATAGCTAATGATGTTGGGCATCTCTTCATCAAAGCATATTTAATGCTTTTATTGCTATGATCCTATTTATATCTGTCATTTTACTATTTATTTTTCATATATATAATGTGTTTTGTTTCTCTGTTCTTCCTTTCTTTTCTGTTAAATATATTTTTAGTGTATCACTTTAATTGCTCTGTTTATCTTTAATCTGTTTTTTGTGTTACTTTTTTCACTGTGGCCCTAGGGATTTTAGTATGCATCTTCAATAAATCATAATATTCTCCAAGTTAATACTGACTTAATTCTGGCAAACTATAGTAACTTTGCTTCTAAATAGTTCTGTTTTCTCTCCCTTATATTTGCTACTGTTACTTATATCTTTTAATACTAAATATAAGTATTAAATAAATCTAAAAATTCAGTGTGTTATTGCTTTAAACATTATGATTTTAAAATAAATTAAGAGAAAGAGAAAAACTGTATACAATCTTTTATATTTACCCACATAGGTACCATTTCTTTTTATGAAATTGATTTACTACCTTTTGTTATCTCTTTTTAGTCTAAAGGAATTCCTTTAGTATTTCTTATAAGAAAGGTTGGTTGGCAAGAAATTCTATCAAGTTTTATCTGATGATGTCTTTACTTCATTTCTGAAGGGCAGTTTCTCTAGAATTATTTATTAATCAATTTTTTTTCTTTCAGCACTTTCAATATGTTATTTCACATTGTCTTCTGAATTTTATTCTTTCTGGAGAAGTAGCAACTAAACCTATTGTGTTTTTCACATGGTAATGAACTGGTTTTCTCTTGCTGCTCTCATAGTTTTTTCTTTGAGCAGGTTGACTATATCTACTGAGGACATCCTTGTGTTGATGCTAATTGGGGTCCCATTATTTCTCTAAATATTCCTACCCCTTTGTCTTTCTCTTCTTCATCTGGGACTCCCATTACATGTATGCATGGTATTTCCCCACAGGTCTCAAAGGCTTTATTTATTTTTGGTCAAACTTAATTCTTGCTGATCTTTTGAATGGATCATTTCTATTAGTCTATTTTCAAGGTCACTGATTCTTCTATCATCTCAAATCTTGCTGGTAAGCCCATCTAGTGGAATTTTCATTTCAGTTACCGCTCTTTTCAACTCTAGAATTTGCATTTTTTTCATGGTTTCCATTTCTCTATTTAGACTACCTTTGAGTCACTGTCATCACATTTTTCTTTAATTTTTTCAGTATATTTATAATAGCTGTTCTATAGTCTGTCTCCCAAGTCTAATATCTAGACTCACTCTAAATCAATTACCATCTATTGTCCCCTCCCTCCTGCCCCACTCCCCATCCCAGTATGTGTCACTTTTTCTTGTCCCTTTGTATGTCTTTTTTTTTTTTTGCCAAAAAATGGATATTTTAGAAATAAATTGTAGCAATGCTGGATTCTGATTTACTTTTCTGTTTTTTTTTTTAAACTAAGGAGTTGGACTTCAACTGTGGAAACTGTCTCTTCCCACATGTGAGGCACCAATGGGCCTGCTTAATTTCTTTGTTTTTATTTTTTAGTCCAACTTCCTAGTGTTCATCCCCATGCTTGCACAGGTTAGTGGTCAGCTGCTACACTGGGGGAGATTGCACTCAAACACACTGAGCTTTTAAAGCTTCCACCCCGTGCCAACCAACACGTATCTAGGTTGGAGACAATATTCCAAATTCAGTCAGTTCTTAAGTCTCCCTTGTATTTTACTTTCTGATAAGATATATATAGTCTATCTTGCATATGTCCAAGTTTCAGTTGCCAGAAATGTGTGAGGAACTTATCTAGTCCTCCCATGAATCTCTGGTTTCTAGAAACTCATGTTATATTTCTTACTACAATCTTAGGCTAGCAAAGCTGCAGGATTCCCAGTTCGTTCACTTCCTAAGGAACTCCCCACTTTTAGTTGACAAACCAATGATCTTTTTTCCTCTTCTCTAAACTAAGCCTGTTCTTTATATAAGAAAAGCTGTTGATTTTCCAAGTTAATCCCACACTGGTCAAACTACTATTCTTGCCAACAGCATGGTAGTAACGGTGCTGGGTGCAGTCTTTGGCAAGAGGTCACAGACTCCCACTGTTCTTAACCAAAGTTCTAGCAAGAACTATTTTTAAGCATAAATGCTATTCAATTTCTTGTATGCCCCTTGGTCAATATCCAAAGCACTGAAATGGTTGCTTTTGACAATTCTGTCTTTTCAAAAATTGAAATATAGTTGATATGCAATATAATATTCATTTCAACACAGTGATCTGACAATTACATACACTGCTAAGTGCTCACCATAAGTGTAGTTACCATCTATCAATATATGAAGATATTACCATATTATTGACTATATTCCTTATGCTGTACTTTCCATCCTTGTAACTTGTAACTCCTAGTTTGTACCTCTTTATCCCCTTCAGCTATTTTGCCCATCCTCCCACCTCCTCCTGTATGGCGTCCACAAGTCTGTTCTCTGTGTCTGAGTCTATTTTTGTTTTGTCCATTCATTTATTGTTTAGATTCCACATATAAGTGAAATCATACGGTATTTGTCTTTCTCTGCCTGACTTATTTCACTTAGCATAATACCCTCTAGGTTCATCCATATTGTCACAAATGCCAAGATTTCATTTTCTTATGGCTAATATTACATTGTATATGTGTCCTGTATCTTCTTTATCCATTCATCTATAGATAGACACTTAGGTTGCTTCCATACCGTGGCCATTGTAAATAATGCTGTGATAGATATAGGAGTGCATATACTTTTTCAAATTAGTGGTTTTGTTTTCTTTGGGTAAATTCCCAAAAGTGGAATTTCTGGGTCAAACAGTATTTCTATTTTCAGTTTTTTGGAGAAACTTCCATTTTGTTCTGTTTTTATACTTGATTTTTGTGAGGAGGATTCATTAACTTCTCATGCCACCATAGCCAAAGTGCTCCCTGTCTTAAACTTTCTGAACATATTTAAGCATAATATGTTAAAGTCTATCTCAGATAACTCCGATATCTGGATACCTGGCTACGTATGTATGTGTGCGTGTATATTTTTATTGTTTGTTTGTTGGTTTTGTTTTCAAGGACATGTTATTTCCTAATGAGTCTGATTATTTTTTATTGAATGTGAACATTGCATATGCAAACCAAGAAATAATTTCAGTCCTTGGAATGATGTTATCTTCTGTCAGAGGGGTGTTTTGTGCCTATTGTAGGCTCTAGAAATCTCAGGTCACCCAATCTCATATCAAGTATTGGGTTTGTCTGAAGATGGGGATTATTTCCTGCTATGACTAGTCTACCACCCTTCCTTCTCCTATGTCCCTTTCTCCTCATGGTTCTCACCCAAGATGTCAGGAAGTTACTAGATTTGGCATGTCTTGTACTCCAATTGAGCTTAGCTTCTCAATCTCTCAGCTTCCTCTTCTGAAATTAGTAGATTCCATTTCAGGAAAAGCAGCTGCAAACATGAGGCACCACCTCTAGGTATTCTTTCTCTCCTAGATGTTGGCCTCACAGTTATTCACTTCCTTATTTTATTCCAGTGATTAAAAAGCTTTTTTTAATCCAACTTTTTCTAGCTGTTCCCTGTGGGAAGTTGATCTCAGTTACGTAGCTCACCATTATTGGAATCCTCCAACCTAGTCTTTAGGTATTCTCTCATATTTTCCTTCATTCTCATTTAATATTTTTCATGAAAGATCCAATATTTCAATTCTTTTTAGTTGTGGTTGTGCCATCTGTTGTTTCAGCAGCTCCCTCTGAGTATTGCCTTGTTTCTGTATGTTTTGTGGTATTTTATAAATACTGTAAATTCACATATTTCTGAACTTTGTGAGATTCTTTTGTGACTTGAGTTGAAATGAGTCCCTCCAAAGGGAAGAATTACGTTGCTTCTGTAGAGCGCCTACAGGACGCTGCTCAGACCACTGGGTGGTGCAATTTCCTACCCTGACCGCACAGAGGGGCTAGCCTGTAATTTTAAATTCTGGAGAGTTATTTTATCTCCACCAAGAGCCAATGTTAGAAAGAGGCTGATATAACTCAGGGAGGGTAGTACCCCATTCATTTCTAATTCAGCCGTGGCCTGAGGGTAACAACGGTTCTATAAGGTTTGCATGGAGATTTCTCTCCGGTTCTGGTGGCCTCAAGAATGTTATTAAGCAGAACTCAGCTTCACCCGAGGCAAATTCCTTCATAGCAGAATCCGTCTTAAGAGCTTTGCCTGCTTCTCTGGTTTCTTGTTACTTAGCTTTGGGCACCTTAGTTTTCCTTACTTTCCTGCTGATATGTCAATGTATTTAAAAGGAATTTTTAACCGTTACTGAAAATTTTTAGTAAATTTTGAAGAGAGGATCTGAGTTTCTAGCACACCATCATGCCCGATATGAAGTGTCCAGTTAGTTCCTTTGGCATTTGTCTCTCAGTAGAGGGTATGGTAACAGTTAAAAGTATAGGCGAGGTCCAAGTATAGACCAGCATAGCCAGATTGCCTAGGTTCAAACCCCAATTCCACCAATCACTAATCATGTGTCCTTAGCTAAATTGCTTAGCCTCTCTTTGTCACAGATCCCACAAAGGATTACTGGAAAGATGAAACATGCAAACGTCATAGAACAGTGCCTGAAAGTGTGCTCAGTTAGAGCCAGCTCCAGTGATGACGGTGCTCACCACCAGGACATCCTCACCTGGTCTTGGACGTCCTCATCACACAACTCCAGCTGCATAATACGCTCAAAAGGTCGGAACAGTGCTTCGTTAAAATGAAAATGAGGTGGCTCATTCCAGTCAGTGAGAACCTCTGTCAGTATATCATGGATGAAGGAAACAGCCTTCTGAGAGACATGTCTTTCCTTATGGCAGGCAGCCTGCAAAATCCATGAGAGAGTAGAACAACATTAGGATGTCAGGCAAGAAGCTGTTTTCTGAAGTTCCTAGCCCACCTCACTATAAGGACATGGAAGCAGCAAATCTGTTAAAGTAAAAAATCCCAAGGGATAGGTATGGAAGAACAACACACCAAAAAATTCAGTTTTTAATAATTTAACCAATTCATTGGACACACCTCCAATTTCACTCAGATGTTCTTGGAAAAATAAGAGCTTTTAATGATTTCTTTCTTTTTTTCTGTAACATGACAGTTTTCTTGGGTAGTATACAACATGCTGACAAAGACACCAGAACGTAACTGGAACTGCCCATGCCCTCATTCTTAGCCATGCCCCAAACATATAAAGATTAAATGAGCCAGGTGTCCTTCACTGAGGTGGGCTAATTGCAGCAGTAAAGCTCTAACTGGTTCACATCTTTGTATTCATGCTCTTTAGTACTTCTTTCCCACACTGCCCATGAGCCTGGATGTGTGACTTGCTCTGGACAATGGAACAATACCAAATCATGTAAGTAGAGAACTGAAAAATAGTTATGTTTGGGGTTTTGCCCTCTTGCTTTCCTTTGGAATCCTCAGGATGCCATGTAATGAGCCCAGGCCAGTCTGCGGGGGGAGGAGAGACCACGGAGAGAATCCCACGTGTCTGGCCTTCCTAGCCAAGTCCCTCATGAGCCAGCTGGCCCGTCTTCGTCCCAGCTGATCACAGGTATACCAGTAGGGCAAGCTGAGGTCAGCGAAGCCTGGCTCAGAGCACAACGGCCCAGCTGAGCCCAGCTCAAATTTCTGACTCACAGAATCATGAGCTAAATAAATAGTTGTTAATTTAATTCACTACGTTTTTGGGGTGGTTGATTAGGTAAAAGATAACTGATACACTGTCCCATACCTAAGTTATTATTTTCTACCCATTTTCCTTACTAGAATGTTTTCAGTTAGTGAATTACTCCATGACACAGTTCTACCAGATAAGCACTAAAAGGTTATTAGGAATAGGTATCGCTGGGCAAACAGGGCAACAACTTCCCCATCAGCTTAGACATGGCCAGTCATCATGTCCTGAGATGCTCAGGTGGTATGATGTGATTTCTCAAATGTATTCCCTTTTGGAGAGTGAAAGGGGGCTTCACGTTAACTTTATGGGGAAGACCAGATGTATGATTCCCCCACTTATAGGGTATTTCCCAGACTATATTTAGCTATTAGAAAAGAAGGACTGGCAAGAACAAAGGGTATTGTTATATTCATGCATACAAGAGAAGCTACAGACTTGGGTTGATCCTGGATCACAGAGTGAATAGCTGGCTGTGTACAGCCCCTAGCCAAGTTATGTGATTGCAAAGACAGAGGGTCAGAGTGAGACCAGGTAGCACTGCCCTCTGGGGTGATTCTTTAGAAGCCATGAAGTATACTCAGAGGACTGTGATGTTTGTGACCAGGTGATGGGAACCTTGTCACTGCTGAGCTCTTCATCCACACACCATCTCGCACAGCACAGCAGGCTGTGCTGCAGGAGTTTGCTGAGCTTCCCACCTTCCAGGTGCTCACCTCCACCAGGTGTGGGGCCACAAGGCCCCAGCAGCGCATCACATGGAGCAGGGGCCGTGATCTGCTCCTCACAATCCTCAGCATGGCATCCCCGAGGCGGAAGAGGTGGAGGGCGCTTTTTCGGTCTTGAGTGGATTTAACTTCTCCTACAAGGGGGTAAGACAGCAAAAGCCATGAGGCCCAAACTCAGAAATAATTCAGTCTGTTCGAGCACAGAGACAGGATGAAAATCAAAGAACCGTACTCAGCTTAGTAGGGTTATTAGGTGTGCGCTAACGAAGAGAGGAGAGGACCCTAGCTTCAAGGAAGAACTAGGTGGTCTGCACAGCAAGGTGAGGGTCCGCCTCTCCTGCCTGCCACCACCTCCCGAGTGCCTACGGTGAGAAGTGTGAACAGTGCTTGCTGATAAGGGGCCATGGCATAATGGTTAGGGACGAGGCCTGAGCAGTCAGACTGAGCTCAAATCCTGCTTCCCCCACGTGGTACTGGGTTATACTGGACGAGACATTTACCCGTCTAGGCTACGGTCTCTCATTGTAAAAGTGGGGATAACAGTATCTACTTCTTAAAGTTACTTTGAGGATTAAGTGTGGGTAATACTCATGAACACAGGCCTGGCACAGAGTAGTCTTAACTATTGTCATTACTGTAGCCACGGGCATTCTTCATACTTATCATGATCTTTTGCTGCTTTGCTGTGTCACGTCTTCTTTCTTCTTGCTCATGTCCTATTACTTCCCCTATACCGCCTCCAAAATGCTGATCGTTATCAAGTTCTTCTAACCCAAATGATCCTAACCAATTAGCCTTACCATATCAAACTTCAAAATGGCACTAATGATAATCACTGACATTCACTGTACATTTACTCTGTGTATCTTTAATCACCTTAATTTTTAAAGCAAACCTTAAGAAATGGCATTATCAACATCTTATAGATTAGAAATTGAAGGCCAGAAAAGTGAACTGATTTGCCCAAGACAATGCTGCGGCTAAGTGGTCAAGGACAGAAGCATTTTAGGTCAAAGGTGCATTTTAACTCAGATCTGATTGGTTCCAAAGCAAATGGCTTCTCCTCCCAGGTCTGCTGCCTCTTCCTGACCTTGTTCACTGATCTGGGAAGCTCAAAGCCTGCTGATATACCCATTGCAAAAACTACGAAGGCTGCCCCAGGCTCACAGATGCTCTGGAAGACTGCTGGGTTCAGGTTTAGCTAAGGTTTTAAAGTCTGTTAAAAATTAGCAGGGCAAGAACTGTAGTTCTCCAATTACGATCTACAGTAGGCTCAAAAGGCCAAACACATTACACTTTTAGAATTTCAGATTCCTAATGATGGAAGGGACGTCAGATGTTGTGCAGTCCAACTATCACCCAGCATGTAGCTCCATGCCTCTGGCTGAACTCACCAGGAAGCTACCATTTCAGCACAACCACCTCTGCTGTAGATGGACAGCTGCATTTGTGAGCAAGCTGCCACCCATCTGGGACCCTCGGGCAAGCAAGTATTGCTCTGATCCCTGTCTGACAGGCTGGCCTTCAAGAGGCCCACTCCCCTTCACCTGGCCTTATTGGTGACGGCAGTGATACTGACCCATCATTAAAGGATATACCCTGGCAGAAGTTTTGCTAAGAATGACGTGAAGCTTCTGTTGATCCTTCTGTTTTTCTCCCCTGTTCTTCCAGTCCCTTCTGGAATCAGTATCTGCTTCTGTAAGTTGGTGGGACCGAGGCAAGAGGTGTGGTTTGTGATAGGGAGAAGGGCTGCCGCCCTCCCATGAAGCTCTCGGCACGCTGAGCAGCCTCACGATTTCAGTATCACAAGCACACCACTTAGTAGAGCCGCCCAGAGTAGCTCCAGGCAGGGGCAGTGGTGACATTTCCGTTTGCAAAGGCCACCCCACACACATCCCACCTCCAGACCAGGACCACCCAGTGGCAAACCTTCACCCAGACTCTGCCAGGGTGACAGTGTGTGAAGGGAATGTGGACTCAGGTCTTCAGGCAGGCTGCCGGTACCAGAGATCCGGGCTGTTTCCCGCTGACCTCAAGGTCGTGTCGTCGGGGACAGAGTTACCTGGCATTGCCAGAGAGTAATCGACCGTCTCCGTGACAGAATGGAAGAGCTGCGCCTGCGATGCTTTCTTCAGCTGGTAGAGGAAACCTCCCAAAGCCATCAGGTTCAGCTTATCCGTAGCATCTTCAAAGAGCCTGGATGAAGCAAACAGATTTGTTACTTGGAAACAATTCAGTGACGTCTTTATGGCAGAATGATTATGGTAATTTTGTTAGATGTGATTAATGAAAATGTGTAAACAATTATAAAGAAATGTATGGTATTATTATGTCTATTATTACTGTGTACGACTCTGCTCCAATTATGAGATTTTAATCCAAAGGGCACAGACTGTATTTTAAAAAAAAAAATCTTTGCTTCCCCATGGCTTAGCTCAGCCATGGTAGGCACTCAGAAAACATCTGGTGGGAAGTTCAAAGTCGGCAAACCATTGCTCCTAGAAACTGAGTAACTGGGAATGGAATCCTTAGAATTAACTTCAGTTTCATACTGTAATAAAGAAACGCCAACTGTAATAAAGAAAAATCCAGTAAGTTAGCTAAGGCTTTTGCTAGGCTGCAGTTGATGAATATAGTACTGGGCTTGGCTTTGAGGAGGATACATAATGAATCCCATAAGCCCTCCTGAGAACAGGGACAATTTTGTACATGAGTTGTACTGAATGGCTGTGCTGTACAGTATGTTCTCTTGACTCATACACCCAGAGCCCTGTACATGGTGGACATTCAAGAACTCACTGCAAGAACCTATATCCCCTAACATAACAGACCTTGCAGGTTCTTTCTGTTTTCCACTCAGCTGGGCGCAGACATTTCTAGCAATTCAGAGGAGGGAAAGCTGAGAGCAGGGCTTAGAGGAGGGTCAGAGGCTCAATGGAATTTGGAGTGCTGGGATCAAATACTGGTCTATGTGGCCGAGGCACACCAGCCTTCCGCTGCTCTTGGGCTGTCCTGCTGCCCACCCTCCAAATCTCTGGGGACACTGGAAGGAAGAGCAGCCCCGTGGGTGGCCACATGCTGGCCAAAGGAGACCGTCTGTAATACAAACTGAATCATGAGCCCTTTGGAAGGGGTAACATGAGACACCAAATTTTAAGATGGGAATCAGTGGCTTCAACATTCACAAATTTTTGAAGCAAATATTTTTTTTTCTTGGTATTTTGTTATTTCAATTTTAATTATCATATAGTTTCTGGGTCCTATTGACCACATCTTCTCCCTCTTTCCTAGTAAGAAAATCATGACTATTACACCCCACTTGAGACCTGGATGCTACTTTCCAGATGCCAACACTCTTTCTTGGTCACCTTGTTGGATAAAGAGGAAACAGCGATTATTGTCCTGAGCTGGCACATACTGTACTGAGTTAGCAGATGAAGAAACTGAGTCTCAGTGTGACTATTTATGGCAGTTGGTTAGTGTCAAAGCCAGGAAAGAACTCAGGTGTTCTAAGCCTCAGTGAATGTTGTTCCCCCTTCCCCACCCCTTGCTGCCCATCTCTCTGCATAAACTTCACTGTGCCCCTGCTGTGGGGCACAATGACCAAGTGGGAGAGTGACTGGTGACCCAAAGCACTTTCAACATCAAGGAGTGTCACCAAACAGTTAGGGTTATTACTGATTTTTCCCTCTCAGCCTTAACGTGGTTGGGAGCATCAATCAATAACATATCACACTCCGGGTGTGGGATTTTAAATATTAATTATCATAAAAATGATGGATTTTTACTGTTTGCCAAGCTGTGTCATAAGTGTTTCATGTGTGCTAAGTAAGTTAACCTCACGCCTGCCGTGTGAGAGAGTGACCCTACTTTGCCATGAGGAAGTCAGGCAGGTGGAGCTGCACAGGTCACGGAGGAGCACGGCTTTAGCCCCTGGTGGCCTGCCTCGCAGCCCCCAGCATTAGTCATTAGACTACAGTTCATTCTAAGTGTGGGGCATGGAGGGAGACAGTATGTTGACAAAAACTCAAGAGGTTTACACAACTGGCTAACAAATCAAGTGGTGCTGTGATGATTCTGAAACCAGAAGAGGTAGGTGTGCTGCAGACGGGGTCTGGGTGCTGGGCTGCGAGCGGCCCAGGGGTGCGGAAGGCGCCTACCTGTCGGCCTGGGTGGAGAGCGTGAGCACGGCCTTAGCAGCACTGCTCCCGGTCATGAGGCTGCTGCCGCGGAAGTCAGAGGCCCGGCCTCGGCCGCCTTCCCGGATGAGTTCTTGGATGGAGAGGGGCTGGATGACAGGGGCTGCGCTCAGGGAGCTCTCCTGCTCCAGGTTCTGTTCCTGGGGGAAGTCCTCACACTCTGGCTCCCCAAGGAGTCCGGAGCCCCGTGGCACCTTCTGGGGCTGGCTGACGGTCAGAGGGGGCTGAGAGGTGCCATCGCTGAAGTGAGTGTGCTCCAATGTCCCCACGTACTCACATACCCTAGAAGGAGGCAGACAAGCAGCCGTGTAGCTCAGGTGGGCCAGTTCCATAAATCCCATCATGAGACGGAAAGGAAATTCAGCCCACTTTGCAGTCCTCCCCAGTTTTTCTCCTTGTCATAGCCACTCTCTCTCTCCCCTCACTGTATATATTACTGTTCTGAGTTGGACCAGATAGCCTGGATGCAGGTAGGATAAACAGGGTAAGGATTCCTCAGATTCCCTTACTCCACGCTGGGAGAAAGGTGGGTAACGAAGCCCTGTTCACCCAGTTCTGTGCTGTCAAGCTCACTGGCTCATATGGACTTTGGCTGCTGGAGTGAGTTTCCCCCAGGAGCCCTCTCCCCCCTCTCTCTAGTGCTCCGATTAGGACTTGGGATGTGTTTCCTCACATCAGGATCCCAGAATGAGTGTGCCCGTGGCTAACAGGCCCTGCTCACCAGGGGTCCCTCTCAGAGCTTCTGCCCAGCCATCTCCCGCCTGGTCCTGATAGCACCATATAACTATGTCAGGGTCAGGAGTGGGCTGGTCCCCAGTCATGGTAAACACAGAAAAGAGTCACAACATACGGTAAAACTGCCAACTTCCAAGTTGTTTGCTCCCAATAGAACCTGGGACTCAGATACTTCATATGAGGCCCCTCATATACCAGAATAAGTCCAGTTACTGGTGAAGACCATCCTGGATGTTCTGATTTTCAAAAAATCAGGCCAGTTTTTGATTCCATATAAATTGCCTGGGTACCATTTAAATTTTTTCCTTTTTCCATTTTGCTTGTGAGAGCAATGAAGAGCAGTATGTTAAAACCCATTTTGCTCTAAGCTGACTCATCCTGGCTCTTTCATATGTTCCTTTCAAGATAAGCTTTTCAATCCTTGAATGATCTGCATGCTTTTCTCTTTGAAACTCAAAAAACACTCATGGGTATTTGCTTTGAGTATCTGGCCAGTGCCCTGGGCAAGATCTGGGTGCCTGAGCTCTGCTTCTGAACATCCTGCTGCTACTCTGCTGAAACTGAGCTCGGTGCATGGGGTGTGTCTAAGGAGGGTAAGCAACAGCCCAGCCCATGCCCTGCCTGGGCTGTGGGCGGCACCCCTTCCTTCATCCTGGGTCTGCCCAAATGCCAGTGCCTGGGGGGACATGCTGTCTTAGGCATAGAAGCCCTGTGGAACTATAGGTCTGTTTTCATCTCACAGGTGCTGAGGTGTGTAACTGACAGGGGGGTGGGGATTCCGCCATGCACCTGAACACGTGTGGCCAGCAGTCCGGGTTGTGGCTTCCCATCTCCAGGCCTACACTGAGGATGGCGTCCATGCACAAGACGTGGGCTGTGTGCAGCCACACCCCCTGCAGCTTCCCGATCTGCTCCAGTCTCTGCTCCACTTTTAGTTTCACTGTACCAGAAAGACATTCAGTAAAAAAACACTCCGAGAATGGGAGACAGACAGGGAGAGAGAAAGGATGACAGGGAAAGAAGGTGATGTCGTGCAAAGGGAAATGACAGATGCCACTGGCAGCAAGCTCCTCACTGGCAGGTCAGCATGCAAGCTACCCAGCCTACAGGCTCCACAGACACTGGTGACCCCAGCTCTGTGGCTTCAGAAGTTGTATGGTCCTGAGCTGGTAGGTGCAGTTCTTTGAGAACCACCTGTGGATTCTGGGTCAGTCACCAGCAGTGAGGATGGGCGGCATGTGCTGACCCCAGCTGAAGCCATCTGTGTCCAGACCCTTCTCCCCCCCCTGTATACTCAAATTGATAATAAGCAAGAACTCCTGGCAGTCAGCAAGTTCTTTCTGAGGTTTATTTAATGTTATGTGTTTCTGATGATGATCATCTAAAACAACATATGTGTGTACACTTGGAGCTCCATGATGACTGCTTTATAACTACAAATTATCATATTAGTTGACTCCTTGAGCTTACATTTACACTTGTGATCTTCAAATAATTCTTTTTTATTGTGGATGACTAATGAGAAAGGATGCAGAAGATGACTTAAGATGTCAGTTATGCAAAATGTCAAGGCAAGGCCAAATGACAACATCCTCCATGAATAAAGGTTTAAGTCATTGGAAGATGGGTCTGGTGGGATAAATGAGTGATGGTCCAGAACCCAAAAATACAGCACACTTACTTCAGAGGAAGCTTTACCTATTTTCCTGTTGTGAGAGGCAAACTGATCCTTAGAAAAGCATCATTTGCCTCATGGATGTGATATTTATTTTTTATTTGTATACATTTTGAATATTAGACCTGGTTTTATAGTTGTTCAAGAACTTTAAATATAAACATTGAAATTAATTTGTGGTTGTACATACTAATACAATTGTGGTAACCCTTTTTTCAGTTAACACTGGGATCTGTGAGAGTTACTTTCAAATGGGTCTCTATGTATTAGCCAAGTTTGAGGAACACTGACCTAACCTGGTTTTCTCAGCTAAAAACATGCCAACTGTTTACAGAACTGGCTATTTTATATACCAGCCACATTGCATTAGTACGAATTGGACCAAGCAACCCATTTTTCCTTCTGTTCATTGCCTGCCATTTATCTTCCATTGCTATTAGGAAGGCCGCTCTCTTTCCTTACATCTAGATAATTCTCACCTTCATTGAGTGATTTTAATAAGTTAAAAATCAACTCTATCCTGAATTCACAAAGCTCAGGTTTGTTTCTGACAAGAATAAAATTCTTAGGGGTTTCCTCTATCTGTTTGATTTCACTATTCGGAAAACTGGCCATTCTGCTTCCCCCACTCTAATCTAGGGGTCCTCCAATGCGCACTCTGTGAAGTACCAAAGCTGGTGGACAGATGATGAGACAGGCATGAACAGGTCAGCCAGCTGGGCCTCTGGCCTACAGGATTCCTGTTAGCAATCAGGAGCACTTTCCTATCAACAGGGGCTAGAATGACTCGTCTCCAGAGGGATCCACTGTAAGCACTCTGTGGGATCAGCCATGAACAACCGGCCCCAGCCTGTGATGCAACTGGGATCTCGTATCACATGTGTAATGGGGAGCATGTCTGTGTGCAAGGGTAGGTGTATGCACAGTGCACATATGGCACCAGATGGGCTCTGGCCCTTCAGCTCTTACCTTGTGCTAAGGCATCGCTGGGTTCTTGGACTTCCTTTTCCTCTTTTTCTTCCTGGACACAGGAGGCAGCTGCCATCTGGGCAAGGGCTGAAGCACAGTTAGCCGCAACTCCTTTGGAGAAAACAAACAATTACCCCTTTATGGAGCCTATTCTCTACCATTCACCTACAGAAGCCCTTCGAACAGACATGTTTCCTGCTAGGGTCATTCCCAGTGTATTCCTCAGGGCCACGCCTCAGTCCATGGGTCAGCCAGCATCATCCCACCATACCTAGAGCACAGCTCAGTCGCGCTGCTTTCCGCAGCCCATCGAGGCTCATGCAGATGGCATCTCGTTCTTTTTGGTTCTGTTCTTTGATGCCTTCAGCTCCCAGAATGAAGGCCAGTCCTTTGGAGCTCCCTGCCATTCGGCCAGTCAGGGGGGTTGATAAAGTATCAATCAAGTTCTTCCAGCAACCAACAAGAATATAGCGAGCAAACGCCACACCTAGAACATGAAGGGGTGGGGGTCACTTCCAGAGACACAAACAACCTGGCAATGAGTGGCACAGAATTTTTTTGGACCATTAAATTAGCAGTACTATGCAATTCTGCTATAGGAAGTATAATTCCCTGGATTGCGTTTTACTTTGCAGTTATAAATAATGAATGTCGCATCATCAGCTGGGTGATGTTATGTAATTTCCATCAGGCACTGTTTCTGCCAAGACAAAAATCTTAGTTCATTTATGTCAGCACAAAAAAACTGTCACATAACAATTTAATTGCTAGTAACACATATAATGCATGTATCCATAAACCTAAGGTACAAGTCATTACCTGCCACTGTGCAGTCATCGATTCTCCTGCCCTGGGTGAAAGGAGATTCGGTAGAAGCTGAGGCCATCAGCTGGCCCCCAATTGCACTGCTCTCTAAGCCATCAATATCTGCCAAGGAAGAAAGCAAGGTTTTCCTTGATGAAAACACTCCAGTCGAAAACAAATAGCTCCCGCAATATTCTTTTATTCCCTCAACAAACATCTGTTGGATCTATTAGGTACCAAGTGGGTAGCAACCTTATATCAGAATATAAAAATATTTTTTTTTCATTAAGTCCAGTTTTGTTTCACTTACAAAGCATTCTTCTGTTAACCAGTTTTACATTTTTAATTTGAAAAAATAAAGATAAATTGTTATCTGTTGTTAGAGAAATCTATTGATTTAGGATATTCTGATCTCTGAATACTCCTTTTATTGAAAACATCATTATTCCCAAATTTTTATATGTAGAGGTTACTCCCATATGGATTTCTCTTTCAGAACCTCCTCATGTGAATCAAGAAGAGAATAAGCCTCTTGGGTCAGATAAAAAGTATTCATTCTCACAGGATATTTTTTTCATTAGATCTTCCCGACAACTCTAAGCAGGTAGGTAGGATAGGCTTTTTATTTTTATTTTTTCCCTATTTCACAGAGGAGGAAATAAATAATTAAGAAGGTAAACTGCCCAAGGTCCTGAGGTTTTTGAAGGAAAGAATCAGACTTGGCATTCGTATCTTCTGACTCCCCTCCACGGTCATCCACATCTCTTTCTATGACACCATGCACTCCAGGGCAGTACAAGATCTTAATTCACCTCGTTTAAATTTTTGTTAAAACAAACTCTCATCTATGGAATTAGCTCAACAAACCACTCCTTAATGTGCTAGCAAGAAGAGACTGGCTGGAGCTGAGAAGGCTGGGCTTTATTCAGCCTTAGCTCTGAGGTAAGGAGCCTTGTAGCCTGGGGGCAGGTACTTTGTTCTCTGGGTCCCAACCTCCTTAGTGTGAAGGAAGCAACTATTGGAGCTGTGACGTTGGAGTTGAAGCGCACAAGCTTAATGCAGCTACCCCAGTTGCATGCCACACAGAGAGGGAAGGGGGAAAGAGGGCAGCATAAGGTTATTCCTTGACTTTAGGACTTCACGCTCACTCCAACAGGATGAGACTTCTTTGCACAGTGTCTGAAAATTACTTCATTACACCTTTGATTCTTACTTTAACTCCAAGAAGCCTAGAAATGTTTGGCAACACATCTCTTTGAAAGTTGCTAAGGGAGTAGACCTTAAAACTTTTTAATCACAAGAAAAAAAGCTGTAACTATGTGTGATGGAGGTTAACTAGACTTACTATGATCCTTTCACTATGTATACATATATCAAATCACTATGTTGTACACCGTGGCCCGATACAATGTTATATGCCAATTATACCTCCATAAAACTGGAGAAAAAAGCAGGGAGAAATCTATATGGCTACTAACAGGGGAACCAGCCAGTTTCACTGATCAGTTTGACTCATGGTCAAATGGGTTAATGACATTCACCAGAAATTGCTATTTATCAAAGTTACAATGTTTCTTACGTGCTATGAAAAGGACTGATGAATTCAAGTAATGTAATGTTTTCCTAAGTGCTAAAATTCCACATTTCTATAATGCTTCAACATGACCATCAGAAAGGGCCACAATCAGTACAGTGCTGATGACCAGATTGTTCTTGCTTTTCCTTTGCAATAATGAAAAACAGCAGTTGGAAGTTTCCAAGCTCTGGGTTAACTGCTGCTCAAATTCACTTGTGATGTAATACCTGGAATTTGCTACAAAGAATCACAGAACCTTATTTTGTAAAATTCTTATGAGAAGAGTATGTTTTTCTACCATTTTCTTTCTAAAGTTAGATAACTTCCTAGGCACTCAGCAACTGAGCTGAAGGTTATCCACTATGAAAGAGATGGCTGATAAACAGTGATGACAGATGAATGTGGCTGCTGTGAATAGCCTATTATTTGTTCACTTTTATACCTACTGAATGACTCCTTTCCTTAAGGTTCAGGTAAGAGATTCATAGAAATTAATTTTGGCAAAAGCTGTGGTAATTGAAAATTGAAGCTGGCATGTTTAGGATCCTCATCCAAATTCCAAGATACTTACAGGCTCTAAGTAGTACCTTCAATCCCTACGGAAGGGAGCTTGTCAAGACAGAGGGAAACCAAGTTTTGCTTACAGGTGGAATGAATAAATGTCTTACACATCCATGAGTTCCTACTTTTCAAAAGGATGTAAATAATATCATGATTAATAAAAAACAAGTGGAACCTGTCCCTCAAGTTTAGGACCCAGCCTTGCTTGCCCAAGTTCCATTCTAGGTCTGGCAGCAAGACCCCAAAGGCCAATAGCCAGGACTCTGCCTGCTGTGGACAGACTTCACAGTATGTCTCCACTCTCTGCCTGATTCTTAAATCGTACCTCACCCCAAACTCCTCATTGTTGGGCTCCACCTGCCTGGAGCACACTCTGCTACCTTTGTAGGAACCCCCAGTATCAACTGCGGGCAATGTAACAGACCCTTTGGGCAATCAATTCTGCCTCCCAGCTAGACTGTCCCGCCCCAGCCCATTCTTCTCCTGACGACGTGCCCTGCCTGGTGCAGAGCCCCGTGAAGCTGTGTGAGGCCATGTGGTAGTACAGACAGCCAGGGAAGGTGTCAGGCATGGGGCCATGCTCTACACCTCCTGTCAGCTGGAGCCAGAGAGGATAACTCAAACCAGAAACCAGTCTGAGAACTCACATCAAATACGGGATGAGCCTAGAGACCTAATTTATTGATGATCAATTCTAGAGTACTCCTTGATCTTCACCTGACATTGTGGTTAAGCCATGAAAAACCATGTACGGCTGCTTCTGCCAAAAACATCGTTTCATGACCCTGTACTGCTCTCCACACTTTCATGTGAAACTTCTAGAAACTTTAGACACTGAAGACAAAGATGCTAGACAACTATTTGGCATTATTTTAATTTCTGTTTCATCTGGAAAGGTGAGGGAGGATTTCTGATATAGAGAGGAAATGGGAATTAAGCCAAGTTTAAAGTCAAACATTTAACATTACTGGCAAATTCCCAGGAGCACTGCACAATACAGGGTATTAATTAGCACGTGACAGTTTCCAGGAATAATTCTGGGCTTTATGCCCAGAAAGTACTTCATATCTAGAAGAGGCTACACCAACAGACATTGGTGCTAAATAGCCCTTATCTAATGGGGCACAGTGAGGTCTGCAGAGTCCCACATAGAAAATGGGCAGAAAACTTGAGGTGAATTCATAACACTTCCCTGGAACTGTCACCAACTGCCAGGGAAGCTTTGTGGTACAAGCCCCCTTGGCCCACTGGGTGCCACAGAGCCATGTAATGAGCCACTGACCCGTCAGCATGGTGATGAGGGGAAGGCTGTTATCCTCCGGGCTGCCCCAGTAGCCAGCTTCTGCCAGCATGTTTCTGTCGAGCACCTGATGGTAGAGTTCCTCGATCCAGGCCTGGGAAAAGACCATCAGCACCCCGCTGCTCTGGACCTGCTTCATGAACTCCTTCTACAGAGATCACACGAGAAGGTGGCCAAATGCAATCCTTTGCAACAAACAGGGTCTTTTTCTGCCTCTTCCCTCCCCAGGTCCCCTGAGTCAAGGCTTACGGGAGAAACAAAATCTTGTTGAATGGGGGTAGCAGGTGGCATGGGAAGGGTAAACGGAGATGGAGAAATTTCAAACTTCATGAAGTTGTTTTCATTTGTGGTATCTTTTTAAGAAATCCATAGAAGGACTAGGGATTCTGTCTTTTGTATTTTTATTCTTCAATGTGTGGGAGGATTAGAAACTGCAGGAAAATCTTTAACAGAGCACTCTCCTCTCACTGTCCCAAAGCAGCAGAGATGGAATGTGCCTCCAGAAAGAACATAGGTGTTTCAAGAGATTCTTGACTTTTATTCATGAAGCCACCAGTTACCCTTGGGAATCATTTATTTGTCAAGTAAACATATGACTGCTGAGTTCCTTCATGCAGCTCCATGGATTTAGGCTCACAAACATATTAGGGTACCCCATGGAGTGGCTTGCCCAGGCAAGGGAGCCCATGCAGGATGACACCATCAGTCTCATTCCAAGCCTTGCAGGAGACGCTTTATTACTGACCACTAGGAAGCTTAGTTCTGGGTCATGACTATGTCCAGGTACACTTTGGAAGACAATGGAGTGTTTTTGTAATGGCATGCCTTCATTTTCAGCAAAGAGGACGACTCCCTGCACATCACTGATGTCACTTAACATTCTGATCACATGTTTTTGATCGTGTCTTGCACATGTGTGTATTTAATAGACACCAGTGGATGAAATGACTGGGTAGCCGTCAGATGGCACATGCTGGCACTCGGGGCTCTTTACCTTCTGGAGCACTGTGCACACCGACCCGAACCCCCTTCCATCCTCCACAGCCTCAGAATTGTCCATCCCCAAGCAATGAGCAACAAAGAGCACTGTGCCTGCCCTCCCTCCGAGCTGATGCTCGGCTTTCCAGCCATGGGTCCCACGGGTCCCAGAGGGGCTGTGTGCAGAGGCAGTCTCACCATTATGCCCTGCGCCAGCGGGGGCCGCTTCCGGTAGTAGTCGCCGTGGGAGAGCTTCAGGTTGAGGAGCAGAGCGCAGTGTGCAGCCGCATACAGGCTGTCGGCGTTCATCAGCATCTGCAAGCTAAGGCTGCTGCTCCCGTCGAACCCAGGAGAGTGCATCATGCCTATGGGAGGGAATCAAGAGACCTTTGAGGCTGCCAAACAGGGTGCTTGGCAAGACTTGCATATGGAAAGTCACAAACCAGTCCTAGTGCTAGGATTGGTTTCAGCTATAAATAGGCAGAATAACTGACAGCATCTGTCTCCTGCTCAAACTCTCCAATGGCTTTCTGTCACAGTATCATAAAACCCCACTTCACCTCCTCTTTCCTTTCCTCCCCACAGCCGCCATACCTGTCTGCTGTTTCTTGACATACCAAGCCTGGGCTGGCCTCAGGGCCTTTGCATTTGTCTTTGTAACCCCCCCAGAACAGTCTCTTAGGATGTCTGTATGACTTGTTCTCTCCATTCTTTCAGGACTCTGCTTAAGTGTCAGCTTTTCAGAGACCTTTCCTTTCAATTCCATCTAAAATAGCATTCCCCACCTACCACCAACCCTGCTCCTAACCCTTTTTTCCCCATTGCCTCAATGGTATTTATTCTACCCAGAATTACATAAATATCTATTTGTTTACTGTGAGTCATCACTACTATTGTCTATCGGGGAGGATGAAACTGTTAGTTTTGTTCACTACAGAATCCCCAGTGCCTAGAACAGTACCTGGCATACAGCAGATTCTGAAGAAATATTTGCTGAATAAATAAGAATGAATGAACAAGTATGCTATGAGAACTGGATGTAATAGTGCCTGCAAGATGCTTAGTGTAACTTATGAATACGTACTTTTCTAAAAGTAATAATGTTCCCTCAAAAGCTAAACATGGAATTACCATATGACCCAACAATTACACCCTTGGGTACACAGTACACTCAAAAGAATTGCAAGCAGGGATTTCAACAGATACATGTATGTCAATGTTCACTGCAGCTTTATTCACAACAGCCAAAAGGTGGCGGCAGCCAAGTGTTCATTAACAGATGAATGTGGATAAACGAAATGTGGTCTATACACATAATAGAACTTGGATACGTGCTGCAATATGGATGAACCTTGTCAACAACATGCTGAAATAAGCCAGACACAAAATGACAAATATTGTATAATACACTTACATGAAGTACCTAGGAGCAAATTCATAGAGACAGAAGGCAGATTAGAGGTTACCAAGGGCTGAAGGAGGGGACTTTCTCACTGGGATGCTGAAAAAGTTCTGGGAATAGTGGTGATGGTTGCACAACACTGGGAATATAAGTAGTGCCACTACAACATGCACTTAGAAATGGATGAAATGGCAGATTTTAAGCTATATGTATGTTTTACCAGAATTAAAATAAACAGTAAGGTAATGTATCAAAAACCCCTGAACTGTGCCTTTAAATGAGTGAATTATAAGGTATGTTTATTTTATCGCAGGAAAGTTGCTAAAAAACAAAAAAGTTTCAAAAAATATATAGAAGAATAGCTATTGGTGCCCCCCTCCAGTATTTTTCTAAACATTTGATACATAACAGGGTTTTCATCTTGAAGGGCTCTTTGCACCTTATACAAATCAATTGAAAGGAATAAAAACCCAAACAACTATCTTATGCTCTAGAGATGGGCTCATTCAGCCGAAGAGGGTTGGTGCCTTGTTCAAACTTTTGGAGAGCTTGGGGGTGACAAAATTTCTCAAGTTGCTTTCTCTTCATGTGGTACTATGCCAGCCCCAGCCCTCCGCCTGTTCCTGCAGAAACTCTGAAGTTGGATTTAGGGATGTAGGGGAAACAGCCCATCCTAAATATGTGCACGCAGATGACACACGTTCATACACTCTTCAGACGTCTGAAGTCATATTTTCATCAAAAATGTACCTCTTACAGGAAATGTAAAATTTTTCAAGAATAATAGTCCAATAAATGGGAAATGCAAACTTGTGACTGGAATGTGTACTTGTATCCCTGTGAATTTCTTAATGAATGTGCTTGAATGAGGATATGGACCAAAAGAAGCTTTTGAACTTGAAAAAACTTCAAGACCTTTACTACAGTTGAGAACTGCATAAACATTTTTTGATTGGGAGTAAGTGTATAAATTGTATAAAATACTGCCGTCTTGGCAGCCAAAGATTAGGCATTACCTCTGCCTTGCTTTATAGAGTTCTTAAGAACTTTGTGGGTACCTTTAGAGATTATTTACAGAGGGCACTTTGCAATCATGGGCTGAGGTTCATTTATTTATAAAAGGAAGGCCAGGTTGAGAGTAGGATTTAGAAAAAAAAAAGACATCCTTGGTTAGGACATGAGCTGTGTATCTCAGCCCTGATGGTCCAGAGGAACACTCAGTTCTCTTAAGGTAGGGTGGGTTCCAGTTCTCTGGGGGAGACAAACCGTGCAAGATCAGTCCCCTTCTATGGTAAATAGAAAGCACCACTCAGCACTGTTGGGTGTTTAACCATTCTGGATCATAGATGAAAGGAGTATTTGGGTCTGTGAACCAGAAAAAAATAATCTGCAAATGGTTATGATCTTAGACATCAGTAATCATTTCTTTAAAAATTTTGAAACCAGCTACTCTTTACCTTGGACTATGTTTTGGAAAACTGAGCACATGATCAGATGCTGCGAGTAAAAAAGGCAGCTAATGTGTCTGACACAGAGACGTAAGTCATTAGCAGAGTGTGACAACATAATGGATATGCTGAGTTCTGAAATAATTTGTCAGACTTGTTAGCAGCAATCTGATGGTACTGGCTTCTATCTCTGTGCAGATTAATTTCTTAGACTACAAAGAGTTGGCAAATTTGAGAATAAAACAAAAGGAGGTCTAATCTGTCTATTTAAGGAAGCCAATCATTTTCTTGCCACACCAGATATAGTTCACTGGTGATATTAATAATGGAAATAACACAATAGCTATAAATTATTAAGTGTTTTCTATTTTCTAGGACCAATCTCTTTCCATACATTATCTCATTTGATAAATGTTCCTTTATTTTACCAGTAAGGAAAGTACCTCAGAGATACTAAGTAATTTACTGAAAGTTATGTAGGTAGAAATGGCAAGGCTTTTGGGCCCAAACTCTAGGCTTTTTGCACTAAGCCATGCTGTACTCGCTTCTGATGTTGTGAAGAGATTCCATCCACCCTACCCTATCCTCTCCAATAGATACTCTTATCTTCCGTTTATCCTCTGACTGGTCTCATTTAAATGTTACTAAATTTGGGTAACTAACTATGGAACTATGTTCACACATTCTGGCTATTTGTTTTTTCTAGTGTTCTGTAACTGAAGTTCATTCTCACCCTCTATAATTAAGGCATCCTTTATTGTCAGGGACAGGAGAATGGGCTTGATGGATTACCAGTGAAAGACTGGATACAAGAGCAAAAATTTGACCTTGTCTCTTCCATGCCTAAGCCAATTTGATGTTTCTTTTTTAACAAACATTAAATACTTGATGTAAAGCGTTTAACAGTACTGAAGAATATAAAGAACAATGGTCCTTGCTTCTCCCATGACCCAGTGATATCCCTTTCCAGCAGACTCACTTCTTAGTATGTACAGTGTGGAAATATAATTGAGTATGATCACAAATGAGGTCATACTAAATACATTGTGCTGCAATTTGTTGTTTTCCAAACAATGCATCTTAGACATCTCTTCATATTAACACAGTTCTGCCTCACGCTTTTTTGATAACTATGCATATACCACTGGATGGTTGTATTGCAATTTATTTAATTAATGCTCAATTGGTGAGCATTTATGTATTTTCAATTATGAAAAAGGATCAAATGATAAAGTAACTTTTAGCACTTCTGCTTGTGTATCTGTGGGACAAATTCCTAAGAGCAAAACAAAGACAAATGTTCCGTTTGATAGATCTGGCCACAATAGCTTCTATCCTACCAGCTGTGTGTAAGAACACCTCTCCACCCAGTCAGCAATACCGGGCATCATCTACCTTCTAAACCTTTGTGATATTCATATGACTTTGCTTCGTAACAGATTTCTTTGAGTCTATGGTTCTAATTTTTATGTAACATTAGTGTTTTATTTTTTGATGACGGAAATCATAAGAAATTTTTTTTAGCCATTTGGAAAAAGATACAAAGAAGGACAAGAAAATAATCTGTAAGCATACCATTCTGATATAAATATTACTAAACTTTTGATGTTAATTTTGAATTCTTTTAAAAATTACATTATGGCCATTATCCACATCATTAAATATTATTTGAAAACATCATTGTAAAAGGCTACATAAATTAATATACTATCACTCTTTCAACTTCTCCCTTATTTGGGGGCATCTAGGTTATAGCTAATGTTTTTGCTGTGAAGTAATGCTACTGTATACATTTCAACAAATAAATCTCAGCTGGAGTTTCTTCCATTCCCTTAATGTAGTCCCAGGAGTCAATGAGATGCCATGTCTCCATGGGTGTCTGTCTCTCGGTACTTGGGAAACTGTCACACATTTGCTGGGCTGCAGTTTTTATTCTGTGTTGGGTTTTTCACCAGGGCAAATCACCTCCAGAGGTTTCTGTGTTCTTGAACAGCATCTCCGATTAGGTCATCCATCTGTCCACTCTTCCATCCACCCACCTGCCCTAGAATGGCATAGGGTGCTGATTAAGAGCATGGTCTCCTGAGCCCCCTTCCTTCTTGCCTTGGCCATGGACGTGAAGCCTGCAGCTTTTCCAGCAGCAGCCGTCTTGGTAAACGAGGCAACCTTAGGTTGAGAGCCATACGTTAACAAGGGGTGGGGCAGAAGACAGGAGGAGCCGGGGTCCCTCACCACGGAGCGCTGGATAGCCTACCTCAGACTTAATCTAGGGGACAGAAAATGAATCTCTTTCTTAAGTAATCACTTGGATTTTCTATTATGCAAATAAACCTAATCATAATGGATAAAGGCAGGATAACATATTCATTTACTTATTTGAGGTTTTCTCTTGGTATTTTACCTTTTGTATTCCACAAAGACAGTGAGGCAAATATGTGTTACCATCTTTGGGGGTGCTTAGATCACAGGGCCCAAAACGCAAGATGGCAACAGCATACTGGCCTTCCCGGGCTTGTATCCACAGAGCCAGAGCTCCTCCCAGAGACTGTGGTCCATTCCCAAGAGGTGAGGAGAGGAAGCCGTAGGCAGCAAGGCAGAGAAGGGAGACCCCCCCCCTCCAGTTGGGCAGAGGCTGGGGGGTCTCTGGCTGCCTGCTGCCTGGCAGTACCTGGAGGCTTGGCAGGACCCCTGAGGAAAAGAGTGGTACTCACAGCTCCCAGCCTGGCCAGCACATTCCAAGCCCCACATTGGCAGAGAGGTAGGAAAACCATGGGACCCCCAGAGAGCCCCTGAAGTGGGACAGTCGGGGCTCAGTGGTGATATAAGAGGTGAGGGGCCTCCCTGTCCAGATCCCACATAAACTCTGCTTATACCTTAGGATGGGGACCTAAGGATCAGCAGAGATCAAATATCCAGACAGTTAGGCAAGCTGGGGGTCTGGAGACAGATTCGTTTTAATTTAAAGAAATAGGTAATTCTTACACAGCTGAGATTCATACTTGCTATATTATCTTTTATGAAATCTGGTACTTTATAAATATCAAATTGCTTGCAAATAAGTCTCACTTTTGGTCACAGTATATTTCAAGATTGCAACTGACCACCACTAATCTAAGGACAGCAATCCCAACACCCAGTGCATACGATGCTCTTGATCGGTTGCTGTGTGAGGCGGGCTCTCGCTTTTCAGTGCCCGAGAAGCCACCTTACACAGATGCCACTTTGTTCTATCCAGGATCCAGGGAACCTTTCTGCAGCTATCACAGCTCATATCCACTATCATTGTTATAAAACCCACGTTTATCCAAATGTTTTCGAATTCCCCCACCATAAGAAACTTTAACTGCTTTTAAAAGAAAGGCTCCCTTGAATCATGTGGAATCAAGGACACTCACTTCAACAGTATGTTAGCTGAACAGAAGTCCCTGAGACATGCCGAGCGAGTCTGGTCTCAGCTGGGACAGCAGACCCTGGGTAACAAGTCAGAGACAAATGCTTTGTGGGAGTTTTTTGGCAAAACAGGTTTGGAGCTTTTGACACTGAAGTAAGTAATGAGTGAAGTATCTAGGGGCTGTGACTCAGGGAGACTCTCCTCGTTCTTTCTCCTGTTTTGGTTTTTATAATCGTCTCTTGGGTGAACAAAGGAAATCTGCCATCTCTGTGGCTCAGCAGGGTACAGCCGTCCCTCTTTTACTAATCTTTTCATCTGGGAGGTGACCCTGGCAAGGGGAAGGTAAGCACTGCGTCCATCCAGAGGTGGCCCCAGGCTGGTGCCCAGTAGCTTTGGGGGACCTCCAGCAACAGCCAGCATGGCCCCATTGAACCATGGTGGTGACGGGATATACAGAGCAACCCCTAACTGGTAAAAGTGCTGCTGATGTCATTAGAATTAATAAGACAAATGACTAATTTAGTTACTGACAATCACTAAAGATTGTATTTGGAAACAACTAATGTATTTTGAAGTCTCTTTTCAATGTATTGATGTCTACATGTAATAATTAATGTCACAGCATACTGAGCCTGATGGGACATTTTATAGCCCTCTAAAATTTGAGCGGTTTGCAACATTCATGGGCCCACATTTGAGCCACATAAAACATTCCCTCATGCCCTGTTTTGCATGCACTATAAATTAGTATTGACTTGAATCACACAAACACACTAATGTGAAGATTTGCTTTAGCTTCAACTTGTATAAAAGACTTTGCTAGGACTCTATTTCCTAATTGTCACAGGAAATGAAGCAGGGTCCCTGGAAGACAGTCTTTACTACTGTGACAACTCATTCAAGCGGAATTACTGGGGGATGTTGTTTATAAACACGAAGTTATCTGAGAGCTAAATCTTACATTTTTAAATGCTGAAATGTATGCAGCTGAGTTATTTTGTATGGATAATTTTAATTTTAAACCGACAGTCTTAAACATAATTTGCCTATTCTTGATGACTCAAGGCCATCATTACTGCAACCAGTGGTAGCGCTATGGCCTGATACACAGCTGTGCCTGGGGACCACTGCTGTCTGCTGGGCTCCCTGCCTTGGCATGAGGGACATCAAGCTGGTCAGAGCAGGCTTCTCTCACCCAGCATCTTTCACTATGAATATTTCTAGCTGGGAAGAAGCACAAGTTCAGAGGCCCTACCAAACTCATTCTAAAGAGCAGGGAACTTCCCTTCCAACTCAGGCTGTACCTACGATTCCTTCAGCCCAGGAACTTTACATCTTTAGGAACCAAAGAGCAAGTTCAGCAATCTGCAGTCAATAAATATTTATGGAGAATGAGCCATGCATATCTTGGGATCCTTAGCACATAGCACAGTGAAGTTTCCTTATAAATATTGACTGAAGAAGTATGTGCGTGTGCATGTGTGTGTATGAGAGAGAGACATACAGAGAGACAGAGGACAAAAAGAGATGCACGAACACTAGGAATTTGATGTTACCAAAGTACCCTGAAATATACGTGTTTGGAAGTTCAGGAGAATTCAGAATATATTGCAAGGATGCCTGCTTCTGATCAAAATCTGCATCTGATTCAAGACCTCATTCAAAATAGTTTACATGCTGAAATACCAAAAGTGCATTGTTCTATGATTTTTAGACATGAAGGTGTAGAAATATATTAAGAATTCAGTGTTTTGAGAATCACAGATTGTCAGTTTGTTTTAGTCAGCAGCAGCTTTCTAGAATGCTGCTGCCGCCTCTTATCCTTTACTCCAGAACACATACGTTCACCAGCCTCATGGTGTATTCCAGCGAACAGTGCCTACAATTCAAACAGACAAACACCAAGTCTTACATTCCCTTGCTCTCTCTAAATATTAAGAAACCCAGAGTCACTATGATGTTTTGAGCATTTCAAACAAACAAGATGGTGACTGCCCTTTAAGGCAAACTTCTCTGAATATATCCTTGTTGACTAACCTGAGCAGAAGGTAGAGGCAAAGTTCTGGAGGGCCGAGTCCACCTCTCGCACGCCGGGCAGAGCCAGCAGGCGAGGCAGGAGCCCTTCCAGGGACTGCACAAACAGCCTGGCGCTGTGCTGCTCGGCCTCCTGGTTCTTCAGCAGCTTGAGAGACAGAGCAGCAGTTCGCAGGGACCTGTGGCCCAGGCAGTCTCGGGGAGTCTGCTCCTCATCAGCTAGTGAGCAGTTGTCCGACCCAATGTCTGACACGTCAGACCTCCCCGAGTCCTTTTCTGCTGCCATCGAGTACTGATCACAGGAATCAAATTCCGTCCTAGAAAGGTCTTGGTCATCTACACTGAAATTGCTCTCACTGTATCTAGATCCGTAGGACCTCATCCTACAGTCCACGGACAGGAAGTTAGTTATGTCAGGGTAAGCAACCGTGTGGCTTCTCTGAACAACGTCTGGTTGGTCTACCGCTTCGGGTTCTGACACTTTAGTAAGAGTCTCCTTGCTCTCCTGGAGGGCTGGGGACTTGAGGCTGCCTTTGTGGTTCTCGGAGTGGTCCTCAGGTGTGGTCTGACCCAACTCTCCCTCCAAAGTGGTCTGGCCCGTGTCTGTAGTCACGCTAATGCTGATGTCTGGGCTCCTCTCATTCCCTGACTCCCACGGCGTGTGTTCTGAGGACAGGACTCGCCGCTGCCAGCGGAAGTCGGCCTCATTGATCTCCACGGAGTCTCGGCTTGACTCAGCCCCATCCTTCAGCTCCTCGAGGCGCAGAAGCAGTAGCTGGACCTGACTTTCGCTCAAGCCTTTGCCCTGGCTGAGCTCGTCTAGGGCCCCGAGCAAAGTGCAGACACAGGCCACTGCGGCATAGCAAGCTTCAATGCCACCCTTGATGCATGCTTCAGTCATGCCATCCATGATGCTAAAAGGGTTCCAAGGAAAAAACAGCATCAATACATGAAACATGGAGACATGCTCCAAAATAAACAAGAACTGTTAGACTGATAAACAGTATAGTGTCCAAAACAGACACTCTCATTTACATGAACTTGATTCTGGGCAAAACGTAAATGAAACAAATGTGCTCAGGCTAGCAGAGGAAAACCTCCATATAAAGTGACCCACCTTGAGCCACACTCTCTCTTGGTTGTCTGGTTTATTTGGGTAAAACAAAAATTCCAGATGGGAACTTACAATCTTCACAAGGACAGATACTGAATAATCTCCTTTTGTATCATGTTCAGTTTTTCAAACAGAAAATAATTATAATGGGTATACGATAATCCTCTATAAAATAAATACATTCCTGAGCACATGCATGTGAATACAACTATTATAAATCAAATAATATTCGAGACCTACATATAAATGAATCTTAGAGCGACACTATTGTTATTTAAAAAGTTTTTCCCTAAAATAATCCCAATGAATAAATTCTGTACATTTCATTTTGTACAATGGGTTTTAAGTCAATATGAAAATATGGAAGATTATATGATTATAATAAATGGAGGTAAGATTTCTCATATGGTTTGTGGGTACATTATTAAATAGTAATATTCCATATAATGCAGATTCAAAAAAATTTCAGGAATTTGGAAACAAGGGTAAAAGTATTTAGTGAAGCAGTCTTCACCAAGCAACACAGACCAAAAAGGGAAATGTAGCATACAGTTTAAGCAGATCCAGATGAGACTTTCTTTTTGAAACTGATCTTTTTCTGGATTCCGATTCAGTGGAGCTGGGTCCTGCCAAATTACAGAGATGCTGTGGGCTCCCAAGTAGCTTAAAAAAAAGAATAAACAAACCAGAGAAGTGAGTATCATAAAAAAACCACAAGGTTTTAAAATTGTGGGATCAAATAAACATGCACTTTCTCTACTGAGTGATACATTCTAAGGAGAAACACAACTATCGGAACTATAAATCTTAATAAAGCTGACCTAGGTATTCTTGATATAAAGAACACACTGGGTTCCCAGGTCCCAGTTTAGGACTGGTTCAGGACTGGCTTGACAAAGCAAATTCTCTGAGGACTTGTTTAAAAAAATAGTATAACACAGAACTATAAAGCACTCGCATCTCTTTTTTTAGTGAGACTTTCCTGTATTTGCTCTTATTTTGCCACCAGGTTGGCTAGCTTCAAAAACTGGATTTATTAGTGCACATGGAACATTGTCCAGCACAGATCATATGTTAGACCACAAAACACATCTTAATCAATTTAAGAGGACTGAAATCTTATCAAGCATCTTTTCTGACCACTATGGTATGAAACCAGAAATCAATTACATGAACTGAAAAATTCACAAATATGTGGAGACTAAACAACATGCTACTGAACAACCAATGGGTCAAAGAAAAAAATCAAAAGAGAAATCAGTATCTGGAGACAAATGAAAATGGAAATGGAACATACCAAAATTTGTGGAATGCAGCAAAAGCAGTTCTGAGAAGGAAGTTCATAGTGATAAATGCCTATTTTAAAAAACAAGAGAAGTCTCAAACAACCTAACTTTACACCTGAAGGAACTAGAAAAAGAACAAATGAAGCCTGAAGTTAGTAGAAGGAAGGAAATAAAGATGAGAGCAGTCTAAAAAGACACTAGGACAGATCACTGAAACTAAGAGCTGTTTCTTTGCAAAATAAAGTTGACAAACCTTTATGAAGACTCACCAAGAAATAAAAGAGAGAGGACTTAAATAAAATCAGAAATGAAAGAGGAAATGTTATAATTGATATGACAGAAATACAGAGGATAAGAGACTATAATTACATGCCCACAAATTGGACAACCTAGAAGAACTGATTCATTCCTAGAAACATACAACCTTCCAAGACTGAATCATGAAGAAATAAAAATCCAAATAAACCAATTACTAATAAGGAGATTGAATCAGTAATCAGAAACCTCCCCAAGAGCAAAATTCCATGATCAGATGACTTTAGTGGTGAATTCTACCAAATATTCAAAGGAGAATTAACACCAGTCTTTCTCAAATTGTCTCCGCAAAAAGGACAGTACCCTTCTAAACTCATTTCACAAGGCCAATACTACCTTGATACTAAATCCAGACAAGGACCACAAAAAAAGAAAACTACAGGCCATATTTCTCTACAGTAGAAGTCTTTACTGAAAATTCAATTTCAGGCTAAATCGTTCAAGGAATGATTTGATAATTAAGTGTACTGGAGCAGACATCCTACTACTATGTCCATTATTTTAAAAGTGATTTATATTCATAGGGAAAGGTGTATTTTAAAGTAAAAGGTACATTATAAAGTAGAAAAAATTATATTTTAAGAGGCACTCTTATTTTTTTCTTTTCATATTTCTTTCTTACCCCAGAAATTGGGAACTTCTGCTCTCTTGGAGGCACAGAATGAAGCTACCACTTGCCTCTCCATGTTTGACTTCTTTGACATTAAAAGAGGAGTGAAAACGCTGGAGGTGAAGTCATCTATCCTCTTTCTCTCTCTTACCTTCTGCCTCCCCTTCTCCCCCATACATACTGCCTGCCTGCCAGGACTGCAAGGTCTGCACCCAAGTGAAGTGGTGAGGCCTATGGGCCTCTAGCTATCAGTCCCATCTCTTGCTAGAAAGATAAGTGTGTTTCAGAGGGATAGGAATGGGAAATTGCACTTTTCTCGTGGGGGCCCATTACATTCTCTCATCTAACTTTATCAGTAATAAATTAGATGATATATTTTAATTCCTACATTAATCTTGTGATTATTTCTTAGATGTTTCTGAATCTGGAGGGAAAGGGGTCTAAGTGATTAGACTTCTGAAGAACCCTCAGCAAATACTTAAAGAAAGGCAAGACATGTTTCATCTCAGCTTCTTCAGGTGGGAATGAAAGAGGTGTTATCAGTGGTTGGGCTGTCACAGGTCTGACAAGATTATGGAACTCCTAAAGCTGAACCCTGGGAGAGAGAGAAAAGGAAGCAAGGTATACTTTTTGATTGCTGTTCACTTGAGGGGAAAGTGGAAACAGAAAAGCAAGTGTACTTTGAAAAATGACATGTCCTGTCTTTCATTAATAGTCCCACAGTGCATATTGGCAGAAGCACAAATGACGAAGAGAACAGGGAAATAACATACCAGGCGTTCAAACTCCAAAAGGCTAAACAAACATCCTAGGTGCTCAGTGGTTTTCTTTGTGTGAATAAACCCTGCACATTTTGGTTTCTAGGTAACCAACCTTCCCAAATTACTGGTGTTATTATATTAAGTGAAGGTGTTGCTTCCAGAAAAACATGGTCCATGTTAGTCTGCTGTGTGCCACAGGGCAGCCTTGCCTGGAATGATCCTCAGGGGCTGGTGTCTGATTCCAGCCCTGCCCAGCAAAATAGCCTGGGAAGCTAGAAAGTCTATGAAAAAGGAGAAAACAGAACTAATTTCCTTTGTAGTAGTAAAGAAGTTATTATTTAAAATACATCTAGACACCTACACACTCCATGAGCAAAGTATCTGCTTAGCATTTGGGTATCAAATGGATCTACCATGGGTAGCAACAACTCCAGTGCCTGTCAGCTTAGAGAGGGAAAGGCTGCTTATGAAATACCCTCTTTGCAGATATTCTGTCCTCAGGTCCATCTATCATTCAGTCAAGATTTATGAAATGCTGATTCTGATTCAAACACTGTAGTGTTAAGACACAGGGGGAAATGCATACAAACAACATATACAAAAATATATTTGAAGAGATGAGAAGTTCGTTCCACACTGTACTGTGAAATAATACACAGGGATATTATTTTCCTAAGAGAGTTGGTAAGCTAATGTGGAGTGCCAGCACTGTCTACACTATTGTAATCAACTACGCAATTCTGTTAAGTGGAAGGGGCCAATGCGAATAGGGGACAGGGTGTCTGAGGAGGCAAGAGGGTGGGCACTGAACAAAACAGGATCAAATGGAATGAGGGTGATCCTGGGAAAGGGTCGAAAGGAGAATGATGACAGAAGGGTCTGAAACTGGGGAGAGCAATTCAGACTTGATGGGAGCAGCAATAAGGAGCCAACAGAGGGTGAAAAAACTGTCAACAGTGGTGATTTATGTACATAAGTCCAGAAAGACAAAAGGAAGAAAATAGACAGGCAGAAGACAGGAGACTAGCTAGAACTGGTTCATTACTCTAGGCAGGAGGTAATGAGAACCAGCTATTTTCAGCCTCCATATGTTTTGTTTTTCTCTTCTTAGGGTAGCAATAAGTACACCAAGTATTTGTTTAGTACTTTAAACTTGCAAAGTACTTATTAAAACTTGATCACATTTTGAACTTGCAACCTTTAGAATATTACTTTTATGGACAGATGAAAAAAGCTGTAAATTCAGAGTTAAATGATTTAGCAACTATAACCTAGCTGGTGAGTGGTAGAGAGGATTCGAACCAACTCTTAAACTCAAGCTCATAGAATGGGCAGCTGCACCACTGCTGGGAAAGGAGCCACTAGAATCATTTGCATTCAGTATCAAATGTCAAGTCCAGTAATAAGTATGGTGTAGGAAAGACCAAGGATTTAGGGTCAGAATGACCAGGGTTTGCACCCTTTCTCTTTATGACTCCAGGCAAATCATTTGACCCTCTGAAGCATTACTTTCTTTGTGGAAGGGAATAAAATCCTGGGCCTCTCTTCTCTCTTTCTCTCACTTCTTCCCAGTGGAGAAGGAATCTTTGACCTGACTGGTGAATTTAAGAGAAGGAACTGAGCATGCATGGCCAGGCCCCTTTTCTCTTCTTTTCTTGCTTATTCAGGGAAGTCCATTCCTGTTACCCAAGTCAAAAGCTTAATAGAAGCAGGGCCAGGTCTCCAGAGTCAGGCCACTGCTGTCAAGGTGGTAATGAAGTAGTTTAGTCTCACTTGCCTCCAAAGCTGTATTGTGTTCACTGACATAGGGGTGATGAGTTATTAAAGCTAACCCTTTGATTTCTTATGCCTGAAGCTCAGATGGGGAAAAGAAGAAACATTCTTCACTGGTAAAAGTTGATACACAACATCACAAACTTACTAAGAATATTAAAGGTAATACATGTGAAGTACCTGGTATATAGTAGGCTTGAAAAAAACAATGGTCATTATTGTGTGCTCACAGATTTTCTTAACCAGCAATTTGATCTGAATTTCTCTTCCATTTCTAGAAATGTTGGGTCATAACTTTATTTTCCATTATTCATTAGAGTCAAATCTCATTAAAACAACAAGAAGCATTTCAAATTAAGCTTTAGAAACTGGTGAGTAGCAAATATTGCTTAAAATAAATGAATGATCAATAAGGGAATTTTGTTCCTCTGTTCTTTTTGGTGTTAGGTACCAAAAGCAAATATAATACGACCTTTATACAAGTTTACAAATACAAAAATGTTGGTCACTTTTCTTTTGGCTTAAGAAAGCAGAGGAATCTTTGTTTGAAGTACCTTCAAAATAACCCTAATTCCTCCTCAAGACCACGAAGGAGCACACTGGGATGGCTATTATAAGCTGGACAACCTTTATATTCTCACTGGGGTCATGCCATTTGCGAGATGTGAGGCCTAAGAAGGAATGGGGCAATGGTATTCTTTTTACTAATCAGTGATTAGTAATACCCGTTTTGGATAATATACAAACTGAGCATAAAATCATCTTGAAATCTAATTTTAGTCAAGGTAATAAACACATACATCTGCACAAACAGTACCTAAGGGAGTAGAATGATATCACCCTGTGGCCCAGTCAGATGTACGAAGCTTAAATGATCAAATGGCTTTGCATCTGTGAGCACTTACCCCTCCTGACCCAGGCTCCCAATACACGCACGCACACCCCAGCCCTAACGGTACAGTTACTGCATACTGTGCAGTGGCAATAAAGCTCCAACAGGTGACTGCATCCATGTGCTGAGTGCTTCCTATGTGCATGCGACACTGTGCTCAGAGCCCCCGGGCATGCGCAGCATTCCTCAGGGCCTCCCTACCTCCTTCATTATTTTGATGGCTTCCACCCGGTGCTGGGGTGGGGGATAAAGCAGCACGCGGTGATAGAGGGACTGGAGCACCGGCTTCATGGAGTCCACCGACCCCACGAGCCGGACCAGCTCAGCCGCGACGTAATAGACGGTCCGCGCCACAGGCCCGCTCAGGGCTGGTGCCGAGGAGGAGCAGCCTGAGCCCCGGCCGTGGTCCGCGACTCCCGAGCCCGCCGCGTCCGACACCACGCCGGTGCCCGCGCCGCTGCCATGAGCGGAGCTGATGGTTCTGTCCTGCACCGGATTCCCCAGGATCACGATGAGGGCAGGGCAGAGGTTCTTCCTGCGAAGGGATGGGAGGAAAAGTAAGTGTCACTATAAGCCAAATGACAAATGTGAATATATCCTGAGGGAAAATATCAAATAACACAGGAAAGCCTAATAAAAGTTGGGCTCTTTACCGCTCCTTTTTAGGGCTACGACCTGCCCCCAGTTTTCCGTGTCTCTCCATCACTGCTGAGGACATGGACAGAGTATTTCTTCTCACAACTCAAGCTAAACTCTGGCGCAGACAGTTCATTAAACTCACTAAACACCAAGAGAAGTATTAAAAACCATCGGTATGTGAAGAAAGACTCAGAGTGCTAAGTGGCTTAGTTATAAAATTTTACTATAAATGACGAACTTATTTTACTTCTCATGTGAGAAGTTAATTTGAAATTCTGACACACGCCGACACCTGTCATCCGACTTCCTCCCTGTGGACTCACCCAAGAGCCCAGAGCAGCTGGCTGCCTGCCAGCAAGCCTGTCACTTGTGTGACTCTCTGTGACTGATGGAGTAGTATTCAGAATGAGATGGAGAATGTACCAGGCCAGGACTCAAAATAACATCCAATAGCTCTTGCCCCTTGCACAACTTCTGGGTGCCTCTATATGCCTTGAGCACAAACTAATAACCCTGAAAATATCTCCTCATTCCCTGAGTCTCATGATTCTATGTTGGAAACAAAATGCAAGAAGGCCTTTGGGGACCTGTTTTATTAAAATAATCATCAATTTCTCTGTGTTGTGGTTTGATACATGTAAACAAAGCAATTTTTCTACTTTCCCTCTAAAACGTTTACACATAGATGCAACAACTGGCTGGTCCCAGATACTCTGGGGAGGGACCTGCAGACACAGCTTGAAGGAGCAAGGCCCCCAGGGCTGCATGGGGGTGCCGGGATGAGCGCTCACCAGATCAGGTCTGTGAAGCCTCTGTGCAGGCGCATGGAGGAGGAGGAGCTGCTGAGCACCGACAGGATGCACTCCAAGTACAGCAGCTGCAGCTGCTGAGTGTCACTGTAGAAGAACAAAACCATGCATAAACACATGCAAAATAAAGGCAGAGTTAAAGAAGTGATGGGTGGAAAACTTAGAAACACTTGGAAAAATGTTAGGCATTACAGAAGTGCTAATTTTTGGTGGGGGGGAGGTAATGTTATAGGTTGAACTGTGTGCCCCCAAATTTATGTGTTGAAGTTCTAATCCTGGGTCCTCAGAATGTGACCTTATTTGGAGAGAGGGTCTTTCCACAGGTAAAATTAAAGTGAGCTCATTCGGATGGGTCCTAATCCAATATGACTGGTGTCCATATAAAATGGGGGAAATGTGGATGTGGAGATACATAGACGGAAGACAGTGTGAAGTGGCACAGGGAGAAGACAGCCATCTACAATTCAAGGAGAGAGGCTTGGACTAGATCCTTCCCACGTGGTTCTGAGAAAGAACCAACCCCAACACTTCGATTGTGGACTCCAAGCCTCCAGACCCTTGAGACAATGAATTTTGTAGTTTAAGCCTCCCACTTCGTGGTACTTTGTTATGGCAGCCATAGACAACTAATGCAGTTAGGGTGAATTTTTTTAAATTAGTGAACTTTGTAGAACAGCTTTAGATTTACAGAAAAATTGAGCATGGAACAGAGTTGTGGTACTGTACCCACCCTCGCTCACGGCTTGCCCTGCAATTACCATCTTACATTAGTATGCACATTTGCTACTATGAAGGAACAAATATTGATGTATTATTAACTAAATGCCATAGTTTATTTCAGAAATGTTAATTCTTAATATGTCCAATTGTCTAAACCTTTCCAAAGACCACCTACCATGTTATCTCTTAAAAGGTAATGCTTTACTAATTTGCACTTGACTTTTCTTCTTGATTTTTTGATGGCAACAGTTTTTCAATGGACAAATTAATTTTCTTAGAATTATCCTATGGGGTTACTCAATAGAGCCAGATTAAAAAAAATAACAAGACAACTTTATGGGATATACATTCTTATCCTCAGATTAAGTTTTCTGCCTAACCCACCAGAAAGTATTAAAATCCAGGTGAGTGTCAAGTGACAGTTAAGAGTAAGCAATAAATTAATGTTCAAGGACACATTCACTATGAATACATAATCAATACAGTTGGCCCTTGAGCAATGAGGGGGTTTGAGATGCTGATTCCTCACACGGTGGAAAATTTGCATGTAACTATTAACTCCCTGAAAACTTTACTACTAATAGCCTATTATTAATGGGAAGCCTTACTTGTAACAGTTGATTAACATGTACTTTATATGTTACATGTATTACACCCTATATTCTTACAATAAAGTAAAATATAGAAAACAAAAGTGTTTTCCAAATTGTCACAAATCTACAAATAATTTTCCAATGTATTTATTGAAAAAAAATAAATCTGCATACAGTTCAAACCTGTGTTGTTCAAGGGTTAACTGTACTTTTAAGAGAATTCATTCAGGAATCCTGTATAAAATGGGGGAAACCCTGCTCAGAAGAAGGGGAAATGTGCTTGTGAAAATAATGTTTGATTGTGTCTCTCCTTCTAATTTAAGGTAAATGATAAAAAGGAAAGTTAGTGCCCTTAAGTTCAAATATCTCCTAGGAGAAGGGGATGAAAGGGACAGGCGAGACCAGTGACAGGAAGACTAGAGACTGAAGGAAACAGGAAGGAAGAAAATCTAACACCAGACAGTCCCAAAGCTCAGGTATATCCACGCAGCAGCCATGAGAAAGGCTGTGCAGCTGAAAGACAAAAGATTCTAGACAGGGGGTTGGTGGCCCCCCATTTAAGTGCTATGTTGAAAAACCTTGGTTATATGTCTGTAAAGTTGATATTAGGTTCTAAACCAGTTGGTAAGTTACAATCCAGGGGCAAAATCCTACCCAAGGCCTGTGAACTAAGGTTTTTATGTTTTTAAAGTGTTGTAAAACAGAACAGGAACAAAATGAACAGGAAACTTTTACAGAAAAACTAAAACTTTGCTGACTTATACTCTGCAATGATCTCCCTTGTCCAAAGAAAACTTACAATGATTAAAATAATGCCATTGCTTTGAAAATGGGATAACCACTTATATTTGGATCTACTATACCATACTCTGAAAGTGGAAGAAGAGATGGGTAAAGGCTTTTTATATATTATATATTTATTCTTGCAATAAAGTAAAACAGAGAGAGAACATTTATTTTTTAATTGTCACAAATCTACAAAAAATTCTCCAACATATTTATTGAAAAAATTATTACTATTTGCCAAGAGGAAATGGTGGTTGGAGAAAGATTAAGAAAGGCAAGACATAATTAGCGATTCTTGGACAAGGAAAGGGCTTTACCTTTTTATACTCTATGCCTACAAGCCTCCCTACACTTTTGAACAGGACGTAAGTCCTGACCAGAAACAGCACATTCTTCATTCTTGTGCTACTAGAGAAACAAGTAAGCAAGCAGATAAAGCATGGCGTAGGAAGTACTGGAAATGAATAATTTAACACAAGCTCCCATGAGAGCCTATGGGAGTGGTATCTAACCTCTAGAAAGATAAAGCGTGGGGTGGTGTGTGGTTGGGGCATAAAGTGTGAGGTTGTTGTCAGCAAGGGGTGGGTCTGGAGAGGCCAGTGGGGCCTGACCGGGAGGGGTCTCATGGGCCATGCTAACATGTCTGAAATTCATTCTGCAAGTAGAAGGGCCACATGAGCAGATTGATATTTTAGAACAGTCATTCTGAATGCTATAAAAATGAATGGCTTCAAGAGGGTAAAACAGAAGGACCACAGTATTAACAGCCACATTTTCAAAACTCAGTTCTGAAAGAACTGCTTTTGCAATAGTCTCCAGCTAATCTTTCTGAACAATTGCTTAACTCATTACTAAGAAAAATAATCTTAAATACCCCAATTCAAAAATGTCTCTTTATCTCTCAAACTGACAGCCTAGTATCACAAAACTAAAATAACTATGGCCAATAAAGAGTCTCAATTCTGGAAATCACTGCAAATAAATGCACAGAAAAGCTATGAGCAGTCAAAGTTCCCATGGTATCTACCAAGTGTGCCACGACGATATCACAGCCTGGCACAGCCAGGCATCAGCCTGGATGACAGAGAGGACACATTGCTAAGGTAACTGGCCTGGGAGTCTCCGTGGAGACAGAATGTGGCAGCTTTCCTGTGGGCTGTGGCAGTCTGGAAAAATGGGTGCTCGTGGCCTTGCATGAGTCATGTCATCAAAGGAGCTGTTTGAAATGCAAACATCTCCCAAGCATGCCCCTCACTAGGTACACATGTCCATGTGTCCAGTGTGTGTGGGTTTCTTACTTGTCTGACTGTAGACAGACAAATATGTGGAATGCACAGGGCAGAAAGGAGTCTAGAAACCAGCCAACTCCTTCAGAATGCACTAGGGAAAATCTGCCTACTTAGGATGGTTGTGAGTCTCTTTGCTTGGCTTTTTGTTTAAGCATTTCATGGCTGGCAGGTTGATTACCTGCTTGATATCTCTGCTCATCTCTAATTTCTTCCCAAGCACATCATGCATGGAGAACAACTCTCTGGGTGGACCAGTGGCCGGGAAGGCTACGCAGCCACCTGTCCTGGCAAGGCTACTGCCAGGGCCATCTGGTAGCATGTTCTGGATCTCTGGGGTTTTTAGAATTAACTTTTGTTTTATTTTGAACCATTTGACTTTGCCTCCCTTAGAAACAGTTCAAATTTAGTTAGAAAAAGGAGAGAGAGTAAGAAGTAGTATGGACATTTGCTTAGAGCACATAATATGAACACGTAGCCTTGCCTCACGGATTGGTATAGATTCCTCTCTGACATAAGGTACTGGGAGGAGAGGGAAGTAGGAGAGGGTGGTGGGACATCACCATGTAGAGAATGAATAAATATGTTTCTAGGTGCAATTTTCCATCCAGAAATTCTTGGATTTAAACAGTATTGTGTAACTCAAGTTGTCTAATATAGAGTTCTATTAATACCGCATCTCCAAGGCATGTGAGTTATTCTTGTTACCTGATGGCATTTTCTGAATCCTCCTCAGAGACTGAACACATCATGAATACACACCCCCACAGAGCTACAGCCCTACGAAGTACTTGGGCGCAGATTCTGGAAATGGTAGCGGAGGGGAAGCACTGAAATGATTTCAGAGAAGGTAAGAGAGGTATCAAGTTTTACTAATAGAAATAAAAGTAGTTAAGGTAGTAAAAGGAGAAGAAATTTTAAAAGGTATGGAAACAAGGGGAATAAACAGAACCACCAGTGAGAGCAGCCACGAGCCTCCCACAAGCTGACCAGAGGGCTTCCAGGGTTCCTGTTTAAGCTGCACTCAGCAGGTTGCACCCAAGGCTTCCTTAGCAATGGTACCCCATCTTAGGGTAACGTAATTGAGATGGGAAAGCCATGACCAAAGTGAACCATCTCCAGAGGCAGAATGTGACTGGGGAATTGTGATGAAAAACAAAGTCAGCCAGGAGAACCCTATAAAAACGATTAAGCTCTGGAAAAACATGCCTAACACCATCTTTAATCCGATGTCCAATGAGAAACCCTTGAAAAACATACATGTGTCACATGAGTTACTTTCACCATTTAAAGCCTATTCTCAAGTCATATGGTTCAGAAACCCTTTCCCTTTTTTTCAGTGATTGATAGAAATCCATGACCTTTAGTTTCTAACTAGTGTCCATGTTTGTGCAATGCATTTTCTTAACAATCTGAAGTCAAATTTCCAATGTCAGTTCAATGTTCTAATGGCACCATAAACTATCATTAGCATCGGCACTTCTGAAAGTAAACAAACCATGTCAGAGTTAGTATATATCCACCATTTATTACATGCTAGGCACTGTGCAGTTGAAAAAAGTCCACTTATACCCATACTTCCTAGAAGATATCAACACTGAATATCTACAATCATTACAACAGGCATGACCTTGGACTGTCCCAGGTAAACCAGGTCGTATGGTCACTGTGCAGATGGGGGTTGCTGATTTTGGAGTCATCTGGGTTTTAAAGAACCGTGAACTTGAGCTCTTATTGGACCTAGCTGAAGACTCTTTCCTGACCAATGAACAATGGTATGTTTTAAATCTATCATTTACAGACCTATAGGTTCATTCTGACTTATCCTGATGGTTAGTTTCTAATTACTAATGGCATAACTACCATGAGATCTCCCACTTTTCCAGTGGTTAAAATCTTTAGTTTTTCCTTAGCAAACTACTCAGAAAAAATGGCTAGCCTATATTTTTCCCCCTCGGCTGCAAGATAATGCATGTGTCTTTGTATTTTTTCAAAGTTGTGGTGGCCTTTGTTTTATTCCATCACAACGCTAAGACCTGAGGAGGTAGGTGGAGAAGCAGCACTGTTGACAGCAGGCAACAGCCTAGTTGCTACCAGCCAGCTGCAAAGCTCCCCTGGTGAACATGACAGTGTCACAGAGTGTTCACATCAGATGAGGACTCTCCATGACGGTGATGGAACAAAATGAAAGTCTGCCAGCGATCATGCCAGAACAGAGATTACAAAGAAATCTGTCCAGCCACAAAAATGACCCAATCATCTTTTCTTCACTCTGTGAGTGACTCCTGCTTCTACTCCCATGACAAGTCTAGCTCCCATCTGTAAAACCTGTTGGTTAATAAAAACTCAGATGCCTAATGCTAGGATTGCCCCACTTTCTGATAGTACCCAATCCTTGAACAGACCCTCAATTTCTTGAATTCACCCCAAATCACCTAACTCAGGTTCAAATCCTATAACAATCCCTCCTAATACCCCTTCACTGGATGCCATGGCTTATAACAAGTTAATAAACCTAATTCTGTTTTAACCTCAGGTGCTCCTGGTGATCTCTGGCTGTTGGGCATCAACTGTCTTTTAAGTACATGTTCTCAAAACCCCTAATATATTTTATACTACTAATGTTATATTACATAATAATAATAATAATAATAATAATAATAATAATAATAATAAATAGATTATTTTATCAGACCCATAAGTTTAGGGTGGTTGAGATCTTTGCTCAAAGTCAAGATTAATGAGATGAGAATAGGAGTCTTACTCAATGAGTCCAGCAAAGATAGTGCAGTTGAGCCAATAGTGATTAAACACCACACACAGTTACATCTTAGGAGAAAACAAGCCAATGAGGAACATCCCAGCTCTGATATAACAGCTTTGATGGAGAGGAACTGGGCAGGGGTGGGGAGGAATTAGCACTAGAAGTGATCTAAATGCTGGTCCCGAATATGTAGAGTGAATATATAACCCACCCTGGCCAGACACTGTTGCGAGTGAAGTGGGAGGTGATCATAAGTATACCCAACAGGCATAACCTGGGACTGTCTCAAGGAAATCAGGTTACATGGGGTCCCTATAGATGTAGTCACTATAGTCAGTGTTAGAGCCCTGTGGTTAGGATAATCATCTGAGTCCCAGCCCTACAGCTCCAACTTTCTATGGTTAGGAGAGATGGAATCATGAGCAGGGTACAGGAGGAGCCATTTAAATCACATCTGCTGTCAGACACATCCCTTCTCAGGGAAATCAATGCCTTCCTGGAGCCTGGGGGTATGGAAAAAGTTAAGAGTTATTTCTTTTTTGGTTTGTATTGCCTATATAGTAAATAGGTCTCTTCATTTTTTTAAAGTGCCTGATCTGAAAAGAGCTTAATTTGGTCAAAATATGCAGGTGACCTAGTGGAACTACTGATGGATACATTTATGTAGAAATCACTTGGCAATAACTTTTAAGAGTAATGCTAAGCATAGATTAAAAATAATCCTGTGTTCATAAAAAGCCCAAAAATAGCAAAAACAAGTTTCTGCAATTCTTCCAGCAAAATGAGACCTCATTCATGTCTGCAACTAGACTACCTCTCCCATCAGATTACAGTATATAAAACTTTCCAAGTGAAAGTTTTCTAAATTATCAAATGTTCCAGGAACCAGTATATGATAATTGCATGTGTCCTTCATAACTCAGAGGGCACTTCAGAATCTTATTGTAGAATTTTGCAATTAATGATATATGTAGCTGGTAGAGACTTCTCATCTCATCTTGGAAAATCTGGTTATTTCATGATTTATCTTTACTATAGATGTCTAAGTTATCTCAATGTGTTACTGCATGGGGAGTTGGAGCCATGGACATCACCTTTATCATCTAACATTAAATTGGCATGCAAAAAAAATGAAAAAGATACAAAAGTAAGAGTAATGTGTTCTTTTAAAGATATGCATGTGGGCTCAGAGCCTAAGAAAATGTAAAATGTTAGACGAAATACAGAAATATGACATAGCCCAACCCTGCCATTCAACAGATGAGGAAAGTGCAGCCCAGCTGATGAGAAGACTCATTTGGAGTCACACACCTGGGATATACCCAGGTTAGGACTGGCCTTCACATCAACCAACTCTTAGCCGACATTCTTTCCCCTCAGCTCCATGCTCAAGAGACTAACTCTTCTTTTCAAGGTGTTTTCCCATTTCCCATTAGAAAATTATATACTTCAGTAATGGTATTTGCTAATTTGGACTTGCCGGAGGTCACTGAACAGATTTCTCAGAAATGACAGGTGAACACCAATGGAGTATGTGTGTGGAGGAACAAATGTCTCTATAATCTGTGATTTTAAGTAACAGTCTAGACAAAAGCTGCTTCAGAAACAGACCACTGGATGACTGGTAAATATTCAAATGGTGAATAAAAGCACCAATGCTGATGGTACTTACTTGATGGCGGCTTGTAGCTTCTCACACAGAACAGCAAGCACGGAGACAAGGTCATCACAGAGGGACTCTACTGTCGACCCTTCACACAGAGAAGGTTATAGTCATGAGACATTGGCAGGGGCCACTAGAAGCTTCTTCAACAGTCCTCCCTAGCCTCCCTTGTGATGTTTTCAGGAATGAAAAGATTTTCAGATGTGGAGACTTCCTTACACAACAAAAATGACCACAAGAAAGAATTAAGTATAATTATTCATTTCTAAAGTAAAACACTTTCCAGATATTCCAGAAAGAAAATAAGAGATTATTTCTTATAATAAATAAAATTTATTCACACTGAACAAAAAGAGATTTGGTTAATTTAAGAAACAACACAATTGACAAATGTTATCTCAATATTCTGACTTCTTGAATTTTTGGGTCTTCTGAGAAGATCTGAGGTGTATCCCAGAGAGAGAAAATATGAAAGCATGTTAGAAAGATGGGCTTTTCAAACTAAGAAACTATGGAAAGAAGGCAGAATAATTTATTTATCATCTTTACCTACTTTAACTATTTGTCTGGCATCCGCAGGGAACAGTCTTAGTTGTTAATGGAACAACAGCCAATGTCAGAAAAAAATAATTTTCCCTCCAAACATATTTATGTTCAGAAACTGGCAATAAAACTCCCACAGAAACACTGGAGTGTATTGGAAAAAGGTTGAAATTTGGAATCTGTTCAAGTTCTGGTCCACAAATTGTTGAGTGCACTGCATGAGCCTGAGTAAGCTTAGATTTTCCCTTGGGCAAGATGGGATAAATAATACCAATTTCATAGAATTGCTGGGCCAGGTGAAGTAATAAATGGAAGCATTTTCAAAAATAATATAAACCTATAAAGACCTATACACATGTGGCTAAGTGTTTGATAAATGTATACCTGAATAAATGACCATGAGATCAAGGAAGATGGAGAAAAAACGGCAAGAGTATAAGAGAAAATAAAAGTAAAGTTGGAGAAGGGCAGGGAAAAAGAACTGGCTAATCCTCAAAATTTATGATTTAAATGCAGGGAAAAAAATTGAGAAATGATAAGGTACAGTGATAAAACATAGTTTAAATAAAACTTAGAAGTAGTCCTGAAGCTTAGATTTAAATACATTTCAAATGAGCCCATCAATTTTTCACTAATGTATTTTTTTTAAGTTGTATCTTTAACTAAGAGGACTTTGACCTCCTTTTTGGTTTATGAAACTGTCTTACATTAAAGTAAAGATTTTATAGCAAGTGCAATTGCCAAAGATGGGCAAAGGCAGGGGGAAAATGTGGGACCATTTATTGGGAGTGCCAGTAGGTGGTACGATGCTGCAGCACTTTCTGGCCCTCAGCCCAAGAATGCAGCAAGATGTGACTAAAACAACACAGTCAACCAACACTGTAGAAAATGACTTAAAGTATTTCTTTCTTTCTTACTTCTTTTTACTATTTTTCTCTAATGGTGGCTGTTTAGCTGCTTCTCTCTCCCTTTCGTTCCCTCTCTTTTTCACCTATTCTCTACCCAATCCCCTTATTCCTACCTGTTATTATGGGCAAAAATATCAAAGAAAAGCAGATTTTTCCAATTTTTTTCTAAATTACTGAATAAAATATGAAATAAAACTTGTGCTTCAATTTTTTAATTAGATGATTTGAATTTTCCATCTCTTTCAGAAAACAGTATGACCAAACATTTCTTAAAAAATAACACCGTTTGCCAATTATTATGTAGACCTTTATGTTTTCTTTTCCTGTGGGTCAAAATGAAATTTCTTACCTGATGTCATCTCCCACTTAGCTGAGCTGTCTGTGCTTCTGCAAGATTTCCTGTGAAACTCATTTTTCATACAAAAAAATTGGCATTTCACACGCATACTTCTGGCACAAAGCACTTTATGCCAATCAGGTTTCTACACCCTCTATCCGGTCCTCATTCTAATGATTAATAAGCTTGACCTTATGGAGAGCAAAATAACTGAAAAAGACAGCCTCCAACAGGAAGGTATGTGAGGCATTAATTTCCCCCACATAGCTGTAACAGCAGTAGGTAAAGTTGGCATGAAGCGTACAGGAACAGAAGGAAGATGGCAGCTGATCAGATGATAGCAGGTAAGGCAAAGCTAAGCCAAACCTCCAAGGAATGTGGTGAACTGCCTGAGTTCCTACTCATCTTCACATCTCCAAACCAAGCACACAGAATACTCGGTTTTCAAACTGAACTAGCAAAAATCAAATCCAATACCTTGATTCCTGAAGTCCTGTGGAACATCCGGGTTTTCAATTATCTAGTAAGGGAGATACACACAGGAAAATTAGGAGATTCAAGCAAGAAAATTCCTGACTCTTAGACAATGGACAATTCTAGGAAACAAAATGCTATTCTGCATGTTCTGGGCTCAGTGAACTTACCTAGACACATAGTCCAGGACCTGATAGCATGTCATTACTTACGGTATTTATGAAAAGACTAGGATGTCTGGAACTGAGCTTTTAGCGGCTTCAAAAGTAAATTCATTCAGCAGTCTGCACACCTGGTGGAAGTTTAAGCCCCCTGGTATACTTTAAGATTCCAGGGTGCTGAGCTATGACATGGGACAATACCTGCTTAAACAGGTGGGTTATCTTTGCACAGATAACAATTTTTCCCAAAGTCACAAACTACACTTAATTGGCACCTAAAGAATACAGTCTCTTAATTATAAGAATGATCAGGTTCCTGGACTTCAAATACAGGTCCAAAGATGACTGCTGGCCAGAAGCACCCATTCCTGTTTGGTGGGGGAGCATATTAACTTCCCACTATGTGACCAGACCACTCTAAGCCTTAGTCAGGTAGATCCAGAACTCTCTGAATCAGGGTAGGGACAGAATTTTGAGTGAAGGGAGAATAGGAAGGGAAGACATTTACTAAGAGACCCCTTCCTGTTGCAGGGAGAATTTGGTGACTGAAGCTGAAGAGTAGCAAGGCTCTTCCATCTCTCTGCCTCTTAGCACTGGGAGATCGTAAGAGGGCATTTTCAGGCTCATCAGCTACCATTCAAATAAATTGCACTGTGGCACTGCTGCTCTCAAAACGTGTCACAGGCACATATTTCTATATTCTCTGTTCATTAATTGGCAAGCTCAGCTGCTTCCACAGCATTCTTTGTGAAATGCTATGACAGCGTCTATAGCTCAGCACATGGCTAAATGCAAGTTTTCTGGAGGGAGTACATGTGAATCATTTTTAAGAACAGAAGAAACATTACCACCTACTCCTCAAATATTTGCATGTGGCATTTTTTGTTTTTTGAAATTAGTTAACTTATAATTTAACAATGGCTTTCATCATCTAACTAATCCAATAATAAAACTTGATAATAACTCAGGGTTTCTGAGGATACAAAATCAAATCATGTAATCTGTCCTGGTAGTTGGGGTGGGGAGTGGGGATACATATTAGGCTGAAAATATACTTTATGCTAATGCACTGGGAATTCTGGAATTATTTCCTTTTCATTGTATTTAAGTCTTCCTAATTCTGAGGTGGCCCATGGTATCTTTCCAGGGATGGGTCCAGCTATACACTATACACATCTCAACTTCCACAGGTAATACTAAGTGCCCAATGGGAGAACATACAGCCCCCTTAGAGCAAACCTCACCATTCTTACCACACACCTTTAATAGCTTTTTAAAAGCAACCATTCTCAGGTGGTAAAACTTATGTCTCCTTTTAGTAGACATCACATATGCTACAAATATTAGCATCCTGAGAATTGTGTTTTTGTAGGACATGGAAACATCACCAGGGACTGCATGAGTAACAGAAAAGAAATAACAGGAAACTCTAATTTTCCACCTAATTTGGGATCTTGCCTCAGGTTGGGGTAAGTCCAGGTGGTCAGTAATTAGCAGGACCAGAAGGCTAATTAGTCACCTAATGCAATGGTCAGAGGCAGGTAACCCTCCAGTTTTATCCAGATTTCTACAACTCCGCTTTTTGCCATTCTTACAGAAGAGCAATGAGCTTTATTTAAAAGACTCATTTCATTTGCAACCTTATACTCTACTTAAAATTAAAAACAAGAAGATTAAATGAGTTAATATAATTGGAATCACTTTGAAACTACACAGTTTCATTTTAAAACATTAAACTATCATTACTATAATAATATTTCACCATGTTGCCATTTAGCAAGTACGGACTGTGACTATATATTAAAATAAGGATTCTCAGTGTCTTAGCACTATTTCCATTAATAATACTTTTTTCTTAATATATCTTCTATTCATAGTTTCAATTTCCTTTAAACTAGTATTTGCATACTACCATATTCAGCATCCTAGTATAAATTAAATAGTTTTTAGCTACAGTAAGCCAAAGTAATAGAAATATCTCAAGATAAAGCAGTTTTTTTTAAAATACAAACTTGGGCTTTGCACATAGCAAACAGAAAAATAAATCAATATTTGGTTTTTCAGATTAGTGTTGTTTCTTCAACATTAGCCACCAGAGCCCATATTAATAACCTGTACTTGGAGTTAGTTAGGAGACCAGAGGCTTGGTCTGGCTCTTTGCCTGATAAACTCATTAGTTTTAGATTTCAATTTCATTTCTCAGGGCTTCATCTTCATCTGTAAAATGAAGGATAAAGTAATCTGACTAGATAATCTGTAAGGTTCCACTCAACCCCATGTGCTTCTAAGAATTGGAAAATAGTGGAAGGTAAAAATTAGGAATAATTGAAGTTAAACATGCCATCTTAAATTCTGTAAAATTAATCTCTGGGATATTTTGGGACTGCCACTGAGAATTCCTATTTTAAAACAATAACTAATAAAGTATTCACTTTGGAACACTTGCAGATTTCAAGAGAATTTTAATCTGAATTATTACAGAGGCAGATTTGTTAAACAGCTCAACCAATTGTGAAGAGGAATCATCTCCTCATTAACATTCCCAGAGATAATATATACAAGGAACCAATTACATTTACATTCCTTCCTGGGAATGCTCATTTTAGACAGTCTGTTCAAGTTTACAGCAAAAAGCTCTAGTGGCATTGATGACAGACAGAAGACAAATCAGTTTACCCGGATGTCATGGGCAGGTGAAGGGGACCTCCTGCCACCATCCTTTGGTTAACCAAGACAAACAAATACACCAAATCTCTAGGCTTGTAGGTAACTGATGTTTTTCTTAAATTCTGGTATTTGTGAATATATCACAATATTTTTACATAAAAATTTCAATGTGAGTTTAAAAAAATGATAAAAAAATGAAAGTGAATTTTTAAATGATAACTAAAAAATGTTAGAAACTGTAAGGAAAAACAGCTCCTAAAGCTTTAGGGTGAAACAGGCAAAAATATATTTAAAGAGCTTAATTTAGTCAAATAAATTGTGTCTTCTAAGCCAAGCAAGCCCTTCTTACTGTTCTCGGAGGAAGCAGCCCGAGCGGGGAGTAAGGGGCATCTGGGGTGCGGGACACACAGCACGCAGGTACACACAGATAGACCAGCAAGGCTGTGGTGAACATGTGGACGCCGCAAGGCTCACCGTGTTCTCTTGCCTTTGTCGTAACTGGGAGGTCAAGTCGCTCAGCATCTGACTGAGAGTTGCCCGCACAGCTGTGTTTATACTGCGTTGGTGACAGCTGCATATATATGTCTCAATGCACACCTGGTAAAGAAATAAGAGCAACATACAGGCTCTGTAGGTATCAGTTCATTACCAACATGCTTTGAAATTCAACACAGGATATTAAGTCCCTCTTAAATAGAAAGTCAGCCTGAGTTAGGACTAATTATCAATGAATTGTATAAATAAAATGCCTGGAAATTTGTTTTCAAGATAGGAAAAGTAGTATTTCCCTAACAATTATCACTCTTTGAAGTTTATTATTCTGAACATCATAGGAGAAGGCAAATTAGTGGTTTTTTAACACGCCAAATAATTTTATCTAGAACAAACTCAGGGGGCTAGAAATTAATCAGGGAAAGCTCTCTCTGTGGCAAAACAGGAAGAGAATTCAACTCCTGAGTTATGAAGTGTAGGGAAAGGGCTAGTGAAATCCTCTCTCCTGCTCTGTAAACAAGTTTGACCTTGGATTAACTCTCTAGCTGTGTTCTTCTGGAAACCTGATAAAAGTGGAATGTCAGTTGTGTTACTAGGCAGCGCAGCTTAGGGTAAAAATGTCCCCTGATTACAAAGCTGCATCTGAACTGGGAAAACTATGAAAGAACTACAAAGACCTGGTGAGAAGTCACAGGCTGGGTTTCCCTAGGTGACTCTCGTCATTGGTCACATCATCTGAGGGGGCTCTGCAAACTCTGCTCACTGGGTTGTCACAGAACTACAGGCTCCTCTTCGGTTGAGACACAGGGCTCCTGAGCCAAGGTGACTGCCCCCACTGAGGCGGATCTCATCTTCTTGCTCCTACGCTGACACGTGAGAGCCAGTCTAGCCTCTGCACTGCTTGCTGCAAGGCCTCCTGTGAAAGGTAAATGTCTGTCTGATCCTCAAAGGCTTGTACTTTTACACATGAGGAAATAGTGTTAAAATCTTGCAAAGACATCAAAAAGTGTCATGTTCCACTTTGTTGAAACCCAACTCAGCACAGTGTAATTAGGCACAGTAGCACTATTTGTGTCCATGATTTAAGAGTGTTCTTTAAATCTTACATTCTCCCAAGAAATCTTTATAACTGTTGATCTTTAAGATCTCTAAGCACTGACAAATTAAGGGGGAGTTCAAAGCCTTAGAAGCATTAAGGATGAAAGAACTGAACTACACACCGAAACACAATTCTTTTAAGTATGAGAGCCATACCCACTATACGACTTCCCCTTAAAAAGTTCTATCAGTCACTTTAGACTCATGAAAGAAAGCATATAGGTGGAGCTGGCCTTTATGCAAAACAAACAGTGCTATATACAGATAACAGCTTCCCAAATACCAAATGTATTTCTCTGAGTTTTAATGTCACCACTGTAGTGTTTACATGTACAACACTGGAAATGACTTGTTACATTTTGTTAAGGAAGGAGACATTTTGTTAAGGAAGAGGTAAGCATGTTTACTCTTTTAAAAGATGTATTAATCTGAAAAGGTCATTCTGCTAAATTTGAGAGTATAAATACTGAATATGATAAAAGGGTATCATTTTAAATATAAAAATGACCATGTATCAGATCATATCACTATCTTTAGGTACCCAGAAAGAAATGCTCTATCAGCTATCCGAGAGAAAAGCTTTTTACACTTGATATAATAATAATAAGTTGGTAAGTCAATGAAGTTCACAGAACCAGGGTTTCCATGATAAATCTGACACTGTATTCAAGGCCAGTGAGTGTTCATTTTGTGAATGTTTTTTTCCTCTACCTCAGGGCAGTGCTAAAATGAGAACACTGAATCAGACAAGCTAAGAGAATACCAAGTCCCAAGGCAGGCTGAATTTCTGAGAAGGGGCTCATCAACTTCTTATTTTAGTATCTCCAACACCACTTCTACCAACCCATGCCCTTTGCTTTCATAAGGCTGCATAAAAAAACCTCAGTCTTGCACCTCAACCACAGGCCCAAAGGGCTAGGTCAAAGACTTCATGAAAAGCCACAGGCCCCGACTGCCAGGGATGCATGAAGATGCAGCAGTGAGGAGTTTCCTAATGGACATTTTGATTATTTCATGCATTTGTGGACATCCAGCTTTATGGCATGGTAAACACAGGAGCAAAAACATAATGCTAACACATGAAGCAAAAGAGATCCCAAAAGCAGAAGGAAAAAGAACAAGAAAACATAATTCTGCAAGCTACACATAAGCAATGAGACTTTTATCATCAAGAAAGTAGATGGATAAATAACAGTATTAGGTTAAGCCCAATGTAAAATCACTATTATTAAATATGAAGCAGCTTAACAGAATGTAGCCCATATTCAGTATCGACCAAAATGGTGACAAATTTTAATAAGTTGCCACAACAGAAATGTGCTTAGCTCTGCAAAATACGTATGACCTCCACTTTGACGAACTTGCATTTAACCTTCTCTTTCCTATCTGAAGGGGGTTAGTGGTACAGTTTTGTTAAAATAGTGCATGATACTGAATAAGTTCCATAAAGAGAAGAGCTAGGATGTTTACAAATAGAAAATTTTTATAGAGATGAAAAATGATGTATGGTGATAAAAAATAGAAAGAATTAGAGAGTAAGCTACAAGAAGCAATGTCTTTTACATAGGGAAGACTATGAATGCTTGTTGATCACGTTAGAACCAAAGAAAATTTTGACTATCACTACAAGTCTAAACTCTATGCTGAATCATGATGACAGCTCAGCGGCCAGGCCATTTCCAGTTGAACAGCTGTAATAGGTGGGTTGTGACAGGAAGCACCTCAGCAAATGAGTCCTACTGATGCAAACACACACACATACACACACGCACACAGGGTGAACTGAAGTTGCTTTATTATTCCTAAAAAATATGTGCATAAGTCAGTCTGATAACCATACTTGGGCAGAGAAATTTGTTGGTTTTCCTTCTGGATCTCAACTTAAAAGGAAATTCTGCAAGTGTCCGGACATCCACGGACAGCCATGATTTTGACTCCCTGCTTCCTTCTCCGTGTTCTTCTTGGCTCATGCTGGCCTACTTAAAATGGCTTAAGACACCTCAACTCATTAGTTCCTGCACCTACCCAGGCACAGCCTTCTGGTTGGTCTACACTAGCCTCTCTCCCATGACCCAGCCCAAAATGAAGCAGAGAGCATCTGTGTGTTGCCCTATGCATCTTCTGACTACAGTTAAGTTCTTCAAGAGCCATGCAAGCCAGGGGTTAAAGGGGAGTGTGGAAATTCCTTGCAAAAGGACTTACTCTGCTCAAAGACCATCTGGCAGTTAGTAGCCAAAGAACAGACACCATCAAGGAGATAAACCAGAGCCAGTACAGAGTCAATACAAAAGGGTTTCCTGAAGGAAAAGGGGAGACATGCCTCGAGCGGGATTTCCTTAGCTCAGGGGACGCAGCTGGTTTGCGATAGCTGATCAGGCCCCCTGGGCCAGTTTTCTCGCCAGGAGGTGGGGCCACTCCTCCCAGTCTTAGAGAGAACATAACAAAGAAGATGATTCCGGGATAAACGGGTCAGGTCTTCTGTGTCCTCTCCTTCTGGACTGTATCTGGAGACTATCTGCTCCTTAATTGTTGAATATTTTATCTGAGGACTGCTCCAGAAATAATGCTAACACATGAGACTTTAAAAAAGGTATCACAGAGCATTTCGGGAGTTACAAGTCAGCCCAATTAAAAAAAAGTACTTTCGTGATGACTGAATCATTAAATCGGAATATCTGGCAGCAGGTCTTGAATCTCACTGTTTTTTTAAACTTCCCACGGGGGATCAAGTAGAAATAAACTTCACATGCTCTGATGATAATAACTCAGAAAATAAACTTGGTGGAATACTCAAAAAAGCGGCACACTGCCGATGGTCACTTGAATCTATGGTCAGAAAAAAAGTGAAATTCATCAATACTTCTGCTTCACATGTAAAAACACCACATAACCATTATCTAATTGCCTTGGTAAAGGTCCAAGGTGGACCTTTTAAGAGTCCTAAGAATTCAGTCAGCTGCCAATATTATTATGGCAAGACCCTACTATCGTTTTCTAAGACTGAGAGTAGCTAGGAGGCACCAGAGCATAGCGGTTAACAACATTTTCTTAAAACATAAAAGTCTGGATTTGAAGGTTCAGCTGTAGAAACTTGGGCAAGCAAATTAACCTTACCTTTCTTTAGGATAATTCATCTAGCTTATTGTGATAAAGATTAGAATAGAAGGTATGTGAAATGCTCTTTATTTATATGCCCTAAGGATGCAATGACTAGTAGCTATTTTATTAACCAGTGTTTTGGAACTGAGGGATGGATGGATGGATGGATGGATGGAGTGAAAGAGGGAAGTCTGTTAAGAGTAAAAATCTTCAAAAAAAAAAAAAAAGGGTCTTTGACTTTCCTTGAAAATGACAGCACAGTACAGGCACAAAGTCTGGAAGTTTCCCAGGTGTTAATAAGATCAAACCAGCAAATACACATTTCCCAAACTGGGCTTTCTCACTCTGAAAAATCCCACAGAGGAGCCTTCAGCAGGCATGAGAATATACCCCAAAGCTTTCGAATAGAACAGTATCATTAACATCTCCAAATTAGCTTCACAGAGCTTCTGGCTATGGTTCCATCTCTTCCTGTACCACAGACTGACTGTTTTTACTCCACAGTTTTTTCCAGAATTAATGTTAACTATCCTCAGAAAACTCAACGTTTCTGCTAATTTGGGCATAATACTAAGAGAAATCTTGGGTCCAGCTTTCAACTCGTGAAGAGAAGAAGGACTATGTACCTATATGGACTCTTAGTATTGCTTGTTCATGAAACTGAACAGAAAGCATACATTTGATATTTCATCATTGTCCATTTCTAAATTTGGTACTATTTCTTATTCTTGCATCATGCAAGACCCTGTTTTGAAAACCCTTCATTACTACAGTTTAATTAAGCAAGTTAAAGTTGTATCCACAAATGATGGCTGCCCTGTATTTACATTTTAAGTGCTTAATGATCCTTTCAAAGTGTCAGCAGTACCTTGGGGAAACATTCTTAGTTTTCATACTTAAGTACACATCCCAGTTTCCTGTTCAACAGGTTTCAGGGTGAGCGCTATTCTTGAGCAATAGTCTAGGTATACCAGAGAAGAAAGAAGAGAATGTCTGGATTTTGTCCCAACATTCCCATGGGTGTTTTAAATGGTTTATTGTACATGTTTTCATAAATTGTTTCCCTGGTTGTATAAAAAAAATGACAATAGGAAAAAAGATAATTTTTAATTTAAACACTTCTTTTTATGAAAAATTTAGATACAACCAAGAAAGCTTCCAGGAGCTAAGTGGTTGTTTCAGGCTGAAATGTCCTGCTTTAAAACTAGAGATATAGATTTTCAAAGACTAAAATCGCAGGCAAAAAGCATTTGAGAATCTGCAAAATCATTGGGTTTCAGTAAGTCTATAGACTACTATTATTTTTTGTGGCAGCATAACTCAAATGTGGTAATTCTTTCTGTTGACAGAAAAGCATCACTTAAGCAATTGCTATGGTGAAAACTGAAAGGCTCTAGCCATTTTCCAACTTTAAGGAAATACAAAATGAAGGCTGGTAAGAAAAATATTTATTCCTATTTTGTGTGTCTGAAGTAAACAATGATTTCAGATGATTCCACTCTTATCCTTTCTTAAGTCACCTATTCATCTAGTAATTTAGTATTTGTAACTATTGATGCATATGCTTGTATTTATAAGTTTTTGCTATGCTTTTCATACAAATAGGTCTACTCCATGCCCACCTTAAGCCAGATTACATAAATAAAGATTGGAATGGGGGCCATTCCCCTCATTTTCCAAAGGCTGACAAAGGGTTTTATTGGTGAAAACACATATATTCAGAGGAAACAATGGGATAGCTCCGCAGCTGATTAAACTGCTAAAACACTTAAGAAACATGTTTGATATATTTCAAGCACTGGCGAAGGGGAAATACTAGTGACAGTTTGGTGGGAGAAGATGAAAGAGGAGGTAGATTTGAAGAATCAAAAGTGTGTACTTACTGAGGGGTATGGGGGTGTGGTTACCATCCAGAGGACGGTTCTGCTGAGAGGCAAGGCAGCTCTCACCTGAGTTTTAAGTCATTTAAAATGAGATCATATCTATATTCACTTGGGGCAGTGTTTCTCGAACTTTGATATGCAATAAATCACATGGGGGAAGTTATTATAAGGCAGTCTTATTCCTAGGTCCGGTTGGGGTCTATGGTTCTGCATTCTAACAAGCTCCCAGGTGCGGCTGGCTCATCTGGGCGGTTAGGTACACTTGGGGTTTTAAAGTACAACAGCTCATTTCAGTACGGTTTTCCAACAGTTTGTAAGGACAGCATAGTAGCCGTCAGAGCAGCTATTATCAACTTGACCGCTACAGTGGAATTCCTGGTGAGCTTTTACAAAATCTGTGTGCCTGGGTCCTGCCAAGCCCCCAAAACTCAGAATTTCTGGGACAACCCAGGACATCTTATTTTTGCCAACACTTCCCAGGTGATTCTAATGTGTAGCCTTTGCGAACCCCTACTTAAAAGTAAGGTCTCCAAAACTGTGATTTTTAAGCACCTCATATGTGAGAGTTAGTTTCAGGAGGGTAAAGAGGAGAAGTCAAAGTTTAATCAAGTATCTACTAGAAATAGTCAACATAATATAGGAGCCTATGTGACCTTTATAAATCTGCCTCTTATTTCTGATCTTTAATCATTGTTAGTAGTGAGCTGGTGCATACTATATTCTCTTAATTAAAAAATGTATTTTAAAGATAAGAAGAAAGATTAGCTTAACCTCAACATGGTGCCTGCAGGGAACTCATGGTTTGGGATGAGGGGAGGAGTACCCCTTTGAGGGTTACCACCATTCACACCTGGGAGAGTGTAAGGTGGGTCTCCCATAGCCGGGCTGATGACAGCACGTGCCACATGGTGGAAACACCACACGCGCAGTCGTACCATCCTGGTCCTACCACTTCCTAGATGTCTGACTTTCAGAGAGTTGGTGAACCTCTCTATGTCAATTTTATTTCCTGTAAAATAAGGATAATATTTCTGTTTTGCAGTATTGTTATGTGTATAGTATGATTTAATATAAGTAAAGCTCTTAAAACAGTAGCTGCCACAGGATAAGTGCTGAATAAATGTTAGGTATAGCTGTATACCATTGTCTTTGAGTTTATATACTCCTGTCTTGCCACAACAAATGACATTATATATTTTCATGCCTCTTCAGAATTACTGACTCTGAGAGGGAATGGCCACAGAGAGCTCAGAATTATAGCTTCTGCCGGGCATAATGAGCTGTGCTACAGCCGTGCCTGATGGATAAAGGTCTGCTATTCTCAGTAGGAGGAGCACTTTCCTGGGTGTTTCTGCTGCTGGCTTTTTTGATAGGTACAGTGGGGTAGAGTGAACCCCTGGCCCTGGCATCTGTAGTGCTCGTCACGCTCAGAGGTCACTCAGCCTCTGTCCACAGACTGGCTTATAAATGTCCTTTCCAAGGACTAGCCAGCCAGAAGAGTCAGATTCTTACTCTCTTGAAGCCGGTGTCTACACCAGGTCCATACTAGCATAGAGGAGCAATTCTGTACATCGCCATTATTAAAAGCACTTTGAAATAGTGATGCTTGTGGTCATTACAAAGCAGTCTCTATATGTCTGCTGTGCGGGAGAATCTCCCCAGGTATCCAGTCACCAGAGCACGGTGGGAGATCTAGGGAGGCTGGGGAGAACTGGCAGCCTAAATCATAAATCCCACCTACCATAGACAGGGAGGTGGAAGTATCTACCTATGGGTCTGTAGAAGAGGCAGGGCCTAAAAACATCTGGGAGTCTGCACTCTGCACAAGGAAGCCCCATTATCAAATTCAGGATGAAAAGCTTATTTTTAATATCTTTACCAAGTACTTCCTTCAAAGGATTAGAGTCCCAAGCCTTTATCATGAACTATAAAGTCAATGACAGCCCTGGAAGTAACACGCTTTGCTGTGATGGTGTGACCTCTGTTTCATTACCTTCATGCCAACGTTCTACTGGGAACTCGTTTCCAACTAAGGGATCTTGGAGGCTCCAGGTGGGAAAAGAAGGGGGTGCCAACTTGTGACTGTTCTCTGAGGAAGCTGGCCTGATCAGTGGCCCATCCTCTCAAAGTCCTCACTAGCTCAACACTATTTAGTGGAGACCTGGACATCATTATCAGCCTACAGCTCCTAACACCAGCAGCCTCTGCCTCGCAGCTGGGGCTGCACTGAAAGCTTTGTACATGGACTGTTTTTCTTGTGTAATCGGCACAAGCGCACTGATAGGTACTATTGGTAGTGCTTTTACAGAGAGCAAACATGAAACCCAGTCTCCCAGGCAACACAGCAGGAGGTGGCAGAGCTCGGGTTTATGACCAAAGAGTGGGACTCCAGGCCCTGGCTTTTCACCACTAAGTTCAAATGCCTTTATCTTTGGTCTTAGGCTGAGATACTTTTCAAAAACACAAAAACGTTTGTTTTTCCTTTATAGGTTTTGGTTTTGATGTTTCATTCTATCCGGATGGGCCCTAAGTGGGTTTTCCGGATACTCTCGATGAATACCCTGCCGATGGTGGTCCATGACAGTGTGTGTTGGCTGTTCAGGAATTACATCTCCAATCGGTTAGATTCTCCTTCAAAAACTGTTTTCTCTGAGGATGATAAAGGCAACCTAGTCCTCCTCCTGAGGGGCAGCTTGGGAATCCCTGGTGGCGTCCCCCTTTCCTGAGGTCCTGCAACTACCTGTGCCCTGCCCCACCCCACCTCCATCAGCAGGGAACCAACACCATTCCGTTGAGCAGCCACAGGCTTCATTTCCTTTCTCCTCCTTCACAAGGCAAAGCGCTAACAGGCTCTCACAGGCTGATCCTATTCCTTGCTTGGATCAGAAACTACATTTGTCATTTTAAAAGCGAACAGCAGGGGATATATAAAATAGTCCAGTTGATACAAAGTAGAATGGTGTTTGCCAGGGTCTTGGGGGAGGGGGAAATGGAGAGTTACTCTCCAATGGGTATAAAGTTTCAGTTATACAAGATGAATAAGTTCCAGAGATCTGCTGGCCTTAACATATTGCCTTAACATTACTGTGTAGTATACTTAAAATTTTGTTAGGAAGCTGTATTTCATGTTAAGTGTTCTTAACACAAACACACACACACATGCACCTACAAATAAGAGCGCACACAGGTATATCAAAATTCAACTGAAAAAGTACTGAGAGCTGTTCTATTTCTTTACTTTCATATAGAGTAAAGCATATAAATGTGTTAAAGAAAAGTGTTCTTTGTATCTATATAGACATGCATTTGCGAATTGATTTATATTCTAGTGAAAGGTCAACTAACTGCTTCTTTTTCTTTTGAAGGACACACAGAACTGTTCTATGGGCTCAAAAATAATTTCCTCTTAATGTCCACTCTTTAATGCCACACAATACTGTAAGAAGCACATATAGAGGCCAATATAAATACTACCCATGATAATGTTCCCTATGTGAGTTGATGGATACATTAATTAACTTGATTATAGTGATTATTTCAGAATGAATACATACACACACACACACACACACACACACACACACACACACATCATATCCAGTTGAATATCTTAATTGTATGGAATTTTTGTCCATTATACAAATAATCCTCAATAAAGATGAGAAAAAGAAAAAGAAATCTTGCCCGAAGTGCTAAGCATCCATCTGGTATACTCAATAAATTATAATCATTACCATTAAATATATATATATATATATGTATATATATACATACACACACACACATATATATATGTGTGTGTGTGTGTGTGTGTGTGTATATCTATGAGTGCTGATAATTAGGCTTCTTTTTCTCCATAATTTCAGAATTCAAAATGTCATTGCCTCTGAGGTCTGCATGCATACTCTTGTCAAAACATAGGAATCTGGAAGATACACTTTTCAAGAAATGGGAGGAAAGTATTGTAAGTCTCTTAAAGTACAGCTTTGGAATGATGATGTTTCCAAAAGCCAAAGGCGTATGCCAGGCATTCAAGAAGCCAAGTTTTCTGTTGGACATACTCTTGAGAGTGCTGGAAGGTATGTATTCCTCTAGGCTGCAACACATGGAAAAATGAAGGCTTTCCAATAACAGTTACGAAAGGCATTCATCAGGATTTAGGAGGCACGGTTGGAATTTAATCAATAAACATCTCTCTACATCTCATACTTGGTTTCTCAAAAACCAGTTTTTCAAATCAAATGCTTTTCAACTAATCTTAGGACAAATGGGCTAAGAGAGCAATAGCAGGTGTGACACGGAGGTGCAGTGGAGTTGGGAGGACCGGTACTATTGTTTCCTTGCTTAAAGCCTCAAGTTACTCAAACCAAAGCATGCAGAACACAGGGCCACACAGCCTGCTTCCCACAGGCCAGCTCCTTCACAGAAATTCCCCTGAGGAAGGATGAGAGAAGCACTCACCCCAGGGCTGCGGCTCAGTTTCGCCCAGTATGTGCCCCAACTGGGGGTAAAGCAGCTGTGAGCAGGCAGCACAAGCACACGCGGCACCTGAGGGCCACGGGAAGTGGGCACTCACCTCTGCCACCTTCAGCACCGCACTCCCACTCAGGTCAAATGTTGGGGTGTAGGTTGTGCAGAGTAAAACCTTTAACAACCAGGAGGGAAGGGAGGAAGGAAGAGAGAAGGGGTTAAACATTTAGTAATGAATTTCCATGTCAGATGCCTTTTGTGCAGCCCTCATCTGGCTCCTTCATTCTTTGCTTTATCTAACATTCTTTCTGACCCACCCATTGCTCTCTCCTTATGGCCATACACAGCCCAATAAAATAGGGACTAATGCTTTGAAAGCAAAGGCAGCTATCCTTTCCCCTGGGGAAGGACCACTGCAAGACTACTGGCCAGAAACAGCTTTCCTCAGCGCCAGGGGATCTGGCCACTAATAATGAAAACCAAATGGCCAGACTCAGTCCTAGGCACTGTACATGAATTACCTAGATTGGTATTTTTAGTAAGTGTCATTATTATTGTCCTCATTTTACTGATGAGGAAACTGATGCTTAGAGTAATTAAATAAGCTGCCGAAGGCACACAGGAAACAAGTTGTGGAGCTGAGATTGGAACCCAAGTAACCTGCCTCCATGCCCTAACCACTACTCCATACCGTCTCTACCTCTTCCTGGACCCAGGAGTCACTTGCTGTACTTTTCTGCACCTGCCCCCTTTCCAAATCCACATGGGATTTGAATTTCTTTAATGGGCAGTTTTATCTTCCCTCCTACACCTTCCTGCAGAATGCTGCCGGGGTTTTATTTATTTATTAGTCCCAGGTTCCCTTTATTTTCCAAGATATATAGACAATGAGATGACGACATTTGCAAGATTGTTAACAAACATGAGAAATTTCACTTCTTACTCATAGGGCTATTAGAGAATGGATCAATAAAAGCCTGTGGCATTAAGAACTGCTTCCAATTTGGGACACCGTCCGTTTGGCTTCTAACACTGTAACTTTTCTTGCCAGAATTCGGAGATGTGAAAGTGCTGGTGTCTGCTCCTCACACTCAAACTCAGCAGCCATGTTCTGCCTGCAGCCTGGCCTGTGAGTGGCAGCCTTCTGGGGATATTTCTCATTGGCTCTGTCCAACTCAGAACACAGCACTGAAGCCTAGCAAACTCACCTAACACAGAATATACACCTAATCAGCACACTGAAGACTATGGTCCTCCGATGTAATGAGGAAATTCTCCTAATCTCTCACCTCAGTCTTAGTTATTAGCCAGGCTAGCCCCAGGAGCAGCGGCTCCCTCACAGAAAGCAAATATGTATGTAATTAAAAAAGGGAAAATGGATTTTTGCCAATTCAGTCACAAGGTTAGTTAAGCTAATTGTGGGTCTGCTCCTCAGTCTTTGATCCTAAGGTGCCTGAAATACCAGGCTAATTCCTGGTAAAAATCGTGTCAGTGCCATGCTGGCTGAAAGAGGGACTGCGGGAGCAACTGCCCTATGGCCTCAGAGGAAAAGGCTTACCTTGCCTTAAGGACTGTCTCGGGCTGGGTTTTGGTCTGTGAGACGGGTGGAAGCTGTGGGCAGCAGTACCACCAGGACCTGGTTTGGCCTGGGAAGAGGCCATGTCTTCTAATGTCTCTGTACTTGATGGTAACCTTGTCTGAAGCCTCCCTGTCTTGGCTCCTGCGATGCCTGTTCCTCATGTCACTCACTTAATTGGTTTCTTTCAGGTCTCAACTCAAGTGTCACCTCCTCAGGGAGGCAAGCAGCCTTCCCTGATACCCTCTCTGAAATGGTCTCTATAGCATCTTGTTTCATTAACCTCAGAGCATGTACCAGTCCCATAAATGACTGGGTTGTTTATTTACTTCTTTCTAATCTTCTCATTAGGCTGTAACATCCAGTGGGCATCTGAAAGGCCCTCTATGCTTTCTCATATGATGTAAAAACTAAAAACAATAAAAACAATGAAAGGAAAGTGAAGCTTATCACTTCATTATTGTGGTATGACCGACACTAAAAACTACACATTCCAGGCATACAATTCCATGTTTTCATACACATTCCCGGGATGGTGAAGCACATTACTGAAGCTAGCAAGCTCATGCACTGTTTGTTGTGTTGGAAGCACAGCAGGTTTTAATTACAGGGCTGACAGGCCCCCCGTGACTCACAAGATATATATAATGGTCACAGCATCTAGTAAGAATGATGCAGAAGACAGAAATGACTTATCAAAAATGATAAATGGAGAAGTGGTTAATGTGCCCAAGTCCTAGCAAGCATTAATTCACTGGATTAAAACACAGGCAGGCTGGGTACAGGGAATTTAGGGTGACAGCAAATTAAAGTGTCTGGCTCCAATTGCATTAATGAGAGGGCAAAAAGTTTACATTCATATTCTGAGCACGTTGGCCTCAAGGAAAACAGCAGCACCTAAATAAGGAGGGCAATTCCATGAAAAATACATCCCTTGCAGGGTCATTAAAGCATATTGACTACATTATCACTGAACAGCAGGGACTTGAGTGACAGGCAGCATCTTGCAATCTAGCTTGCTGGCCATGGCTCCACAAATGATCTACGGGGACAGAGAAAACAGACACAAAGCCTTTCGTGGAAAGGGAAAAATCATTACAAGGGCTAATAAAAATTTCAATCATTAAAAAACTATAGTTGAATAGCTGCTATGAGTTAGAAGCAACCCCTTAATTTAAAATGAGTATGGAAAGGTAAGCTGATTTATTTTAAGAATCAGACACAAGTGATAAGAATCTGGAAAACATGGTCACAACAGGAACAGCGGGAGACAGATGTGGATAGATAGGGATGTGCTCTTCCGATCAGGAATACCCTGGATTAATCCTCTCCCAAGGGCATCTCATCACCGTGATGTGGTTTCTATATCAGGCACAGCTTCCCTGATGATTGAAACCTTAACAGAGCAGAGGCTATGAGTCCAGGCAAAAATACAAGTGTTCCAGTAACAAGATTCAGTGCTTAACTGCTGTGTAACTTTGCCTATGTCCTCTATGCCCTTATTTTTAAAATTCCCATCCCACTTCACAAAGATGTTTAGAGGAACAAATAAATTAAATGATGGTTTAAAACCACAGTGCACGTGGCACATATCTCTAGGCTGTCTACTCACAGAGCTTAAACAAGTCTCCATTCAATGTAGCTCACAGTGGCCATTCTAGCACAGACTATTAGGCACATTTTAAGGGGAAAACAATCAGATCATCCACATTCAAAAGCATAAATCTTTTGGGGTCTACATTCTACTACTGATCACTTCCCCCGATTCATATTGCCTGAAATCCTCATCAATCTGATGCAGCTCTGCTTCGTCCCTCCTTCATGATGTCCCTTTCAGGTCATTATTCACTTAGGTTATAAACTGCTACGGGGTCACAAATAGAAAAAGCAAGCACAATCTGCAATATCAAAAAACTCACCACCCAGTGGAAAAGCAAACGCTTACGCCACTGTTATTTCAGGGCTGATGGTGGTAAGTGCTACAGTCATTGTGAGGCATGTGATAACTTTGAAGGCTCGAAGACATAACTTTGGGGAAGAGGGACTTCACAGATGAGATGGAGGCATAGGAGCAACACACTGATACAGGAGGGAGGGAAGGATGTGCCAAGCAAAAGGAAAGGTCACAAGTAAAGGCATGGAAGTATGAAGGTAGAGGCCAGAGATGATGTTAGAAAAACAGGCTGGAACCTTACGGCACATCAATTTACATGCCCTATAATTAAGTGCTTTGCATTTTATTATTTTAGGGCTGGTTAGGCCAACAAATTACAACTACACTAAGGCATTTTAGAAATCAGAGTGATAAAGCAGATGTAGAAGATGCTTAATAAGATGTAGCTGAATTTAAAGACAGGTCCTAGTCATTTCTGTGGCAATGAGTTGACTGGGGTGCATTTAGAGAAGGGACGCCGAGAATTCCACAAGTAGAAGGCAATGGCCACCCATGTCTGAAGCATGGTATCATTTTACCATTCTTCTCCCCACCTATATTCTCTGCCATTCTAGTCAATCTGGCTGAAATCTCTCATACCTCTCTCATTCCCATGTTTCACAAAGATTTATATTAGATATTAATAAAGTAACATGTTGGAGAACAAGGATGCACTTTGTTCAACATGAATAAAACAAGATATTACTGCTACAGATGTGACAATTACAGAATGGGCAGAAAATAGAAGGGTTTACTGTATAGCATTCATTTACAGCAGTTGACATGTACTATTTAAATCTGTGCCCTCTCCACTTCCCATTAGATTTATACGCAACTTTGTAGTAAGGTCTGACTTTTTGATGTCAACCATGTTTACAGGACCTTGTTAGGCCTTGCGATGTGTAGCAAGTCCTGGCCTATGCATTGTCCACGCAAGTAATCAACCTCACAGAGTTTAATGGGACTGTGCATCTATGTGCCAAGTCAAATGTGTTAAGACAACCCAACCATACAGAAGAAAACTGTCCTGGGAATCTGAACGTCAGATCCAGGTGGTGGGATTGGCTAAAGGCAGTTTCTGCAACCATATAAGGTAATCATATTGGGGTTTCAGATGACCTGGTTAGGACAATCAGAATTTAGTAAAGCTCCTTTCAGAATATCCAGCCATCTGGCAGGACATCACCCAGACAGAGATCAAAACCATCTCTACTGACCAGGGGGCATCTCCCCAAGACTAACAGAATATTTCTCCCACCTGACATTTCCCGTTATGTTCTGGTGAGAGTCTACCTTTTGCACTTAATATAGTAAATGGTAACTTGTGAGATTTATGATTCAAAAATTTCATTACTAACAAGGTTCCAAATGAATCTCCTATGGGATCATTTTCAGGGAACACAGGAGGGAAGAAGTGATTCTTGAACTTACTAGATACTCCACGTCCACTTTTCGTCTACCTGTGTGCTACATTACTCAGGCTCCCATTCATTTTTTTGACAAGTATATACTGAGGTATTACTAAGAGTCACATCTAGTGCTAGCTGTTGAGCATACAGTAGTCAACAAAAAGGACATCCTGATCTCTGACCTTGCAGGGCTAAAATCTGGTTTTGAAGACAGTCAAAAAATAAGGGCTTAACAATAACTTGGATGAACCTTATGA